ACGCCGATGGTCCCGTGCTGATGGGCGCCCGATTGTGTTTGTGGCAGAGACGATTTTTGGCCAATGGAACCAGACAAATTTTCTTCGGAAAAAACAACAAACAAGAAGCACAAACAAGTGTGTTAATTACCATATACGAAACCAATGATTAATTACAATTCAAAATAAACCTATGAAATTATTAATATTAACATTGTTTAAACATTAAATTCTGAAAACCAATTCTGCATTCAACTGCTGCTCCTGAGGCCCTATTTTTCCCACAGACATAATGCTCTCAAGATCATTCTAACTTTATATCACCAAAAAGTAGGGCAAAAAAACTTGTCGCAGATAAAAAATAAAATGAAAATACTGACTCTTCTATAATCTAACTCAAAGTTCTGTGATCCTATGACTCCATGTCAGTAACAACATTATCGTGTGTATAATGTAATTTTCCTACAAACAATTCTTCTTCACGAGAGAGAGAGACAAGAGAGAACAGAGAGAGAGAGAGAGAGAGAGATAGAGGAGAGAGAGCTAGAGAGAGAAGAGAGAGAGAGAGAGAGAGAGAGGAAGGGGAGAGAGAGAGGACAGAACGAGGGAGGGAGGCCTCCCGAACAAAGGAACATGGAGTCTGAAATCTACTTTCCTCTTTTCTCAGTGACAAGGTTATTTAAATCATTGTAAAAGTTTTGCGTACGTCCTAAAATGTCTTTATGTTGTTTAAATTTTAAAGTTAAGAAGTGTAGGTTACCTAGCTGTTAATGTTGCAAACTCTGAAGTGCATCTTAAGTTAGCTGCCTAGCTAACTATCTAACAAACTGTTGCCTCTATGAAAATGCTTAATGGCCAACCATTAATGTTAACTAAGAATATTTAAGTTTCTGCTCATTATCCTACCTTGTTGGTGGAATATGGGCACTCAAAGTGCGTTTGTCTCTGTCTCTTATGTTCTCTAAACCAGTGGTGCCCAAACTTTTTTTTTGTCTTGTGTTGCCACTACCCCCTGAGCCCTTTTATGAAACCATGAATAGCGTTACCTTCTTGTTTAATATTTCTTTAGATTCCAGATTGTTTAATAATCTTATTAATCTGATGTAAGTAAACCATTATATGAGATTGCTAAAAATAGTTGAGATTCTGTTCATGACATTATGCTACCTTGTTGCCAGTTTAAAGCATTGACTACATAGATTATTCTGTTTTGGGGTTAACCATCGTATGAGATGTTGGAGAATCACCCTGACTGGACACCATCCTTGCGGTTAGGCCACAATAATGTTAAAGAAACAGATGGAGCGCGATATCAGCGGCAAGTAAAGCGCAGGACCCAGCATCTGGAGCAGTCATCACTCCCAGCCCAAGCCCAGCAGCTTCCATCGCCAGCCCAAGCCCAGCAGCCTCCATCGCCAGCCCAAGCCCAGCAGCCTCCATCGCCAGCCCAAGCCCAGCAGCCTCCATCGCCAGCCCAAGCCCAGCAGCCTCCATCGCCAGCCCAAGCCCAGCAGCTGCCTCAAGGAAGGATGAGGAAGCTCTCACCCTTCCAGCTTGTCCTATTGACTCTAATGCGCCTCAGATTAGACCTTCCAATCCAGCACCTCAGCCATCTGTTTAGAGTACATCGGACAACAGTCGCTGATGCCTTTCACCATACCCTTGGTGTGATGTACGCACAGCTGTGTCCATTGGTGCACTGGCCAAGCAGGGAATGCATATTGACCAGTATGCCACATCAGTTTGTGGAGTCATTTGGGAATAGTGTGGCTGCCATTGTGGACTGCTTCGAGGTGTTCATCGAGAAACCCTCAAATGTACTAGCAAGGGCACAGACTTTCTCTCAATACAAACACGCATACACCATGAAATACCTTATTGTGATCACGGTGGGGTGGGCGCACAAGTGACAAGCATATAACTGAGCAAAGTGGTTTCCTGAACAAACTTTTACCAGGTGACATTGTGCTGGCAGATAGGGGCTTTAATATAAGAGTAAGTGTAGGCATGATGTGTGCTGAAGTGAAAATACCTACATTCACAAGGGGTCGTGCACAGCTGGAGGCGAAAGATGTGGAGGAGACTAGGGCCATTGCACATCTCAGAATTCACGTTGAGAGGGTGATTGGTGTTGTGCGCAACAAATTCAAATTCTTACACTCAACTGTACCTGTGCATATGCTTCTCAAATGTGAGGGTGAAAACCTAATGCCTTTAGATAAGATTGTCACTGTTTGCTGTGCCTTAACGAACATGTGCAAAAGTGTTGTTTGAGTGCCTTGTTCATAACTTATGAACCAACCAGAACCCCTCATGTCATCTGGATCCGAGTCCAGAGTCAGAACCAGACACGGAGAAGCTGCATTCAGCTTCTATGCTCCACATGTCTGGAACAAACTCCCAGAAAGCCTCAGATCAGCTGAAACACTCAGTTTGTTTACATCCAGGTTAAAGACCCACCTGTTCTCAGCTGCTTTTGAATATGTTTTATTCTAATGTACAAATCTGCACGGCTTCTTTTAAGCTGGAATTACTTGTCTGTTATCTTTTTCTTATGAATTTTTGTTTTTAATTTTAAATCATGCTTTTTATTCTGTTACTTTTTAATGCTTCTGCACCCAGCTGTAATGCTTCTTAATTTTTTTATTTAAAGTACTTTGAATTGTTTTGTAACATGAATTGTGCTGTACAAATAAACTTGCCTTGCCTTTTTAATTTCTTTGAAATAGCTAAATGTTTGAAACAACTTCATGTGGCAAAGCAATATTTATTGAGAAATTAACATTTTTTTGGAGGGGGGGTGTAATCTATTGGAAAAGTTAACAGTGCAAAAGAACGTGTGCAGTCAACGTATAAATATTTCAGCATGAAAAGATGGACAACATAATATAATAGTAATACTGCTGTTAGTGCAAGTACAACAGTGTTTTCACCGCCTGGAGGCTTGTAGATGGCCAAGTCCTGCACCCAACCACAGCAGAAAGCCTCGTAACTCTCCAGTGACTTGTGACTTCTAAACTCCTGCATTGTATAATAACTAACACCGAAAACAAGGTAATTCACTATATCCATGTACGTGCACGGAGGCAAAAAGTCAAGGTCTTTTTGCCACTCCGCTGCAGGAAGCTTGTATGGGTCTACCTGTTGTATGTCTGAGAGCTTCTCCAAATAACGTTGTTTTGCTTTTCCCTGTACGGTCCATTTCCTTTCGCCTTCACTTTCTCCATTAACTGTCTTGCTAGTGTTGTAATCGTAGATGTATCTACTGCCGAAATAATAAACGCGCTCAAGTTAAAGACCTCTGGAGCGTTAGCATAGACTGTATGTATTGAGCTTTAGTGGCGTTGCCCCTGGCAACCGATAGAGGATCCTATCAACATGGCCGACCGGATTAGACCCCGCCCAAATTATCACGTGACTCCTCATTCTCAATAGTTATAGCGCGTGTTCTCCGTGAAAAAGGCTCCGTCTTCCTCTTTACGCATTCAAATATGACGGGAACAGTGGGAGGAAGCTAGAAGTCCAACACATCGCCTGAAACATGAGATTATTGGCTACAAGATGATTTGATTGACATCCAAATCGGCCAATGGTAGTCAAGACAATGCTGTCATGACGCACAGATATCTATGTGAATGGAGCGCTAAATCTAGGTGCGCTTGTTTTACTCAACTTACTCTACCTTCCAAACCATAGCACTGAAAAGTCCGGGAATGGGCTTGTTTTGAAGGGGAGGCTTAGGGGAAGACAAACATACCCAGTGACGCTAGCTAAACAATAAAATGTCCTCTTCATACAGTGCGCATAGAACAGGTTTTGTTTTTGTTTGTGCAACTTTCAATACTCAAATATGTTGTTGCAAGTGGATATCTACTATAAGGATGACTTTGAAGAAAAAACAACTGGATATAATTATTCTCTAGACCCTAACGAACAAAACAAATGCACACATGTGTGGATTAGACGTGATTTGCCCCAGAATATTAGCATGACAAGGTAAGAAACGACAATATATATTTGAAACATATATACAGTTTGACTACTTATTCTTACTTTTGGTTATACTTAATGTTTATTTGAACATAATACGTGTATAGAGGTGGGAATAAGCTTTCAAAAGAGATATAGCTTGACTATATTGACACAAGTGAATTCTAATACTGATGCTGTTAAATGAAAAATAACTGAATCCTCCCTGTACAGGGAGGGTGATCCTTAAGAGGTTTGTCCTCCAGAATCTTGTATAACTTAGAAATAACTCTGCTTCCAGATTGTGATCCATATGCATCCATCACAACTTTTATTATCTCTGGCCATGATTCTAAAGCATATTGTTTTAAATGTATCTCCCAAATAGTGTAATTGTAAATATCTGTGGAAATCATGGTTCTGGAGGCCATGTAACGTCATCCTTCCTGTGTTGTTTTCCTATGGACGCACAAGCACACAGATCTATTAGAGGGATTATCTTAATAGATATGGGTCTTGTGTGATCTTAGTGCTGTGCTCTCATGCATACAATGCATTCTGTCCATGCACATCTAGGGCACTAAATGTAATCTGTGGGACGAATAGGGGTTCTCTTATATGATCTTATTTTTGGATTCAAATACCCTGCCTTGCCAGTTATTGTCTGTTAATTTCTGTATTTACTACCACCCTCACTCTGTGTGTGGTATACAATAACAAGGATCATACCCAGAAGAGCAGAATAATTACTCTTACTCACTCTCATAGTCAAGCGGTTGGAATTTCAAAGCAAAAACAATGGTGCAAATGCTGCTCAAATAAAATAAATAAATAATCATGATTTACACATAAGACTCTTGAGGTGCGTGTCATGATATAATGACATATCCTATATTGGTAGTAGTAATGATTCAGGACACGGTCTGTCCATCAAGGCTAGAAAATATTTGTAGGTACCATTTTATTTATACTTGCTGGACATTCAAGTAAGAGTTAAAGGCTGTGAGCCCCAAATAGTGCCAAAGATAAGGATTTGTCTGGAAATCTGGATCTCACTGGGGACAGGGTGGGTCGGGCTTCTTCAAATCGTCCCAGTACTGTAGCAGCTGCTGTGAGGAGCCCAGGATGTAGGTTATGACCTGGGAGAACCTGCAGCGGTCATACTTGGAGTTGTAAGCCTGAAACTGTCTAGGCTGGGGCGGAGCAGTCGGACTCAGGCCTAGCTTCTTCATACACATCCCTATGTATGCGTCCTCAATGTTAAAAGGTTTGATCTCTTTGGACACCTCCACTAATCGAACTGGGAGGTCGCTGGATAAGATGTAGCCCATCCCTAAGCAGTAGAGGGGGTACTTTGGCTCTGGGTACAGCTCCTCTGGAACGTACCATTTGGAGTGTTTGTCACGGATGACTGGACGGTCCCTCATCACCATTCCTGTTAAATAGTTGATTGTTGGTATTTGAGGCAATTTCAGCATATCCACAAGATTCTCCACATTTAGAAACATGTCAGAGTCAACCTTCATTGCGAAGGTGCTGTTGGCGCAGTGCGTGGACACCCAATGCATGATGACCATAGTCTTGATAGTCAGGTTCAAGTAAGAGTCTACAAATTCACTCTGAATGAGGTCGTGGTGTTCATTGTCCTCCTGAGTAAGACTCTGCGGGTCTTCCCCAGCTTGTCCCAGCATGAACATTGTCAGCACCCTCTTCCCGTGCACATACGGCTCCTTTGCCCATGTCTGGCGGATGGCGTTACGAGCTGCCACGTTCTTTGGTGCCACAGGAACCATGAGGACCAGAAAGGGAGGGTTTTGGCATGCATCCAAGTGGTCCATGATGAAGTTATAGTTGGGTGCATAGGCCTGGTGAAATTGTATAGAAGGAGCTGGGGTTGCCAGAACTGGGGGTTCAGGTTTGGAAGGAGCTGGGGTTGGTTTAGGAAGGATTTTAGGTACATTTTTCATTTTGGAAAGGGCTTTGGTTGTCGGAACAGGAGGGATAAGTTTGGCAGGACCTTGGGTCACCGGAACAGGAGGGATAAGTTTGGCAGGACCTTGGGTCACCGGAACAGGAGGGATAAGTTTGGCAGAACCTTGGGTCACCGGAACAGGGAAATTTGATTTGAGACTGACTGGCAGAGAATTTTTGGGAGGGCCTGCAGTTGCCACTGAAGGGGTATCTACTGCTGCTGTTGTCTCCATAGCAAGGGTTACTGCTGCAGTACTGGCCTGTACCAGCACTGGTTCAGGACTGGGTCTTCGAAGTTTCTTGAAGTGGAGTTGTTTAAATTCTCTCCAGGTATACTGGTTGAGGATTTGTTTGTAGTCTTTCGGGAGCTGTTGGTTCCACCATAATACGGTGAAACAGAAAACCAGGAAGGTGAGGAGAATCAGCAGCATCTTGGAGCCAAACAGGTGTTTGCATTGCATCAGCCTGCAAACACACACACACACACACATATGTCATTTTGTTGTACACTTTTCCAATAACAATAAACTCAAAAGAGGAGAATTTGGCGTTATGAAGCCAATATTACCCACCAGGAGCAGGAGGAGGGGAGAGGTTAGAAGAAAAAGAAGAGGGGAGAGAGGTTAGAGGAAAAAGGAGAGGGGTTAGAGGAAACAAGAGTGGAGAGAGGATAAAGGAGTGTGGAGAGAGGAGAGGAAAGGGGAGAGGGGAGGGAAAGTGCAGCAACGTGAGTGCACAGCATTTGTTTAGACTCCTCCTGTTTAAACGTGTATACAGGGGTATGTTCTTTCTGTACCGTTGTTGTGCTTGGGGCAGAAATATAAAGTTGTGTTTTCCTAGTTTGTGCATCTCTCTGATAATACATTTGATCCTGATGTGCGCTAGGAGGAGCTGTAAACAGCCGCTGTGAGGGAAAAATCAGGCTTAAAATACAACAAATACAAACTCCTTTTTCCTCTCTCCCCTTTCCTTTTTGAAAAAAAAAGTTAAAAGCTGGTTAAAAAGTTGATATTGCTGAATATTTCTCCTATAATAGTAATCATTAGTTGGCTGAGTAATTACAGTGGGGGCGGGTCCCAGCTCAAAATGACGTGCGCTGACATGCTTGCAATACCACCCCGGGCCAATGGGGTGGACCCAGAAGTAGAATGAGCCAATGCTAACATATAGCATTGGCAGACCTCTCAAAAACGTCTTTACAGGATGGACCAAAAGTTGGCTCTTGGCCCAAAGCTCCGGTCCACATGTGTGTCAATGCTGAGGGGGGTGAAACGGTTGGAAACTGTGTCTCAGATCAAATGGCCCTGACCTGTGGAGTCCCACAGGGGTCGATCCTGGGACCTCTTCTGTTCAATCTCTACATGCTGCCGTTAGGTCAGTTAATACGCAGAAACAAAGTTTCCTATCATAACTATGCAGACGACACTCAGATCTATGTCTCACTGACTGCAGGAGAACATGGACCAGTGGACTCACTCCTTCACTGTATCCAACAGATCAGTGAGTGGATGCAAAACAAATTCCTTCAGCTAAACGCAGACAAAACTGAAATGATTGTCTTTGGTCCCCAGAAACAAAGAGAGAGCGTCATCTGTCACCTACAGTCTCTCTCCCTAAAACCTTCAAACAAGGTCAGAAATCTAGGGGTAATACTGGACTTAAATTTTAATAGCCACATCAAATCAGTAACATCAGCAGCTTTTCACCATCTAAAAAACATTGCCAGGATCAAAAACATAGTGTCTAAAGCAGACCTGGAGATTCTTATCCATGCATTTGTCTCCAGTAGGTTAGACTACTGCAATGGCCTGCTCACAGGTCTGTCCAAACAGGCTGTAAAACAGCTGCAGTACATTCAAAATGCAGCAGCTCGAGTCCTGACTAGAACCAGGAAGTACGACCACATTAGTCCAGTTCTCAGGTCTCTGCACTGGCTTCCTCTGGCTCAGAGAATAGACTTTAAAACAGCTCTGCTTGTGTACAAGTCTCTCCATGGCCTCGCACCAAAATATATTAGTGACATGTTAGTCCCATATGAACCAGCCCGGACTCTGAGGAGCACAGGGACTGGACTCCTGTTAGTGCCCAGAGTCAGAACTAAACATGGGGAGGCTGCTTTTCAGATTCATGCTGCTAAAATCTGGAACAGTCTTCCTGAAGATGTGAGACAGGCCTCCTCTCTGACAATGTTTAAAACCAGGTTAAAGACAGTTCTGTTTAACTGTGCATACAACTGAGGGATTTTATATTTTTATCTTTCTCTTTAATGTTCTGTGATAATTTATGATTTTAATGCTTTCTTGTTTTGTTCAGCACTTTGAATTGCCTTGTGTATGAATTGTGCTATATAAATAAACTTGCCTTGCCTTGCCTTGAATTTTTTTGGTCCACTCTAGTTTACTCACGGTGAATTTTTGAAGTCTCTCGTTCAAATGAATGGATCTGCGCCGGCTGACACATGCGCAGATGCGTTTTTTCACAATTTTCTTGTGGGTTGGGACCACTCGCGGCCATCTTGGATTGCTCCATGAAAGCACTTTTCATGGCCAACTCCTATGAACGGCGGAGATAGACGTGACTCTGTCTGTTATTATATACAGTCTATGAGTAATTAACATGAATCCATCCATTTTCTACCCCTTAATCCATTTCTGGGTTGGGGGGGCTTCAGGGAAAGTTGGGTTAAGTGCCCTGCCCGAGGACACACCGGCAGCAGACCAGTGGGAGTTGGTGGTATACTTAATTAGAATTGACAAAATGGAGATGACTCTGCACAGTTTTCGCTCCCAAGAGATTTTAATTTGCATTGTGTTGGTCACGTGACTTGTAATCAATGTGTGCATCTTGTGGTGCAAAGTTTTTGTAAAGTACTTTGGGATATTGTCGGACGGTGGAAAGAATACTTGGAGGTTTTCCTCAATCCCCCCGTCGCGTCCTCCGTCCCGTAGGCAGAGGATGTGGATGAGATCCGTCCTGACTATCTAAAGTCTCTGGATGTTGTAGGACTGTCTTGGCTGACATGTCTTTGCATCGCGTGGCGATCGGGAACGGTGCCAATTGAGTGCTAGACCGGGGTGGTGGTCCCCCTCTACAAGAAGGGGACTGGAGGGTGCGTTCCAATGATTGTGGGATCAGAGTAGTCAGCCTCCCCGTTAAGGTCTACTCAAAGGTACTGGAGAGGAGACTATGACCGATGGTCGAATCTCAGATTCAGGAGGAGCAGTGTGGTTTTCGTCCCAGTCATGGAACACTGAACCGGACAGCTGCTTTGTGGATTTGGAGAAGGCGTTTGACCGTGTTCCCCGGGGTGTCCATTGGGGACTGGAGCCAGAGCTGCGTTTGCATTGCCGGCAGCAAGTCTCCGCCAAGGGCAAGGCTGCCCTTTGTCACTGGTTCTGTTCACTGTCTTTATGGAGAGAATTTCTAGACTCAGCCGGGGGTCGGAGGGGGTCCGGTTTGAAGACCACAGGATTTCATACCTACTGTTTGCAGACGATGTTGTCCTGTTGGCTCCAACGAACCAGGACCTGCAACATGCACTGGGATGGTTTGCGGCCGAGTGTGAAGCGGCTGGGATGAGAATCAGCACCTCCAAATCCGAGGCCATGGTGCTCGACCGAAAAAAGGGGCCATGCCCTCTCCAGGTGGGTGTCCTTCCTCAAGTGGAGGAGTTCAAGTATCTTGAACGAGTGATATTGCCAGGCGGATCTCTGCTTCGACTGCTGCCCCCGCGACCCGGCAACGGATGAAGCGAAAGAAAATGGATGGATGGACTTTGTCATCACATCTCAGGGTGGCTACACTTCATTGAATACATTTTTATTTAAAAACTTAACATCTTCCTTTTACTATTTGACTTTTTGCAAGCTACTCAGACTTGGATATGCGTGTCCACCTCAATCTTGCTTTAATTAGAATTGACCACATTTCTGTTGCCTCCCATCCCTGCTCTTTTCTTCATTTGTGATAACAGTGCTTCAGTCTGAGGACCAAAACAAACACGTGAAAAACAGCAGAGGTCCGGACCAAAAGCCCCTCACAACTCAGAGCCCTTTCCCTTCACAAGACCACAGAGCCAGGCCTGCGGACAGTGTGGGACAAGGAACAGGTGTCTGACCCTCAGAGACTGAATGTTTGGATTGTGTTGGAAGTTTTCTGCTAAAGACCACAATGAGACCAGGCCACAGCAGAAAGAACCATCAGGAGGCTATAGACAGACCAAAAGACAAGACATGTTCAGAAAATAGATTAAAAAAACCACACAAATCTTGACAATTTCTTGACATTTTCACACAAAAAATATTATAATAATTAATTAGTTAAAAAACACTGCACTGTCTTTTGTTTTATAAAACTACAGTTGATGGTGTGCCATGCGATTGGCAAACCCATATTTTCAGTTTTTGATTGTTGAAAAGGATAACAAAATCATGTAAACATATCTTTTCTGTGTGGAGTTTGCATGTTCTTCCTGTGCCTGCATAAATTTTCTCCAACATTTCCCCAACTACTTTCTCTAACAGCATGTATGTTTACAGTGACTGTGTGTTTAAGACATTCACATCAGCCAAAGCCTACAAACCAGAGAGGTGTTCAAATGTTAATCTATTAAGTGAGCAAACATGCGTTCGCTGCGTTCATCTAGCCGCTGTACTCATCGTCAAGGCCCATTGAAATGGATCTCATCAAACAGGTCTAGTTTTATTCACTCAAACATTACATTCAAAACATTACCACCTGATGTCTACCTGGAACCGGGTGAATCTGCTCGTTAAAAGATAAGATAAGATAAGATGTGCTTTATTTATCTCACAGAGGAGAAATTTACATGTCACATTTGGCATGGATAGAACACTCAGATTGTGCAAAAGGAGGAAATGTGCAAACATGTTACATGCAGGATATATATGTACAATAAAAGTGACAATAATTATATACAACAAAAGTGACAAGTGTGAATTGGAAACAGTGTCAATAGTAGTGCAGGTTTTCACACAGTGATCATTTAAAGTGACTAAAAAAGTGATACACTTCACTTACAGTCACCAATTTTCAACACTCACTTACTCTTAGTTAGCCTGGTCTTACCATATCATTGTACAAATGTCATTTTGTACGTGTAGGGTGTTGTGGAAATATCCTTAATGATCCATGAACATGTGTTGTTCAAAACCATGAACACTGTACTGCAGAAACATCTCGGATAGAAAAAAGCAATGAAAAACCTAACTAGAAATGGTACAATGGCTGAAGCCATTGTGAGTGGCTGCATAGATGTTGGAAGGGTTAGGGATGAAGAAGGAAGAGGAAGGGGAAGAAGAAGGAAGAAGAAAGAAAAGGGAAGAAGAGGAAAGAAGAAGAAGGAAGAGGAGGAGGAAGAAGAAGAAGGGGAAGAAGGGGAAGAAGAGGAAGAAGGGGAAGATGAGGAATAAGAGGAAGAAGGGGAAGAAGAGGAAGAAGAGGAAGAAGGGGAAGAAGAGGAAGAAGGGGAAGAAGAGGAAGAAGTGAAGAAGATGAAGTAAGAAGAATGTGTTGTAAGGGGCTGAAAGTGTTGTAAAGTGCTGAATGTGTTGTAAGGTGTTGTAAAGTGCTAAATGTGTTGTAAAGTGCTGAATGTGTTGTAAAGTGCTGAATTTGTTGTAAAGTGCTGAATGTGTTGTAAAGTGCTAAATGTGTTGTAAAGTGCTGAATGTGTATTCAAGTGCTAAATGTGTTGTAAAGTGCTAAATGTGTTGTAAGGTGTTGAATTTGTTGTAAAGTGCTAAATGTGTTGTAAGGTATTGAATGTTTTGTAAAGTGCTAAATGTGTTGTAAGGTGTTGAATGTGTTGTAAAGTGCTAAATGTGTTGTAAGGTGTTGAATTTGTTGTAAAGTGCTAAATGTGTTGTAAGGTGTTGAATTTGTTGTAAAGTGCTAAATTTGTTGTAAGGTGTTGAATTTGTGTTAAAGTGCTAAATGTGTTGTAAGGTGTTGAATTTGTGTTAAAGTGCTAAATGTGTTGTAAGGTGTTGAATTTGTTGTAAAGTGCTAAATGTGTTGTAAGGTGTTGAATGTGTTGTAAAGTGCTAAATGTGTTGTAAGGTGTTGAATTTGTTGTAAAGTGCTAAATGTGTTGTAAGGTGTTGAATGTGTTGTAAAGTGCTAAATGTGTTGTAAGGTGTTGAATTTGTTGTAAGGTGCTAAATGTGTTGTAAGGTGTTGAATTTGTTGTAAAGTGCTAAATGTGTTGTAAGGTGTTGAATTTGTTGTAAAGTGCTAAATGTGTTGTAAGGTGTTGAATTTGTTGTAAGGTGCTAAATATGTTGTAAGGTGTTGAATTTGTTGTAAGGTGCTAAATGTGTTGTAAGGTGCTATAAGTGTTGTAAGGTGTAGAATTTGTTGTAAAGTGCTAAATGTGTTGTAAGGTGTTGAATGTGTTATAAAGTGCTAAATGTGTTGTAAGGTGTTGAATTTGTTGTAAGGTGCTGAATGTGTTGTAAGGTGTTGAATTTGTTGTAAGGTGCTAAATGTGTTGTAAGGTGTTGAATGTGTTGTAAAGTGCTAAATGTGTTGTAAGGTGTTGAATTTGTTGTAAAGTGCTAAATGTGTTGTAAGGTGCTGCAAGTTTTGTAAGATGCTGTAATGTATTGTATCTGTGGTAATGAATTGTTAGTGTGGTAATGTGTTGTATGGGGAGTAATCTGTTGTACTGGTCCAATGTAAGTCAATGGGAAAAAGTGCTTGAACTTTTGTTAATATTTGAAAAAGTGCTAAAGGTGGAAGTTTAAAAAGTAATAGCAATAATGAGACGGTGAAGCCGGTCGTAACGATGTATAATTTGTTGAATTTGGTGAAAGCGTTGAGGAGTTGAAAAGTGCCAAAATCTGGCGGAAGTGGAAGAAGAAGAAGAAGAAGAAGAAGAAGAAGAAGAAGAACTAGAAACTTGCAATGGCTGAAGCCATTGCGATTGACTGCGGAACAGATCTAATGTGGAAATCTGCTAAAAAAAATCCTTGAAATCCTTTAAAAGGCCTTGAAACTGTTAAAATACTTGATAGATATTTGAAACTCCTGAAGTCCTTGAAATTGTTGAAACCTTTAAACTCCTGAAATCCTTGAAACTGTTGAAACATTGAAACTCCTGAAATCCTTGAAACTTTTTTTAAACCTGGAAACTGTTGAAAGTGTGGAAACTCCTGAAATCCTTGAACCTCCTGATATCCTTGAAACTGGTTAAATTCTTAAACAGTTGAAATCCTTGAAACTACTGAATGTATTGAAAGTGTCCTTGAAACTGAAAAATCCCCTCACCGCTGAAACAATTTGGTTCCTGTAACTAAGGAAACCTGGTCTGTGGTCATTATCTGGTGGTGGTCTGAGTCTTCGTTTGGGTCTTGGTCTGGTGGTATAATGCAACCTATTAGGTTGCATTATACTGGTTTACATGGAAAAATCCCTATTAGGTTGCATTATACTGGTTTACATGGAAAAATCCCTATTAGGTTGCATTATACTGGTTTACATGGAAAAATCCCTATTAAGTTGCATTATACTGGTTTACATGGAAAAATCTCTATTAAGTTGCATTATACTGGTTTACATGGAAAAATCCCTATTAGGTTGCATTATACTGGTTTACATGTACAAATCCCTATTAAGTTGCTTTATACTGGTTTACATGTAAAAACCCCTATTAGGTTACATTATAGTGGTTTACATGTAAAAATCCTTATTAAGTTGCATTATACTGGTTTACATGTAAAAACCCCTATTAAGTTCCATTATACTGGTTTACATGTAAAAACCCCTATTAAGTTCCATTATACTGGTTTACATGTAAAAACCCTATTAAGTTGCATTATACTGGTTTACATGGAAAAATCCCTATTAAGTTGCATAATACTGGTTTACATGGAAAAATCCCCATTAAGTTGCATTATACTGGTTTACATGAAAAAAACCCTATTAAGTTGCATTATACTGGTTTACAAGGAAAAATCCCTATTAAGTTGCATTATACTGGTTTACATGGAAAAATCCCTATTAAGTTGCATAATACTGGTTTACATGGAAAAATCCCCATTAAGTTGCATTATACTGGTTTACATGTAAAAAACCCTATTAAGTTGCATTATACTGGTTTACATGGAAAAATCCCTATTAAGTTGCATTGTACTGGTTTACATGGAAAAAACCCTATTAAGTTGCATTATACTGGTTTACATGGAAAAAACCCTATTAAGTTGCATTATACTGGTTTACATGGAAAAATCCCTATTAAGTTGCATTGTACTGGTTTACATGGAAAAAACCCTATTAAGTTGCATTATACTGGTTTACATGGAAAAAACCCTATTAAGTTGCATTATACTGGTTTACATGGAAAAAACCCTATTAAGTTGCATTATACTGGTTTACATGTAAAAACCCCTATTAAGTTGCATTATACTGGTTTACATGGAAAAATCCCCATTAAGTTGCATTATACTGGTTTACATGAAAAAAAACCCTATTAAGTTGCATTATACTGGTTTACATGAAAAAACCCTATTAAGTTGCATTATACTGGTTTACATGGAAAAATCCCTATTAAGTTGCATTATACTGGTTTACATGGAAAAATCCCTATTAGGTTGCATGATTACACTGAAGTCCTTGAAACTGCTGAAGTCCTTGAAACTGCTGAAGTCCTTGAAACTGCTGAAGTCCTTGAAACTGTTGAAGTCCTTGAAACTCTTGAAATCTTGAAACTGCTGAAATCCTTGAAACTGTTGAATCCTTGAAACTGTTGAATCATTGAAACTGTAGAAATGTCTGAAAGAGCTGAAGTCCTATTAAAATGCATGGGCCTATTAAAATGCATTGCAGAATTCTCAATGCAGATTTTTGTCCGATTGCGGAAAAACCGGAAATCGCTGAAGTCCCAAAAGTAATAGCAATAATCTCCCAAACATGTGGAACGTTTTGATGTATAACTTGTGGAAATTGTTGAAAATGTGAAAGCTGTGAAACGTGTCAAAAAAAATGACGGAATAAAGAAATACAAAACCAATGGTTGACTGCGGAAGGTTCCGCAGTCAATCAATAAACAGTAGGAGAGCATATAGTGGCTGCATAGTCTATGCAGCCACTCAATTAAAGCGCAAAACAACTGTAAGCTTCATTGATTGACTGCGGAACCTTCCGCAGTCAACCATTGGTTTTGTATTTCTTTATTCCGTCATTTTTTTTGACACGTTTCACAGCTTTCACATTTTCAACAATTTCCACAAGTTATACATCAAAACGTTCCACATGTTTGGGAGATTATTGCTATTACTTTTGGGACTTCAGCGATTTCCGGTTTTTCCGCAATCGGACAAAAATCTGCATTGAGAATTCTGCAATGCATTTTAATAGGCCCATGCATTTTAATAGGACTTCAGCTCTTTCAGACATTTCTACAGTTTCAATGATTCAACAGTTTCAAGGATTCAACAGTTTCAAGGATTTCAGCAGTTTCAAGATTTCAAGAGTTTCAAGGACTTCAACAGTTTCAAGGACTTCAGCAGTTTCAAGGACTTCAGCAGTTTCAAGGACTTCAGCAGTTTCAAGGACTTCAGTGTAATAATCATGCAACCTAATAGGGATTTTTCCATGTAAACCAGTATAATGCAACTTAATAGGGATTTTTCCATGTAAACCAGTATAATGCAACTTAATAGGGTTTTTTCATGTAAACCAGTATAATGCAACTTAATAGGGTTTTTTTTCATGTAAACCAGTATAATGCAACTTAATGGGGATTTTTCCATGTAAACCAGTATAATGCAACTTAATAGGGGTTTTTACATGTAAACCAGTATAATGCAACTTAATAGGGTTTTTTCCATGTAAACCAGTATAATGCAACTTAATAGGGTTTTTTCCATGTAAACCAGTATAATGCAACTTAATAGGGTTTTTTCCATGTAAACCAGTACAATGCAACTTAATAGGGATTTTTCCATGTAAACCAGTATAATGCAACTTAATAGGGTTTTTTACATGTAAACCAGTATAATGCAACTTAATGGGGATTTTTCCATGTAAACCAGTATTATGCAACTTAATAGGGATTTTTCCATGTAAACCAGTATAATGCAACTTAATAGGGTTTTTTCATGTAAACCAGTATAATGCAACTTAATAGGGTTTTTTTTCATGTAAACCAGTATAATGCAACTTAATGGGGATTTTTCCATGTAAACCAGTATAATGCAACTTAATAGGGGTTTTTACATGTAAACCAGTATAATGCAACTTAATAGGGTTTTTTCCATGTAAACCAGTATAATGCAACTTAATAGGGTTTTTTCCATGTAAACCAGTATAATGCAACTTAATAGGGTTTTTTCCATGTAAACCAGTACAATGCAACTTAATAGGGATTTTTCCATGTAAACCAGTATAATGCAACTTAATAGGGTTTTTTACATGTAAACCAGTATAATGCAACTTAATAGGGATTTTTCCATGTAAACCAGTATAATGCAACTTAATAGGGATTTTTCCATGTAAACCAGTATAATGCAACTTAATAGGGATTTTTCCTTGTAAACCAGTATAATGCAACTTAATAGGGTTTTTTTCATGTAAACCAGTATAATGCAACTTAATGGGGATTTTTCCATGTAAACCAGTATTATGCAACTTAATAGGGATTTTTCCATGTAAACCAGTATAATGCAACTTAATAGGGTTTTTTACATGTAAACCAGTATAATGGAACTTAATAGGGTTTTTTTACATGTAAACCAGTATAATGCAACTTAATAGGGGTTTTTACATGTAAACCAGTATAATGCAACTTAATAGGATTTTTACATGTAAACCACTATAATGTAACCTAATAGGGGTTTTTACATGTAAACCAGTATAATGCAACTTAATAGGGATTTTTACATGTAAACCAGTATAATGCAACTTAATAGGGTTTTTTCCATGTAAACCAGTATAATGCAACTTAATAGGGATTTTTCCATGTAAACCAGTATAATGCAACTTAATAGGGATTTTTACATGTAAACCAGTATAATGCAACTTAATAGGGTTTTTACATGTAAACCAGTATAATGCAACTTAATAGGGATTTTTACATGTAAACCAGTATAATGCAACTTAATAGGGATTTTTCCATGTAAACCAGTATAATGCAACTTAATAGGGTTTTTTACATGTAAACCAGTATAATGCAACTTAATGGGGATTTTTCCATGTAAACCAGTATAATGCAACTTAATAGGGTTTTTACATGTAAACCAGTATAATGCAACTTAATAGGGTTTTTTCCATGTAAACCAGTATAATGCAACTTAATAGGGATTTTTCCATGTAAACCAGTATAATGCAACTTAATAGGGATTTTTTCCATGTAAACCAGTATAATGCAACTTAATAGGGTTTTTTTTCATGTAAACCAGTATAATGCCACTTAATAGGGTTTTTTTCATGTAAACCAGTATAATGCAACTTAATGGGGATTTTTCCATGTAAACCAGTATAATGCAACTTAATATGGGTTTTTACATGTAAACCAGTATAATGCAACTTAATAGGGTTTTTTTTTTACATGTAAACCAGTATAATGGAACTTAATAGGGTTTTTTACATGTAAACCAGTATAATGGAACTTAATAGGGGTTTTTACATGTAAACCAGTATAATGGAACTTAATAGGGGTTTTTACATGTAAACCAGTATAATGCAACTTAATAGGGATTTTTACATGTAAACCAGTATAATGCAACTTAATAGGGATTTTTCCATGTAAACCAGTATAATGCAACTTAATAGGGTTTTTTACATGTAAACCAGTATAATGCAACTTAATGGGGATTTTTCCATGTAAACCAGTATAATGCAACTTAATAGGGGTTTTTACATGTAAACCAGTATAAAGGATAACAGTTTAAAGGATATCAGGAGCTTCAAATACTTCAGGAGTTTCAAAGATGTTTAAAGTATTTTAACAGTTTCAAGGATTTCAAGGATTTTTCAGCTAAATTCCACATTAGATCTGTTCCGCAGTCAATCGCAATGGCTTCAGCCATTGCAAGTTTCTAGTTATAATGCAGAATCTAACAAAAGATTCCTGATCAAAGCTGAGGTAAACCACAAATAATAACTGTTTATTTAAATGTCACTCGTTCCTGGCTCTGAAACATTTCGCATTCACATGTTTGTCCTCTGTCACAGCTTCAGCTTTTTCAGACAGAAAAGTGTAATCAGCTCTCACGAGGCTCTTTCTTACGAGTTTTCAAAAGATTTATTCAGAATAAAACGTTTCACTTTGACAAGTTGCGAACCCCAGCTTTAAACTAGATCTATAATCATACTCATTATAACTGGTTTAATTTATATTTACGTTTTTTTTCTTTCGTATGTGACATCACTGGGGAGATCTCCAGGTTGTGTGCGGCTTTCCCTCATAATTCCAATAAAGGGGCGCCCTCCAGTGGCCATCAACAGCACAGCAGGTTGGCAGATCCGAGACAACAGCTCACGTTACTATAGTTACACATCCAGGCTGGAGGACCACGTCATCTTTACGTCATTTATTCTGCATCTTTGCACATAGGAAATAATGGAACAACAACAGAATGCTCACAAGTATCAAAGTCTCCGAACACGCCTCATTTTACAGCTCTGCAAAAAAGTCTATTTACTGTGATGCAAAAATGACTTTAATCTAATAGATCATTTACATAAACATCGTTATCAATAATAACAAAAGAAAATCACCAATTATATTCAAGATCTTCAACGCAAAAGCACCGTTGCCACCACTTGACCTTGCTCTGTGGCGCCCCCTGCAGGTGAAAGCCAGCTCCCGTCAGACCTCTGAAGCTAAGCAGGGTAGGACCTGTTAGTACGGTGATGGGAGACCTCTGAGAACACGAGGTGCCACAGGGGGCGGCTGCGGCTGTGCAGTCCAAAAAGAGCTATATCAAATTAAATCATACTCTTATTATTCTAATTTAATCTCCTTTACTTAGCTGTGACTCTGGGATGTGTAGTATCTGGTACCGCATCCTAGAAACCTACCATCAACAAACCAGTTACCGGGGAAATTCCTTGGTAACCAGCAGCACTCTGAACAATCACTGTCAGTTATAGCACTTTAGTACCAGCTCGGTCTGGATAGAACCAGGACCAGGAGGGACTAAAGAAGACCCTGGTACTGGTTACACAGGACCAGAGGAAACATAGAGAGTAGAGAATATAGGGCTGGTGGAAACAGGGCTAAATGCCTTATGGGTCTAAATAGTACAACACCATATGGTTCAAATGAAAACATATTTATAAAGGAACCAAACCGGTAGCAAATAATATTCAAAAGAATGTTTTTTCATCGAGTTGAAAAATTGCTTTAATGTATGTTTTGGCAAAAAAAGATCATATAGAGCTTCATAGTCCCGCCTCCCCTGGTCCAGTTGTTCGGGTCCGGAAGTAAAAAATCTGTTTCCTATGAGCCCATGGACTTCAAATAATTCAAATCTGAAGACTTTTAAAGGCACCGTGCACTAAAGCATTCTGGGTATTGTAGTTTTAACCATATCTTTCCCAAAGTGACCTCAAAAGTGCTTTTCTCACTGACTGCTTTTCTGACTTTGAGATGGACTCAGGGAAAGGAGGATTTTACTTCCGGGCCCTGAAACTCTGCCCACACCAAAACTGAATTTAAATTAAGGTTTTAAAGAAGAAAAATACACACATACTTTATTAATAGCTACAAACGTCAACATATGATTCTAAAATATGATTTAATTTTTGCCACTTTGCACTCCAAGGCTTTAGGCATAAACATAAGCTCTCACTATCAAAGTTCTGGGCTGGTATTGCACACACACACACACACACACAGACACACACACACACACACACACACTTGCTTTCACATTTTTGGCACTTTTACATCCATTCCATTCATATGACTATAATCAAAGCAAATAACCAATCCTAAAATGTCCTCTTTTGGTCTCCACAGAGTCCCGTATACTTGCTCGGCTTCCCACTTGGCAGCATGCGTGGTGTTTATTCCCAAAAAAACAGGTTTAAAAATAGAAAGTGCACATTCGTAGGGAGTCCATCTGTCATCGAGGAGAACGTCTTTGTGGGAGAAGAATCGTAGTTTGCAAATAACAAAACAGAATTAGGGAAGATGTGGATGTCTATTTTGACTGTCTTAAAAATAAGGTTTGAAAGTGGTTCTGAGGGAGACCAGAGAGACCAGAGGGAGACCAGAGAGGGACCAGAGAGGGACCAGAGGGAGACCAGAGGGAGACCAGAGAGAGACCAGAGAGAGACCAGAGGGAGACCAGAGAGAGACCAGAGAGAGACCAGAGGGAGACCAGAGAGGGACCAGAGAGAGACCAGAGGGAGACCAGAGAGAGATCAGAAAGAGACATTGATCATTGTAAAAAATATCCCTGTGAGTCACTATCTGATGCTTTGGGCTAAGAGCTGATTGGCTGAGAGAGGCCGGTCCTTTCTTTTTCACTTTTCTGTCTGAAAAATCTGATCTAAAGATTTGACAGACATTTCTAAGACAGTCAAAATGAATCAACACTTCACAAACGTGTTCTCCTCATTTCTCGCAGAGCGCTCCTGATGCGTGCGATTGCTTTTGTCTGGATTTGCCGCGGCCCCTGGTGTCTATGTGGGTAAGTGGCGTTTTAACACATCCTTGGCGTTGCTGGGCAGGTTTTCGGGGAAGTTGACGTCGAACTCCACCACCAGATCTCCTCTCTGCTCCGGGGTCTTGGGCAGCGGCAGGCCCTGTCCCGCCACCGTCCGCCTCATGCCCGGTTTGATCACGTCGGTGATTTTCATGTTGCAGCTTTTCCCGTCGATGGTGGAGACGGTGACGGAGCAGCCGCAGAGAGACTGGACAGAGAGAGAGAGAGCGGAAGAGAGAGAGAGAGACAGAGAGAGAGAGAGACAGAGAGAGAGAGAGACAGAGAGAGACAGAGAGAGACAGAGAGAGACAGAGTGAGAGAGAGAGAGAGAGCGATACAGAGAGAGAGACAGAGCGAGAGAGAGACAGAGAGAAAGAGAGAGAGAGAGAGACAGAGAGAGAGCGATACAGAGAGAGAGACAGAGAGAGGGAGAGACAGAGAGAGAGAGAGAGACATTAGTGACAATAGGTTAGCTGTGGCTTTGTTCTTCAGTTACTATAACAAGATACAATTTACAAGATACATTTTCAGTAAAACCACACTGGAAAATCTCCACAACTCCAGAGAGAAAGAAACCAGAGAGAGAAAGAGAGAGAGGGACCTTAGAAAGAGAGAGAGACAAGTGAGTCCACCAGACTGTATAAGAGTTTTTTGTTTTTGTGTTTCTTCAAGTGGAGGACCTGTTTTTGCTTGGAGCTAAGTTTATTTTTATTTCCTCCATTACATGTTTAAGTTAATGAAACGCTTTTGTTTTTTACATGGATCTGTTTTTTGTCTATGAAGGGAATAGCGCCACCTACAGCTTAAAAACTAAAACATATGAACAATAGATCCTACAGTAGCTCAGTGGGGCGACAGTAGCTCAGTTGGTAGAGCATTGGCCTTCAGGCCTGAAGGTCGTGGGTTCATTTCCCACCTCTACACCTTCTCCACCGACTCCCACTGATGACTGCTGTCGTTGTGTCCTTGGGCAAGACACTTAACCCCACTTTGCCCAAAGCCCCCACTGAAAGATCAAGGCTATGCTCACACTCAGAGCAGCCGTCCTCCTGTGGACTCACCACCTGCAGAGGGTCAGTGAGGGGCTGGTGCTATGAGACTTGGGTGGCATCTCTGACTGCAACCCCCCTGACCCAGAAATGGATTAAAGGGTAGAAAATGGATGGATGGACAATAGATCCTATACACGCTTTGACATTCTCTCTCTCTCTCTGGTGTCTCTCTCTCTGGTCTCTCTCTCTCTGGTGTCTCCCTCTGGTGTCTCTCCCTCTGGTGTCTCTCTCTCTGGTCTCTCTCTGGTGTCTCTCTCTCTGGTGTCTCTCTCTCTCTGGTGTCTCCCTCTGGTGTCTCTCTCTCTGGTGTCTCTCCCTCTGGTGTGTCTCCCTCTGGTGTCTCTCTCTCTGGTGTCTCCCTCTGGTGTCTCTCTCTCTGGTCTCTCTCTCTGGTGTCTCCCTCTGGTGTCTCTCTCTCTGGTGTCTCTCTCTCTGGTGTCTCTCTCTCTGGTGTCTCTCTCTGGTGTCTCCCTCTGGTGTCTCCCTCTGGTGTCGCTCCCTCTGGTGTCTCCCTCTGGTGTCTCTCTCTCTGGTCTCTCCCTCTGGTGTCTCCCTCTGGTGTCTCTTTCTCTGGTCTCTCCCTCTGGTGTCTCTCTCTCTGGTGTCTCTCCCTCTGGTGTCTCTCTCTCTGGTGTCTCCCTCTGGTGTCTCTCTCTCTGGTGTTTCTCTCTCTGGTGTCTCTCTCTCTCTGGTGTCTCTCTCTCTGGTGTCTCGCTCTGGTGTCTCTCCCTCTGGTGTGTCTCCCTCTGGTGTCTCTCTCTCTGGTGTCTCTCTCTCTGGTGTCTCTCTCTGGTCTCTCTCTCTGGTGTCTCTCTCTGGTGTCTCTCTCTCTGGTGTCTCTCCCTCTGGTGTCTCTCCCTCTGGTGTGTCTCCCTCTGGTGTCTCTTTCTCTGGTGTCTCTCCCTCTGGTGTCTCTCTCTCTGGTGTCTCCCTCTGGTGTCTCTCTCTCTGGTCTCTCTCTCTGGTGTCTCCCTCTGGTGTCTCTCTCTCTGGTGTCTCTCTCTCTGGTGTCTCTCTCTCTGGTGTCTCTCTCTGGTGTCTCCCTCTGGTGTCTCCCTCTGGTGTCTCCCTCTGGTCTCTCCCTCTGGTGTCTCTCTCTCTGGTCTCTCCCTCTGGTGTCTCTTTCTCTGGTCTCTCCCTCTGGTGTCTCTCTCTCTGGTGTCTCTCCCTCTGGTGTCTCTCTCTCTGGTGTCTCCCTCTGGTGTCTCTCTCTCTGGTGTCTCTCTCTCTGGTGTCTCTCTCTCTCTGGTGTCTCTCTCTCTCTGGTGTCTCTCTCTCTGGTCTCTCTCTCTGGTGTCTCCCTCTGGTGTCTCTCCCTCTGGTGTGTCTCCCTTTGGTGTCTCTCTCTCTGGTGTCTCTCTCTCTGGTGTCTCTCTCTGGTGTCTCTCTCTGGTCTCTCTCTCTGGTGTCTCCCTCTGGTGTCTCTCTCTCTGGTGTCTCTCTCTCTGGTGTCTCTCCCTCTGGTGTGTCTCCCTCTGGTGTCTCTTTCTCTGGTGTCTCTCCCTCTGGTGTCTCTCTCTCTGGTGTCTCCCTCTGGTGTCTCTCTCTCTGGTCTCTCTCTCTGGTGTCTCCCTCTGGTGTCTCTCTCTCTGGTGTCTCTCTCTCTGGTGTCTCTCTCTCTGGTGTCTCTCTCTGGTGTCTCCCTCTGGTGTCTCCCTCTGGTGTCGCTCCCTCTGGTGTCTCCCTCTGGTCTCTCCCTCTGGTGTCTCTTTCTCTGGTCTCTCCCTCTGGTGTCTCTCTCTCTGGTGTCTCTCCCTCTGGTGTCTCTCTCTCTGGTGTCTCTCCTCTGGTGTCTCTCTCTCTGGTGTCTCTCTCTCTGGTGTCTCTCTCTCTCTGGTGTCTCTCTCTCTCTCTGGTGTCTCTCTCTCTGGTCTCTCTCTCTGGTGTCTCCCTCTGGTGTCTCTCCCTCTGGTGTGTCTCCCTCTGGTGTCTCTCTCTCTGGTGTCTCTCTCTCTGGTGTCTCTCTCTCTGGTGTCTCTCTCTCTGGTGTCTCTCTCTCTGGTGTCTCTCTCTCTGGTGTCTCTCTCTGGTCTCTCTCTGGTCTCTCTCTCTGGTGTCTCCCTCTGGTGTCGCTCCCTCTGGTGTCGCTCCCTCTGGTGTCTCCCTCTGGTCTCTCCCTCTGGTGTCTCTCTCTCTGGTCTCTCCCTCTGGTGTCTCTCTCTCTGGTGTCTCTCTCTCTGGTGGTGTCTCTCTCTCTGGTGTCTCTCTCTGGTGTCTCTCTCTCTGGTGTCTCTCTCCGGTGTCTCTCTCTGGTGTCTCTCCCTCTGGTGTCTCTCTCTCCTGTGTCTCTCTCTGGTGTCTCTCTCTCTGGTGTCTCCCTCTGGTGTCTCTCCCTCTGGTGTCTCTCTCTGGTCTCTCCCTCTGGTGTCTCTCTCTCTCTGGTGTCTCCCTCTGGTGTCTCTCTCTCTGGTGTCTCTCTCTCTGGTCTCTCCCTCTGGTGTCTCTCTCTCGCTCTGAGTCGCTGTGTAATTGTGTTAAAACTGCATATTGATTAAAGATTGCACAACCAGGACTTGAGGGAATGATTATGAAAGAATGGGCCTCACGTGGAGCCGTAAACAGCCAGAACAGATGGAGTGGCGGAGACTCCAGAGAGAGGAGGAGAAACTGGACGTTCTTGAGAAAAGCAATCAATAAAACACGTCTCTTCGTTGTCTTTTTGAGATTTGTGTATTTTCACTGGAGCCAAAGCGACTCTGGGAAAGAAGACGTTTGTGAAAGAAACTTCCAGATCATCCTTCGATAGTAAGATTCAAAAAGCTGCGATATTATACTAACAGAGAGACCAGAGAGAGAGAGACCAGAGAGAGAGAGACCAGAGAGAGAGAGAGACCAGAGAGAGAGAGACCAGAGAGAGAGAGAGAGACCAGAGAGAGAGAGACCAGAGAGAGAGAGACCAGAGAGAGAGAGAGACCAGAGAGAGAACAAGAGAGAGACAGACTAGAGAGAGAGACCAAAGAGAGAGAGACCATAGAGTGAACAAGAGAGAGACAGACTAGAGAGAGACCAGAGAGTGAACAAGAGAGAGACCAGAGAGAGAGAGACCAAGGAGAGAACAAGAGAGAGACAGACTAGAGAGAGACCAGAGAGAGAGAGAACAAGAGAGAGACAGACTAGAGAGAGAGACCATAGAGTGAACAAGAGAGAGACAGACTAGAGAGAAAGTCTTGTGAGAGGCCAGTGAGAGAGACCAGAGAGAGAGTGAGACTAGAGAGAGAACAAGAGAGGCCAGTGAGAGAGAGAGAGACACTGGAAAGACACTAAGAAAAGACCAGAAAGAGAACAGAGAGAGAGACTAGAGAGAGAGACCAGAGAGAGAGATCAGAGAGAGAGATCAGAGAGAGACTAGAGAGAGAGACCAGAGAGAGAGATCAGAGAGAGGGACCAGAGAGAGACTAGAGAGAGAACCAGGGAACCAGCATTGACAACTTTATGGAGATCAGGAGGAGTGAGAGTGTTATTTATTTTAGAGTTTTCAGCGGATGTGAAAGAAACAGGACTGGTTTGTTTGACGCTGTTGCAGACGGTGAGAGTCAAGGAGACACTGAGGCGACGACACATGGACTAATGTTTGAAGACTGAGGTTTGGATGTGGGTTGATGAGGAGGACTTCAGATTTGGAGGTGTTGAGCTGTAGAAAGTTATGGGCCGTCTAACTGTTCCCATCATTTAAACATCATTAAAGTCCACGTTATGAGCGGCCATAACGTGTTCAAAGGGAGCATATAAAGGAAATAAAATGGGACCTAAGATAGACCCTTGCGGGACACCACAGGTAGTGTTGAGGAGGTAAAACTACCCATCGTGACTGCAACAATTCTGTCTAAAATATAAGAATCAAACCCATCAAGAGCAGTATCACCGACTCCTCCAACCCACGTCTGTTGTGTTTGAATAAAATATTGGGGTCGATTGTGTCAAAGTTTGAGCTTAAAGACGCAGCCTCGCTCTGTGATTGGACGAGAGCGGGAGTTCATCCACGGCTGAATCCATGAGCTCAAGTTTTACATTCAATTACGGATTATAACACAACTTGTATGTAGTAATAAGCATTTTTATGAACTTGTAAGAAAACAAATTGGCATGCTAATGTTAGCATATAGATTGCAAATAAAACTAGATGGCTCCGTGGAATGAGAGCGTAGGGGAAATGAGAAGCCTGTGAGTGAGTTGGGGGCGGGGCTAAACATTAAAACTGAAAAAAACCTGCAGAAACGGGTATAGCTCCTTTAAGGCTAAAAGAGTTCAAATAGAGAGCTCTCCTCTGTCTGTGACTGAATCCAACTACTGGAAACCGCAGCAGTCGCTCTGAAACAGTTGTTGTTTTGTGTTTTACAAATGTTATTTTTCTTGTTTCTGCCTGAGATGTTGCTGTGAGCTGAGGGACTGTTGCTTTTTATTATTACTATTTTTAGCTTCTTTTTTTTCGGAACATTGTTAAGTGCTTTGGGTGACCTTGGTCTGTAAAAATGCGCTATATAAATAACATTACTTACTTAGTTTATAGAATGATCCATTTTATTTTTAATTTTTGCTGCTGCTCGACACCTCCATCTATCTATCTATCTATCTATCTATCTATCTATCTATCTATCTATCTATCTATCTATCGATTCCTCCTTCCTCCTCCGTCGAGCAAAGACGTGTCTTAGTCCGCTCCTGCTTCTGAACGGCTTGCTATCTCCTGTTTTTGTCTTTTTTCCTGGAGCTTTGCCACAGACAACTCTAACAGAATGGAAATGATTAATTGGTCCCTCAACGCAATTGATTCTATCTTTTCAACTCGTAAGCGTGGGTCTGGAGAGCCCGTGTGTCCGGACGGGACTTCACCAGCGGGGTATACACTTGACAGCTGGAACAAGTGGCAGCCCCTCTGTCTGTCGACCCTGTCCATTGAAGATTCGGAAGACGTATATATCTTTGGCATTTTGGTGGCGGGAATCCTCCTGTTTGGGTTTGGAGCGATCCTCTTCTACCACAAATTCGGAGGCATGGCAGTTCGCAAGATTCACGACCTGCTGGCCGATAAAATTGATGGGATGTACAAGGAGCTTAGCCGTGTCGTGGTTGAGAGTGCCGTGTCTGGACAACGGAGAGTGGTGTTGGTGGAACAGTTGATCAAAGACCTCGCAGCTCGTTCACTTGATGGACATAAGACCTTAGAATTGAGATTGAATGACATTGTTTGTCAGGCTTGATCTCTCTGACCCGGCTTGGATTTGCCCCTGTGTACGGAGGTCTGAGGGCACCGGAATTCGGTTTAATTGGAATTAATAGAATATCTGCCTGATTTTGACTGCGACATTGCAGGCGATGTGTTTTTCTCCTCCTGTGGCTTCTCTCTCCACTCTTATCTCACATTCCTCAGCCAAGGCCATAAACAAGGTCCCACAATCTACAACAACTCACACTATTTCAGTCTTCAGCAAGGATCCCCCACCCCCGCCTCCCTCTACCTATCCATCTTGCTCCCTCCCTCCCCTCCATTCCTTATTGTTTTCCTACTCACCCCCTCCCTGATCCCGCCCCCCTCTGACAGCTACATTGGGCCGGCCGAAGAGGTGCTCTTCCCGAGAAAAAAATCCGTGGTTTATAAAAAGCACAATGTGTCTATCCAATTGTTTGTGAACTGTATGTTATTGCTCTCTGCTGTTTCTTGCTGCACACAGCGCCGCAAATGGCGAAGTGGCACGCTCTCTGCCAAAACAATTTCCAAGTGATAACTTTGTTACTCACGTGGCAATAAAAATGATTCTGATTCTGATGATTCTGATCTATCTATCTATCTATCTATCTATCTATCTATCTATCTATCTATCTATCTATCTCTCTATCTATCTATCTATCTATCTCTCTATCTATCTCTATCTATCTATCTATCTATCTATCTATCTATCTCTCTATCTCTCTATCTATCTCTATCTATCTATCTATCTATCTATCTATCTATCTATCTATCTATCTATCTATCTATCTCTCTATCTCTATCTATCTATCTATCTATCTATCTATCTATCTATCTCTCTATCTCTATCTATCTATCTATCTATCTATCTATCTCTATCTATCTATCTATCTATCTCTATCAATCTATCTATCTATTTATCTATCTATCAATCTATCTATTTATCTATCTATCTATCTATCTATCTATCTATTAGCTCTCCTGCTCTCACCTGGTACAATGCATCTGTCCTTTTGGCTTTTGTTTACTGAACACTGTTGTAGAAATCAGTGCAGCCCTATTCTGCTCCGTGATGATTCTAAGACTGACTAATTCTACATGTTTCACACATTTTGCTCTGAAACCCTCCTCTGTGTGCGGCGGAGCTGTGAGTGTGTGTGGGAGGCAGCGAACCCACTGTGCCTCCTCTGACTCTCTCCACAGTCATTACGGAGAGGCCACTGGTCCGCAGGGTCTGACACTACGCTCATCTACTGCACCTGCCGTTTCCCAGGTATTTTCGGAAATCTACGGCCGAAATTATTGATGGGCGACTGCTATAAAAAGAACAGACGCAAAGCCAGGTCTTTGTCAGGAGTGGGAGGCGGTGAAATGATCCATCTGCTCCTGTTGTGTTATTCAGTGAGACATGCAGGAGGCGGGAGTCAAGCGAAAAGACGGTATATTCCTAAAATGCATTTTGTAAAGTATGTTGGGATTCTATAATTTTGTATGTTCTGGTTCTACAGCCTGAGTCCTGGGTCTACAGCCTCAGTCCTGGATCTACAGCCTCAGTCCTGAAACAACAGCCTGAGTCCTGGATCTACAGCCTGAGTCCTGGATCTACAACCTCAGTCCTGGATCTACAGCCTGAGTCCTGGATCTACAACCTCAGTCCTGGATCTACAGCCTCAGTCCTGGATCTACAGCCTGAGTCCTGGGTCTACAGCCTCAGTCCTGGATCTACAGCCTCAGTCCTGAAACAACAGCCTCAGTCCTGGGTCTACAACCTCAGTCCTGAAACAACAGCCTGAGTCCTGGATCTACAGCCTCAGTCCTGGATCTACAGCCTGAGTCCTGGATCTACAACCTCAGTCCTGGATCTACAGCCTCAGTCCTGAAACAACAGCCTGAGTCCTGGATTTACAACCTCAGTCCTGGATCTACAGCCTCAGTCCTGGATCTACAGCCTCAGTCCTGAAACAACAGCCTCAGTCCTGGGTCTACAGCCTCAGTCCTGGATCTACAGCCTGAGTCCTGGATCTACGGCCTGAGTCCTGGGTCTACAGCCTCAGTCCTGGATCTACAGCCTCAGTCCTGGATCTACAGCCTGAGTCCTGGATCTACAGCCTCAGTCCTAGATCTACAGCCTCAGTCCTGAAACAACAGCCTCAGTCCTGGGTCTACAACCTCAGTCCTGGATCTACAACCTCAGTCCTGAAACAACAGCCTGAGTCCTGGATCTACAACCTGAGTCCTGGTTCTACAACCTCAGTCCTGGATCCACAACCTCAGTCCTGGATCTACAGCCTGAGTCCTGGATCTACAACCTCAGTCCTGGATCTACAGCCTGAGTCCTGGATCTACAGCCTCAGTCCTGGTTCTACAGCCTCAGTCCTGGATCTACAGCCTCAGTTCTGGATCCACAACCTCAGTCCTGGATCTACAGCCTCAGTTCTGGGTCTATCGTCTGTCTGTGCATGGGAGTAGATCTCTCTCTCTCTCTCTCTGTGGTTCTTCACAAGGTTTCTCTGTTTTCTATCACTGGATTGATCTGTTTTTTCTTGATCGCAGTTATAAAAACACACAAGCACAAAGCCCTCCTCACCTGTCTCAAGCTGACTTTGACCGGGTAGACGATGTTGGATCCCTCGCGCCTGAACTGTGGATGCGGCTTGTCCTTGATCACGAACACAATATCTGCCGGGATGGTGCTGGCCGACTCGTCCCCTTCTCTCGGGAATGTGATCTTAGTCCCTTCCTTCCAGCCGCGCTTGATCTCGATGGTGAGAATCTTGTCCTCCGTCCGCACCGTCCTCCCGTCCGGGTTCACTCGCTTCCTGGAGATCTTCATCCTCTTGGTGCAGCCGTGGAACACCTCCTCCAGCGTCACCCGCAGCTCGTGGACGATGGGCGGGTCCTGCTTCCGGCTCCTTCCGTCGCGAGGGAAGCCGTTCATGTTGAAGGCGGGGAAGCTGCCGTCCACATCCATGTCCTCCTCGTCGCGGCCGTTGTTGTTGGGTTTGCGGCCGAAGAACATCTCGAAGGGGTTGGAGCCGCCAAAGAAGGTGGCGAAGGTGGCGTGAGGGTCGCCGTGGAAGGTGTAGGTGAAGGTGGAGCCGGGGCCACCATCGCCGCTCGGGCCGTTACCGCCTTTGAGACCTGAAGGGGAAGAGGAAGAAGAAGGTTAGGATAGATAGATGCCACCTTGATCCTCAGACCTTTTCTGTTCTATCTCTACGTGCTGCTGTCAGGGCAGTTAGGCACGTATTTGACCTGTGCTAAACAAATAAGTGCCGAACAAATGGCATCTTTTGTCTCTTTCTTGATCCAAGAACTGAACTGAAGTCTTTACGTTCGGCTGACAGCGACCACGAAAACACAGAGTTGGTTTAGGTTCCTTGCAGCCCCGTGAGACAGAGTCATCTACAAACAGAATCTTCAGAGCGGCCCTTTGGAGCCGGAGTGAAAATACACCATGAATCAGGCTCCGATAGAGATGATTCACTCTGGGCCACGTTGGAAACAGAGTCTGAGTCACCACCGACATTTACAGACAGCACTTTACAGCCTCCGGTGATCAGGTGACGGGAAGCAAGGTAAAGTAAGGTGAAATAAAAAGGTGAAATAAGGCAATGAAGGTGGAGCTAATATAAAGGCTGGATAAACAGTTACTGGGACTCTAAGGAGCACAGGGACGGCCTGCTGCTGGGACTCTGAGCAGCACAGGGACTGGCCTCCTGCTGGGACTCTGAGGAGCACAGGGACTGGCCTCCTGCTGGGACTCTGAGGAGCACAGGGACTGGCCTCATCCTGGGACCTTTAGGAGCGCAGGGACTGGCCTCCTGCTGGGACTCTGAGGAGCACAGGGACTGGCCTCCTGCTGGGACTCTGAGGAGCACAGGGACTGGCCTCCTGCTGGGACTCTGAGGAGCACAGGGACTGGCCTCATGCTGGGACTCTGAGGAGCACAGGGACTGGCCTCCTGCTGGGACTCTGAGGAGCACAGGGACGGCCTCCTGCTGGGACTCTGAGGAGCACAGGGACTGGCCTCATCCTGGGACATTTAGGAGCGCAGGGACTGGCCTCCTGCTGGGACTCTGAGGAGCACAGGGACTGGCCTCCTGCTGGGACTCTGAGGAGCACAGGGACTGGCCTCCTGCTGGGACTCTGAGGAGCACAGGGACTGGCCTCATCCTGGGACATTTAGGAGCGCAGGGACTGGCCTCCTGCTGGGACTCTGAGGAGCACAGGGACTGGCCTCCTGCTGGTCCCAGAGTCAGGACTAAACATGGGGAGGCTGCATTTCAGATTCATGCAGCAAAAACCATAAACACCCTTCCTGAAAATGTGAGACTGGCTTCTTCTCTGCGGCTGTAAAGTCTCAAACTGTGATTGGGTCCTTTGGCAAGACACTTCCCCCACAGTAGAGTCTGGTGTGTGTGAATGGTTGGTGGTGGTGGGAGGGGCTGATGGCACAGTTGCCTCGCTCCTGTCAGTGTGCCCCAGGGCAGCTGTGGCTACAGTAGTAGTTTATCACCACTGTGTACGGAGTAAAACTGATGCTTTATTATTATTATTATTATTCATTATTATTATTATTATTATTCATTATTTATTACCTGCAGCTAACATCACAATTTCGTATGGAGTTAAATAGCTGTTAGTTTCAGTGAGTTTAAAATATTAAAGTAGCCCATTGGAACAGCTTTAGATTTAGGATAATTGGACAGTGTTTTAATCAACTGTATATTCTCTTAAAGCTGGGGTACCTCACTTTTAAACCACAAAAATAACTATGTAATAAACAAACATTTTAATACTATCACATGCATGTATGTTTTAACTCTGTCACATGTTTGAATCAGCTTTCAGACAGAAAAAAGAGAGAGAGAGGACAACCCTCACTCAGCCAATCAGCTCTCAGCCCAAAGAGGCAAATAGTCTGTTCACATCAGACTGTACATGTTACTGACACACGCCTGTTTTTGTCCGGACAAACAACATGCAATTATGAAAGAGAAAAGATTAGGTACCCCAGCTTTATAAGTGTTTATCAACATTTATGGGCAGTGGTCTCTGCCCTTTATGTGTTTTTATCACTGCATTTCTTTTGTCTGAACTGTTTGATTCTCTGATCTGTGTTGGTGAATTGACAGTAAAGTTCTCTGAGATAATTACTGTTGTGCTTTAGGACGATATAAGAATACATTTTCTTTGTACAGTTCCACATATATGCTGATATATTTATCTGTGTTGTAAATATGATCCTATACTTGCACTGGTTAGACATTAATCTACATTTCGTTGTATTGTTCAGACTTTGTAATGACAATAAAGTTTAATCTAATCTCTTATACATTCAATTTAAATGGAATTGAATACTAGAACCCCCTCTGGTGAATATAAGTTGAAATACAGAAAGAAAAACGGTTTGTTGAAAGGCTAATGCTAACTGGTAGCACGTTAACAGTACGTTGCTATGGTTACTAGCGCTCGCTCTTCCCTACGTCACATTGGAAATTAAGATATAATTTGATAATTAATAAATAATGAAATAGAAATAAACTACATAATGAAACAAAAACAAAATCAAAAAGTCATGAAGATTAAAAAAAAACATGGCACGTGAGAGCTCGGGTTAGAGCCAAATAAGCGTCTCAGTCTGTTTGTCATACAGATTTATTTTGTCTCCTTTTTATTTAGTATCTTAGTTATTGTTTACAGTTTAATTTGCATGACGTCTGAAATAAAAACCAAACTCTCACCTATAGCTGAATATTTCACGTCCAAAAGCCGTCAAATTGACTGCTCAGTGAGTTCTAGTGTTATGTAAAGTCATGTATCCCAGCTTTAATGCCATCAAAATGATCCATACACACACACACACACACACACACACACACACACGCACACACACACACACACACACACACACACACACACACACACACACACACACACAGAATGACAGTCTATCCAGTGCATAGACGGGACCCCAGCTCTGCACATACCTTCCTCTCCATATTGATCGTATATTTCTCGTTTCTTGGGGTCACTCAGAACGTCGTACGCCTCGGCGATTTCTTTGAACCTCTCCTCTGCCGCCGGAGACTTGTTTTTATCCGGGTGCCATTTCAGCGCCTGCTTTCTGTACGCCTTCTTCACGTCGTCCTCACTCGCCCCTTTGGAGATGCCCAGTGCTTTGTAATAATCCTTCCCCATTATAATGAATTCTTCGTTCAAACTAAGTGTCGGAGGAGGGGATGCAGGCGGACGGGGGGAGACGCATCCAGGGACCGATCACCGCCTCTCGGTTATGGAGGAGAGAGGCGGACGCGCACCGTGACACGATCCCGGGTGGAGAGCATTTGGAGCGGATTCGTCAGCGCAGTGGACCCCCTGATATGTGTCCAGAACCGGATGACCCTCTTTAAATAGCCACGGCTCCCTCCTCTGCGTCCATCCTTCGCCAGTGACAAGTTTACGCACGGCACTGCACTGCGTCCGGAGAGCGCGCGCCTCCAAAATAAATATATTATTATGATGTATTTAACTATTTATTTTTAATCTGCGCAATATTTATGTTACATATATCAATATAACAGACAAATACACTTGTATGGTTCTAAAAGGTTGTATATATAAACGGTTGTAATACAGTAAAATAAGCACATAACACATATAGCCGTTCTCCCTTTGATTGCAGTTTCAATTTGTTTGTTCAGAGCTAAAAATGTTTAGCCATTAGAAACCACTTCAATAGCAATAGAACCACAAGCATATTCCCAATTTTCTGTGATTTTTTTCAGCAGTTTTCCAGTTGGAGTTTTCAGGAAGAAATACAATTGGTCGGATCAATTATATATTTTGTGTTCACTTTATAAAAGCTATAGTTCATATAAGATAATTTCTATACAACACTACATCTGCTTGGAATCGGTTACCCATCAATACGATCCTTAACCTCCTTTGGTTTATTTAAGGTCCCGTCGGGAGGAGACCGGGGGAAGACCCAGGACACGCTGGAGGGACTGCATGAACGTCAAGGTTCCCCCAGATGAGCTGGAGGAAGTTTACGTGGAGAGGGAAATCTGGGCATCTCTAGACTGCTGCCACCAAGACCGGCAATGGATAAAGCATAAGAAGAGTATGTATTCAGCGTATTTCTCAGTGCCCAGAGGAAACCTACAGACATGGGGAGAACATGCAAATTCCACACCGAAAGGCCTGGAGGTGGAATCGAACCCAGGACCTTCTTTCTGTAGAGGATGGAGGCCAAAACCATTGCAAAACAGAACAGACTTATACTATTAAAAGGAAAGACGTGCTGAGCCTGTCACACTGAAGACTTTTATTTTGAAGGGCAGGTTCCTCTCTCGGTACCGCAGCTGTGCACGCGCTTTGACGCTCGCGCTGGACTCGTGTGGCTCATTCTAGAACCTAAATGCTGATGCGCGTCATTCACCACATGCGCTTTTCACATGAGGCTACTGCATAAAAATAATACCTGTGTTTTGATAATAAGATAGAACTGTGGTGAGGACGTGTGGCGTCATCAAACACTGTGGGAGCTGATGGAAAAGGTCTGTTTTCACCTACCACCCATCTCCGCCCATTAAAAACCTTACTCCAAGTGAATTGTTAGTGTCCTGTTCTTTCAAAGTATGGATTATCAATGAGTGTGAAATAAAGATTAATGAGGTTTCACAGGTTTCGCAGGTCCTTCCTCCCTGCTGCTGTCAGACTGTACAACGAAAACTGCTGAGTCTGCACTGTGGGACGAATGAAGGAATATCTTATCTTATCTAATAAAACAAGTGTGATACATCTATTCCATGAGATGTTTGTAACTTATATTTGGTGCCATAAGAGCCAACTGAGGAGAACAGGGACTGACAGGAACTAAACATTAGGAGGCAGCGTTTCAGATTCATGCTGCTAAAATCTGGAACAGTCTTCCTGAAAATGTGAGACAGTCTTCTTCTCTGATGTTTAAATCCAGGTTAAAACAGTTCTGTCTCGATGCAACAACTGAGATCTCTTCACTCTTATACGTTTCTGTGATTAATCATTTATTATGGCCTTGTGTGATTTTAATGCTTGTATTCTTGTTTTATTTATGAATTGTGCTTGAATTGTTTTTGAAAACCAAACATTAAAACCTTTTAACCCATTATCTACCTCTATCTCCATTTGAACAAAAAACATTGATATCGCAAGAATGTGTAAATTCCAACCTTCCATTTTCTTCCGCTTTATCCGTTGCCGCGGGGGCAGCAGTCTAAGCACAGACACAGACACGTCCCTCTCCAAACACGTCCTCCAGCTCATCTGGGAGAATCTTGAGGCGTTCCCAGCTAATATAATATATTATTAAAACCTTTTATGTCATAAACTGCTCTGAACAGAAGAAAACACCTGTACGGGGCCGCTCTGTGTCTTGTGAAGCAACAGCGCCATCTGCAGGCCTCTCGCACATGCGCACATCTCATTCCCCGTGAGTCAGCGTTGAGTGAGACGCTGCACCGCTTCACTCCAATGACTGCTCTGCTGAACACACACCCGCCTCCGTGATGCAGGGCTTCACTCCACACATCGCTTCACTCTGAGTTCTGCCTAGAGGTGAAGATGGAGCAGTTCCGGAGGCTTTTTGACAAACTGGACCAAAACAACGATGGCTTTATTTCCAAAGGAGAGCTGCACAATGAGATGAAGAGGCATGGGATCCTGTCTGCAGATGGGAAGGTGCAGGTATGACGTCACACTCAGCATTAAAGGCACTCATGTGTGTGTGTGTGTGTGTGTACTTATCATACTTATCTGTCAGAATGTCATTGACTCCTACGACCAAAACCAAGATGGCCTGTTGGACTACACAGAGTTCCTCAGTTACATGATGGACAGAGAGAAGAAATGGAAAATCCACTTTGAGGATTTGGACAGAGACCACTGCGGTGAGTCTGTGTGTGTTTTAATGCAATATTTGTGTTTTCTGACTTTCAAGGTGACTGCCATGAGCTGGTGTTTACAGTCATCAGTGACCTTTGGCCTCACGCAGCAGTGAACCATGGGATTTTCATGTGGGACGTGGAGCGTGCGGGGAATCAATACTTATATGTTATGGATGCAAAGAAAGAGAGAACACAGGGGTCTAGAGCAGGAGCGCAAACTTAGAGTAACTTTAACCCTTTAATGGTCACTTCTTGAAGAAAGCAATGTGTATTTTTTTCTTTTTTAGATTTTCTTAGATGTAGGAGCACAACTTTTTTGTGCGTGGCCGTTACCAAATGGTTGAGACGCAGGGTGATGGTGAAAGGGCCTAAAACCAAAGAGGTATATTTCAGTTCCTAGTCCATCAAAAAGTGATCTACCAAATGGTTGAAGACTCCAATAAAGGGTTAATTTATTTCCATTCAGTTTATTTGTGTCTCGCCCTAAATTACAACAGCAGTCGTCGTGCAGAACCTTACAAAGTTGTGGATTCCTCAACAACAGATCTGAGAATCACACAGCTCGAACAGGATATCAATAACAAACACTTTGGAGCCGTCGGTCTGAATGTTTATGTCTGTGTATGTCTATTATTATTATTATTATTATTATTATTGTCAATCTTTATGTGAAAAAACATGGGATGGCCAACATTGAGAGACACTCTAGACCCAGGACTGAGGCTGTAGACCCAGGACCGAGGCTGTAGACCCAGGACTGAGGCTGTAGACCCAGGACTGAGACTGTAGACCCAGGAATGAGACTGTAGACCCAGGACTGAGGCTGTAGACCCAGGACTGAGGCTGTAGACCCAGGACTGAGGCTGTAGACCCAGGACTGAGGCTGTAGATCCAGGACTGAGACTGTAGACCCAGGACTGAGGCTGTAGACCCAGGACTGAGGCTGTAGACCCAGGACTGAGGCTGTAGATCCAGGACTGAGACTGTAGACCCAGGACTGAGGCTGTAGATCCAGGACTGAGGCTGTAGATCCAGGACTGAGGCTGTAGACCCAGGACTGAGGCTGTAGATCCAGGACTGAGGCTGTAGATCCAGGACTGAGGCTGTAGATCCAGGACTGAGGCTGTAGACCCAGGACTGAGGCTGTAGATCCAGGACTGAGGCTGTAGACCCAGGACTGAGGCTGTAGACCCAGGACTGAGGCTGTAGATCCAGGACTGAGACTGTAGACCCAGGACTGAGGCTGTAGATCCAGGACTGAGGCTGTAGATCCAGGACTGAGGCTGTAGACCCAGGACTGAGGCTGTAGATCCAGGACTGAGGCTGTAGATCCAGGACTGAGGCTGTAGACCCAGGACTGAGGCTGTAGACCCAGGACTGAGGCTGTAGACCCAGGACTGAGGCTGTAGATCCAGGACTGAGGCTGTAGACCCAGGACTGTCCATACCACCATAACTTTTAACAATCCTATCGTTCTTGCTGCAGGTGTGATCGATCAGGAGGACATCGTCAGCCTGTTCCAGCAGTTAGGAGTCGTCATCACCAAAACCAGCGCACGGCAAATCATTCAAATGTAAGAACTCGACAAACACTGACACAGAGTTTACAGACAGAAGTTTAGAGTTTACAGACACAGGCTTAGAGTTTACAGACAGAGGCTTAAAGTTTACAGACAGAGGCTTAGAGTTTACAGACACAGGCTTAGAGTTTACAGACAGAGGCTTAAAGTTTACAGACAGAGGCTTAGAGTTTACAGACACAGGCTTAGAGTTTACAGACAGAGGCTTAGAGTTTACAGACAGAGACTTAGAGTTTACAGACACAGGCTTAGAGTTTACAGACAGAGGCTTAAAGTTTACAGACAGAGGCTTAGAGTTTACAGACACAGGCTTAGAGTTTACAGACAGAGGCTTAGAGTTTACAGACAGAGACTTAGAGTTTACAGACACAGGCTTAGAGTTTACAGACAGAGACTTAGAGTTTACAGACAGAGACTTAGAGTTTACAGACAGGCTTAGAGTTTACAGACACAGGCTTAGAGTTTACAGACAGAGGCTTAGAGTTTACAGACAGAGACTTAGAGTTTACAGACAGAGGCTTAGAGTTTACAGACAGAGACTTAGAGTTTACAGACACAGGCTTAGAGTTTACAGACAGAGACTTAGAGTTTACAGACAGAGACTTAGAGTTTACAGACAGGCTTAGAGTTTACAGACAGAGACTTAGAGTTTACAGACAGAGACTTAGAGTTTACAGACACAGGCTTAGAGTTTACAGACAGAGACTTAGAGTTTACAGACACAGGCTTAGAGTTTACAGACAGAGGCTTAGAGTTTACAGACAGAGGTGTCTTAGAGTTTACAGACAGAGGCTTAGAGTTTACAGACAGAGGCTTAGAGTTTACAGACGGAGGCTTAGAGTTTACAGACAGAGACTTAGAGTTTACAGACAGAGGCTTAGAGTTTACAGACAGAGGTGTCTTAGAGTTTACAGACAGAGGCTTAGAGTTTACAGACAGAGACTTAGAGTTTACAGACAGGTTTAGAGTTTACAGACAGAGACTTAGAGTTTACAGACAGAGACTTAGAGTTTACATACACAGGCTTAGAGTTTACAGACAGAGACTTAGAGTTTACAGACACAGGCTTAGAGTTTACAGACAGAGGCTTAGAGTTTACAGACAGAGGTATCTTAGAGTTTACAGACAGAGGCTTAGAGTTTACAGACAGAGACTTAGAGTTTACAGACACAGGCTTAGAGTTTACAGACAGAGGCTTAAAGTTTACAGACAGAGGCTTAGAGTTTACAGACACAGGCTTAGAGTTTACAGACAGAGGCTTAGAGTTTACAGACAGAGACTTAGAGTTTACAGACACAGGCTTAGAGTTTACAGACAGAGACTTAGAGTTTACAGACAGAGACTTAGAGTTTACAGACAGGCTTAGAGTTTACAGACACAGGCTTAGAGTTTACAGACAGAGGCTTAGAGTTTACAGACAGAGACTTAGAGTTTACAGACAGAGGCTTAGAGTTTACAGACAGAGACTTAGAGTTTACAGACACAGGCTTAGAGTTTACAGACAGAGACTTAGAGTTTACAGACAGAGACTTAGAGTTTACAGACAGGCTTAGAGTTTACAGACAGAGACTTAGAGTTTACAGACAGAGACTTAGAGTTTACAGACACAGGCTTAGAGTTTACAGACAGAGACTTAGAGTTTACAGACACAGGCTTAGAGTTTACAGACAGAGGCTTAGAGTTTACAGACAGAGGTGTCTTAGAGTTTACAGACAGAGGCTTAGAGTTTACAGACAGAGGCTTAGAGTTTACAGACGGAGGCTTAGAGTTTACAGACAGAGACTTAGAGTTTACAGACAGAGGCTTAGAGTTTACAGACAGAGGTGTCTTAGAGTTTACAGACAGAGGCTTAGAGTTTACAGACAGAGACTTAGAGTTTACAGACAGGTTTAGAGTTTACAGACAGAGACTTAGAGTTTACAGACAGAGACTTAGAGTTTACATACACAGGCTTAGAGTTTACAGACAGAGACTTAGAGTTTACAGACACAGGCTTAGAGTTTACAGACAGAGGCTTAGAGTTTACAGACACAGAGGTATCTTAGAGTTTACAGACAGAGGCTTAGAGTTTACAGACACAGGCTTAGAGTTTACAGACAGAGGCTTAGAGTTTACAGACAGAGACTTAGAGTTTACAGACACAGGCTTAGAGTTTACAGACAGAGGCTTAGAGTTTACAGACAGAGACTTAGAGTTTACAGACAGAGGCTTAGAGTTTACAGACAGAGACTTAGAGTTTACAGACAGAGGCTTAGAGTTTACAGACAGAGACTTAGAGTTTACAGACACAGGCTTAGAGTTTACAGACACAGGCTTAGAGTTTACAGACACAGGCTTAGAGTTTACAGACAGAGGCTTAGAGTTTACAGACAGAGGCTTAGAGTTTACAGACAGAGACTTAGAGTTTACAGACACAGGCTTAGAGTTTACAGACAGAGGCTTAGAGTTTACAGACAGAGACTTAGAGTTTACAGACACAGGCTTAGAGTTTACAGACAGAGGCTTAGAGTTTACAGACAGAGGCTTAGAGTTTACAGACAGAGGCTTACAGTTTACAGACAGAGGCTTAGAGTTTACAGACAGAGGCTTAGAGTTTACAGACAGAGGCTTAGAGTTTACAGACAGAGGCTTACAGTTTACAGACAGAGGCTTACAGTTTACAGACAGAGGCTTAGAGTTTACAGACAGAGGCTTAGAGTTTACAGACAGAGGCTTAGAGTTTACAGACAGAGGCTTAGAGTTTAGGGATTTTTACCGCCTTCTATTTCCTTATTCTTATATAACTATATACTGTATTACTTGCACTAGAATATACATGATTTATACTCATTATTAGGCCAAAGTCAGAGTTTTTGTACTGAAGTCTTGCTTCTTCATCATGTTAAATATAAAGATTGTATTCTTTTTATGCTAGAGTTAGAGATTTTTATTTATTTTGGGGTTTTTTGGTACAGAGGTATTATTCATTTATTGTGTGCTGTGTGCTCCTCATTCCGACTGTTCTGTATCTTGCAACACTGAAATTTCCCCACAGTGAGACAAATACAGCATCTCAATTGTTAAAACTTGGCTGCTTAGAAAAGTATAGCCCTCAAGACTGTCTCATGAGTTAGCCCCCGCTGTGAGAGATGTTCTGATGCTAATGCTAATGCTAATGCTAATGTTTCTGTAACCTGGCAAGAGCCAGATTGATGATTGTGTAGAACTCTAATGCGTTCTCCACAATATCAATCTGGGACTTCTGCAGGAGAATCCTTTCGGGGAAAGGCGGGATAAGCAGCAGAATACTTCAAGCTGATTGGGCGAAGTGACGCTGTGTGCCCGCCTACCAAGGTTTGACTTAAACCAATCCCGGTAACATCTTTGCCGTCCAGAAATGCACAAAGCGCCTCTCGCTGTTCATCTTTCAAAAAAGAAATTGTAGATTCTGCTAAAACTGACTTGATAGCCTCAGCTACGGTCCGTCCTCCTGCGTAGCCATGTTTGTTTTGCTTCGGCCCGGCACTTCCGGCACTTCTTGCTTTCGTCAAACCCGGATATCCCGCCCTAAACCCCCAGACTGGCGCGTGATTGGCTTGAACACCTAGATGTTCTACTCGAAAAGGGTTGGCGGGAGCGGGACAAGATGTATTCTCGAGTGTTTGTGAACTCACAAATACTGCGAGAATTCAGCTTGCAGGCAAGGTTACTGTTTCTGCTGAGAATGGTCAAATATGATTATTGCAAGAAACAAATTTCTAATGCATATAATGGTGATGTCGCACAGTGGTGATGTCGCACAGTGGTGATGTCGCACAGTGGTGATGTCACACAGTGGTGATGTCACACAGTGGTGATGTCACACAGTGGTGATGTCACACAGTGGTGATGTCACACAGTGGTGACGTCACACAGTGGTGATGTCACACAGTGGTGATGTCACACGGTGGTGATGTCGCACAGTGGTGATGTCACACTGTGGTGATGTCACACAGTGGTGATGTCACACAGTGGTGATGTCACACAGTGGTGATGTCACACAGTGGTGATGTCACACAGTGGTGATGTCACACGGTGGTGATGTCGCACAGTGGTGATGTCACACTGTGGTGATGTCACACAGTGGTGATGCCACACAGTGGTGATGTCACACAGTGGTGATGTCACACAGTGGTGATGTCACACTCTGTCTCCAGGATGGACAAAGACAACTCTCTGACTGTGGACTGGAGCGAGTTCTTACATCACGTCATCATTAACCCTGTGGACAACATCGGAGAACTGGTCTCCTCCTGGAAACACAATGTGGTAAGAAGCTTTCCTGGTGTCAAACCAGAGAGAGACCAGAGAGAGACCAGAGAGAGACCAGGGAGAGACCAGGGAGAGACCAGGGAGAGACCAGGGAGAGACCAGGGAGAGACCAGAGGGAGACCAGAGGGAGACCAGAGGGAGACCAGAGGGACACCAGAGGGAGACCAGAGGGACACCAGAGAGAGACCAGAGAGAGACCAGAGGGAGACCAGAGGGAGACCAGAGAGAGACCAGAGAGAGACCAGGGAGAGACAAGAGGGAGACCAGAGATAGACCAGAGAGAGAGACCAGAGAGAGAGAGACCAGAGAGAAAGGCCAGAGAAAGACCAGAGAGAGAGACCAGAGAGAGAGAGACCAGTGAGAGACCAGAGAGAGACCAGAGAGAGAGAGACCAGAGAAAGACCAGAGAGAGAGACCAGAGAGAGAGAGACCAGTGAGAGACCAGAGAGAGACCAGAGAGAGAGACCAGAGAGAGAGACCAGAGAGAGAGACCAGAGAGAGACCAGAGAGAGACCAGAGAGAGACCAGAGGGAGACCAGAGATAGACCAGAGAGAGAGACCAGCGAGAGAGACCAGAAAGAGAGACCAGAGGGAGACCAGACAGAGAGAGACCAAAGAGAGAAGAGGGAGATCAGAGAGGGACCAGAGAGAGACCAGAGAGAGAGGCAAAATGGATTGTTGTTTCCCAATGTTCTTTCTAATTTGCTTCTGCCTGAATGGTGCTATATAGATAAATGTGCCTTGGCTGTGTGAAAGGTGCTATATAGATAAATGTGCCTTGGCTGTGTGAAAGGTGCTATATAGATAAATGTGCCTTGGCTGTGTGAAAGGTGCTATATAGATAAATGTGCCTTGGCTGTGTGAAAGGTGCTATATAGATAAATGTGCCTTGGCTGTGTGAAAGGTGCTATATAGATAAATGTGCCTTGGCTGTGTGAATGGTGTTATATAGATAAATGTGCCTTGGCTGTGTGAAAGGTGCTATATAGATAAATGTGCCTTGGCTGTGTGAAAGGTGCTATATAGATAAATGTGCCTTGGCTGTGTGAAAGGTGCTATATAGATAAATGTGCCTTGGCTGTGTGAAAGGTGCTATATAGATAAATGTGCCTTGGCTGTGTGAATGGTGTTATATAGATAAATGTGCCTTGGCTGTGTGAAAGGTGCTATATAGATAAATGTGCCTTGGCTGTGTGAATGGTGTTATATAGATAAATGTGCCTTGGCTGTGTGAAAGGTGCTATATAGATAAATGTGCCTTGGCTGTGTGAAAGGTGCTATATAGATAAATGTGCCTTGGCTGTGTGAAAGGTGCTATATAGATAAATGTGCCTTGGCTGTGTGAAAGGTGCTATATAGATAAATGTGCCTTGGCTGTGTGAAAGGTGCTATATAGATAAATGTGCCTTGGCTGTGTGAAAGGTGCTATATAGATAAATGTGCCTTGGCTGTGTGAAAGGTGCTATATAGATAAATGTGCCTTGGCTGTGTGAAAGGTGCTATATAGATAAATGTGCCTTGGCTGTGTGAAAGGTGACTTCCTTCCTGGTCCCTTGTGCAGGTGTTCGATGTGGGGGAGAGCAGAGCGATGCCCATGGAGCTCTGTGAGGAGCCCGGAGCCTGGAGCAGCTTCGTTCTGTCGGCTGGTTTAGCAGACGCTGTGTCCAGGACGGTGACCGCGCCCATCGACCGACTCAAAACTCAACTGCAGGTCAGTCTGGTCATTCACACAGACTGTATACGTATGGTCTTACCACACCACTGTACTCATTTCATTTCATATTGAGGTCTGGGTTTGCTCCATTGACTCCGTGAACAGGTGGGAGGGGCTAACTCCTTTTGCAGATTGAAACTATTGGATCTGAGTTTACTGTGACGTATGAAATGAGCCCGAGTGAGTCGTTAGAATTTAGCATTTAGCCTAGCTTTAGCATATAGCCTAGCTTTAGCCATCTCCTTTGCCGCTAACGGAGCCCGTGGGGAGTAGCGCCACAACATCTTTGCAGCTCTGACAGTTACTAAACATTCCTCTTGCTCCGGCTTCAGTTTCTCAATATTTGGATTGAACCAGAACAGATTATTTTACTATCGCATTCTCCGACAAACTACAATCAGCAAATTCAGCACAAACTCTTGACGTCACCGACACCGACCTACAACACCCGCCTCCCCCGCTCTCTGATTGGTCGGAGGGGATTCAACCGAGGAAACTGCAGCCACTAGGATCAGACCCAGACGTACATGTAGGAAATGATCATGGACCAGAGTTTACACATGGTAAGACCAGACGTACATGTAGGAAATGATCATGGACCAGAGTTTACACATGGTAAGACCAGACGTACATGTAGGAAATGATTATGGACCAGAGTTTACACATGGTAAGACCAGACGTACATGTAGGAAATGATCATGGACCAGAGTTTACACATGGTAAGACCAGACGTACATGTAGGAAATGATCATGGACCAGAGTTTACACATGGTAAGACCAGACGTACATGTAGGAAATGATTATGGACCAGAGTTTACACATGGTAAGACCAGACGTACATGTAGGAAATGATCATGGACCAGAGTTTACACATGGTAAGACCAGACGTACATGTAGGAAATGATCATGGACCAGAGTTTACACATGGTAAGACCAGACGTACATGTAGGAAATGATCATGGACCAGAGTTTACACATGGTAAGACCAGACGTACATGTAGGAAATGATCATGGACCAGAGTTTACACATGGTAAGACCAGACGTACATGTAGGAAATGATTATGGACCAGAGTTTACACATGGTAAGACCAGACGTACATGTAGGAAATGACCATGGACCAGAGTTTACACATGGTAAGACCAGACGTACATGTAGGAAATGATCATGGACCAGAGTTTACACATGGTAAGACCAGACGTACATGTAGGAAATGATCATGGACCAGAGTTTACACATGGTAAGACCAGACGTACATGTAGGAAATGATCATGGACCAGAGTTTACACATGGTAAGACCAGACGTACATGTAGGAAATGATTATGGACCAGAGTTTACACATGGTAAGACCAGACGTACATGTAGGAAATGACCATGGACCAGAGTTTACACATGGTAAGACCAGACGTACATGTAGGAAATGATCATGGACCAGAGTTTACACATGGTAAGACCAGACGTACATGTAGGAAATGATCATGGACCAGAGTTTACACATGGTAAGACCAGACGTACATGTAGGAAATGATCATGGACCAGAGTTTACACATGGTAAGACCAGACGTAGGAGATGATTATTCTTGGCTTGCAGTCACGTGACGCATTAATTTCCGGTTAATGAAGTGGTGGTCAGGCAAACCAAAATTGCAGCAGTTTTGCGAAGAAAATGCGACAGTAAGTATTTTTGTGCTTTAGAATCTAATTCTATATAGATAGATCCTAATGCGTTATCCAGTTCAGTTCCCGGATATCTCACACTATCTCGCTGTGTCTAGTGCCTTTGATCGGAGTTCATAAAGTTCACAGTTGAATGTCTTTACCTCCTCTTCCATGCTTACAATATCTCCTCCAGAATATCTGGACTCTGAATTTATGGTGTGTCAAATCTCATGAGTTTGTGGAACTCTACCAAGGCCTCGGCACATTTTGAGCGTTTCCTCTTTTCGAGAGTGAGTTCGCTCATCTCGCCCTACGGTCGCTGCAGTCGGCTGTTTCACTTTCCCGTGGCCAAGATTCCTTGTAGGAGCCCAGTCTATGTCGCTCTCATCAGACAGATTGCTTGGACGTCCTGTTGAACAACATGAAAACATATTACAATGCTGCTGTTTTAACAATCACTGTTTTGAAATCACTGTTCATAACACTGAAAAGATCTGAATATAAATTAAGGCCAATGTGATTTACAAACTGAAGAAGATGACAAAGTCTGGGATCGGGTCTTTAATTCAGACAGAAGACATGTTTTATTGTCGATGGTAGAGACAGCACGAACAACAAATACAACAGAATGCAAGTGTATTATACAGAGCGGAGGCATGGAGACCTCCAATCAGCAGCTTCCACAGTGCCATGTAGCTTGGCCTTCAGATAGACAAAACAAGGGAAAAGTACTGGCTTCTGCACATTGATAGAATGATGAGTTTAACTTTAACAAAAGTTGCTTAAAAGTGTTATGAAATCTCACAAAACCTTTAACAAAGTGATTGCCACAAACTCTGGCACTCTTTGACTCAGCTCCCCTCGAAGTCAAAGAAATGTTATCGAGCCACATTTCCTACGTCTTTTCGTAAAGTCCTTAATACAAGGCCCTTTATCAATGGCCGTGTTTCTGGTAAAAGCAGCGGGTGGAACTTTTACAGGAGCCTCCCTCTCCCTCGGCCCTCTCAGTGTCCGTGTCTCCACTGCAGCAGGACCACTCGGCGATGTCATGAGTTTTGATTGCAGTGTTTCACATGTTGATTGTGTGCACTTGTCCCTATCAAATAAGTTAATAAACAGATGCATAATTGTCTGTTTTCTGGCGTCTTCTGCAGGTGCACGGGTCTGGGGCGTTCTCCCGGGGCTTCCAGGAGCTGCGTTCGGGGGGTGTGCGGTCCATGTGGCAGGGAAACGCTGTGAATGTCCTGAAGGGAACACCTCAGTCCACTCTGCAGTGTCTGATCTACGCACAGGTGACAAACAACACCCAGCATGCAATATGCACCACCCCACTCTGGTTACTGCCACCGAAGAAATCAGAGATGGATGGATAGATGGACAATGCTAACATGCTAACATGCTAGCTCAATGAAGCCCAATATGGATACCTAAATTTCTCCTACAAGATCAATAAAGTACCTATTTATCTATCTACCTACCTACCTATTTATCCCTCCCTCTATCTATCTATCTATCTACAGTATCTATCACTCATCATCATCATCACGCAGTACTTCAGAAGTCACATGTAACATAGTTTGAAACAAAACACCTCACCCTTGTCTCTCTGGTCTTTCTCTTTCTCCCTCTGCTCTCTCTTGCTCTCTCTCTCTCTCTCTGGCCTCTCTCTATCGTCTCTCTCTCTCTCTCTCTCTCTCTGGCCTCTCTCTATCGTCTCTCTCTCTCTCTCTCTCTGGCCTCTCTCTATCGTCTCTCTCTCTCTCTCTCTCTCTGGCCTCTCTCTATCGTCTCTCTCTCTCTCTCTCTCTATCGTCTCTCTCTCTCTGGCCTCTCTCTATCGTCTCTTTCTCTCTCTCTCTCTCTCTCTCCGGCCTCTCTCTATCGTCTTTCTCTGGCCTCTCTCTATCGTCTCTCTCTCTCTCTCTCTGGCCTCTCTCTATCGTCTCTCTCTCTCTCTCTGGCCTCTCTCTATCGTCTCTCTCTCTCTGGCCTCTCTCTATCGTCTCTCTCTCTCTCTCTCTCTCTGGCCTCTCTCTATCGTCTCTCTCTCTCTGGCCTCTCTCTATCGTCTCTCTCTCTCTCTGGCCTCTCTCTATCGTCTCTCTCTCTCTGGCCTCTCTCCCTCGTCTCTCTCTCTCTCTCTCTCTCTCTCTCTGGCCTCTCTCTATCGTCTCTCTCTCTCTCTCTCTGACCTCTCTCTATCGTCTCTCTCTCTCTCTCTCTCTGGCCTCTCTCTATCGTCTCTCTCTCTCTCTCTCTCTATCGTCTCTCTCTCTCTGGCCTCTCTCTATCGTCTCTCTCTCTCTCTCTCTCTCTCTCTCTTCGTCTCTCTCTCTCTCTGGCCTCTCTCTATCGTCTCTCTCTCTCTCTCTCTCTCTCTCTGGCCTCTCTCTATCGTCTCTCTCTCTCTCTCTCTGGCCTCTTCTCTCTATCGTCTCTCTCTCTCTCTCTCTCTCTGGCCTCTCTCTATCGTCTCTCTCTCTCTCTGGCCTCTCTCTATCGTCTCTCTCTCTCTGGCCTCTCTCTATCGTCTCTCTCTCTCTCTCTCTCTGGCCTCTCTCTATCGTCTCTCTCTCTCTCTCTCTGGCCCTCTCTCTATTGTCTCTCTCTCTCTCTCTCTCTCTGGCCTCTCTCTATCGTCTCTCTCTCTCTCACTCTGGCCTCTATCGTCTCTCTCTCTCTCTCTCTCTCTCTGGCCTCTCTCTATCGTCTCTCTCTCTCTCTCTCTCTCTCTCTGGCCTCTCTCTATCGTCTCTCTCTCTCTCTCTCTCTCTCTCTGGCCTCTCTCTATCGTCTCTCTCTCTCTCTCTGGCTCTGGCTCCTATTGACTTCCATGTAACTGATAGTGTCACACTCACCATCTCAGCCTGTAAAAATCCATGGTTTATCGCTCTCTGTGATCCTGATGTTTATATTGTGATATATTCCTTCATTCTTGGGGGAAAGACGGGCAACACATCTAGCTAGCTTCTGTTGAAATGGGCTTCTCCCTGCTTGTTGTCTCCAGATGAAAGCCTACACTCAGGACCAGTACCGGGACAGTCTGACGGTGCAGCAGAGGTTTGCTTTGGGCTGTGTCTCTGGAGCTGTGGCCCACGCCGCCTTCTACCCCCTCGAGGTATCAGGTCGGACATTCAACATCCCCCTCTGTACCAACAATCAGCTGTGATAATGTTCAGTACACTGCCAAACATGAGGTAATCATTTGAATGTAGTGGTTTTTATCTAAATGACACATTCTGACCAGATTCTCCAATGGGACAAAGACATTTAGTCTGATTTCAAGATTTTTTTTATTCGTCCCATCGGCAAATCTCGTTTTAAGGCACAGTCAGAATGTGCTCGAATTAACATACGTTTTGCCAAATTGGAGCAATTTTGGACTCATTTTTCATCACTTTTTGCAGTGTAGTGATAATGTACAGAACATTATTAAGATAATCAATTTGAGCAGGAGACGTCAGATCAAAGTAGGACTCTGAATCCCACCACAGTCTTGGTAGGAATTTTCTAGAACCCTATTTCCACCAGCCCTACCCTACCCTACTCTACCCTACTCTACTCTACTCTGCCCTGCCCTAGTCTACCCTACCTTGCTCTGCTCTACTCTACTCTATTCTGCTTTGCTCTGCTCTACTCTACTCTATTCTGCTCTACTCTACTCTACTCTACTCTACTCTACTCTACCCTACTCTACTCTACTCTACTCTACTCTACTCTACCCTACTCTACTCTACTCTACTCTACTCTACTCTACTCTACTCCACTCTACTCTACTCTACTCTACTCTACTCTTTAGAGTATTTCCACTGGCCCTTTTTAACCAGTACCACATACATTTTTAGCAGCGTTTCAGATTAATGCAGATAAAATCTGGAACAGACTTCCTGAAAACTTGAGACAGGCTTCTACTCTGAAAATGTTAAAATCCAGGTTAAAAACAGTTTCTATTTAGCTGCAAATACAATTGACTAATTTTCTCTTTTTAATATCCCTTGATCATTTTTAATTTAAATACCTCGTGTGTTTCTATCTTGTTTGGTTCATTGTGATTTGCCTTGTGTATGAACTGTGCTATACAAATAAAGTTGCTTTGCTCATATGGTTGACTTTTGTACTGTATTTTAACTACGACACTTGTTCTGACCGTTCCGCTGCAGGTGCTGAAGGTGCGGCTGAACCTGCTCCAGGCCGGAACCTACCGCGGAGTCGTGGCCTGTGCTCGGTCCATTTACACAAACGAATCCATGGCGTCGTTTTACCGAGGGTTCAAACCCAGCCTCCTCTGCATGATCCCCTACGCCGGCGTGGAGTGTGCCGTCCACCAGGTCCCTGCAGCAGACACAACATACAGTTTAAAGGAGCAGTACGTACAAATGTGGCCAAAAGTGGTACTGCAGCCTCTCCCACTCTCCCTGACTCAGGTTGCCAGATATGCAGACGAATCCAGCTGGGACCATAACAGCTGAATAGACAAGAGTTTAGTCAACAACAAATCTATAACCAACACCTTTTTCACAAAGATAGAAATCCTGGTTTTATTCCTTGTTTTGTCGTTAATGATTTCAGAATCATAACGAGACCTTTTTTAGTTCAACGCAGTGAGTGGCGCCCGGATCACGAACTACTGTTATTAGTTAAAGAAGTATTGGAAAAGAGCTGTTTATTATTATGACAGATTAGGGCCCTTTAATGATGACAGATTAGGGCCCTTTAATGATGACAGATTAGGGCCCTTTAATGATGACAGATTAGAGCCCTTTAATGATGACAGATTAGGGCCCTTTAATGATGACAGTTTAGGGCCCTTTAATGATGACAGATTAGGGCCCTTTAATGACGACAGATTAGGGCCCTTTAATGATGACAGTTTAGGGCCTTTTAATGATGACAGATTAGGGCCCTTTAATGATGGCTTGACATTAAAATCTTATTTATTGCTACTTTAAACCATCCTACCCTCATCAATATTCATGATATGTAGTAATTTAGATGTACTGTGATTATTTATGATTTGAATGTCTGATTGTTTCTATCTTGTTTTATTAACCTTTTTCTGTTTTCGAAGATGTAGGAGCACAAATAACACATAAAAAACCCTAATCTTAATTAAAGTCCTTTACCTCTTGTTGTTCTGTATTGTATTGTCATTGTTCGATGACAAAAGTGTCTCAAACCAAGTGATTTAAAGAGGTATATTTCAGTTCCAAGCTTCAAGTAGACATAGTGCCTCAAAAGGTGATTCACAAAATGGTTGAGAAAACCATTAATGTACTTTTAGTCGCCTTGCCCCTGTCAGGATTTAGCAGACAGAGACGGATCGTGGTGTGCCAAACTCTGGAAGTTTATTTAAGTTTCTCTCAAGTTCCACTGGTTTACTCTGTTTCTTTCTCCCAGACAGAATAAAGGCAGTACACAGTTTATATAGTCATTGTCACGTCACACATCGAAAGACATACGTGTCACAAAGAGACAGTCACATCATAGTCATAACATGGAGTCCTTGTAGAGTCCTTGTACAGTCCTGCACGTAGGCCATATTGCTATCTACTACTAACACCCCCCCCTTTGATCACATAATCACATGTGATCACTCAAATCGATCAATCAATAAAGTGGAAAAAGAAAAAAAAATCTAAAAAAAACTTTACAAAATTATTAAAAACAAAGAAAATGTATGCATTAAACTCATAATCATCAAATAAACAAACAAAAATAAAGTAAATAAACAAACAAAAAACAAATCAAAAATAAAAACAAACAAACACTATTGGACACACAAGAACTCAGCAGATTCAGTCAAAACACAGACAAAAACGAGCTGAGTCTCAAATTTGAAGCTAATTTCACTTTTCTTACTCTATACTTTTATTCTAATGCTGATTGTTTACACTACACTCAATCTTATTTCACTGTATTATTTTCACTTTTCAATCTTAGACTGTGTACTTTACTTTCACTATTCACTATAGTTTAAAACTATTCTAATCTATTCACAAATATGTGTTGCATATTTGCTTCTATTGAGCCATATTCTTAAACTAATTTTAATCTCATACATCTCTCTGTGGTATTATACTCTCATTATCAGTTTGGGATGAATGTACATCTTTAATCAAATTAGTATTATCCTTACAAGTGCTAATCTATTTTAGCAGGTTTGGGGTTGGGGTCAGTTATTCCACAATGGTGTTTGATTATCTAATCTCTATTTTTGAAAGCATCTATGGTTGATGTCTCTATTTCTACACTATTGTGGCTCTAAAGCTCGGTTGCAGCTTGAGTCAAGGCATATTTCTACTCTAACTCTTATGTGGAAATGTTTATGAACAACAAAGGAAGTCAAATTCTACTCTTTTACTACTATTTGACATCTAATAAAACGCTACAATACTCATACTTTATCATTTTCAAAGTTTTTCTGTCAGATGTCTGAATACTTAACATGTATATTGCATTTGGTCACAGGTTCTGGTTGTAGCAATAGCATCGGCAATAGACGATTTTTCATCGGCTGGTTCTTGTTCTGCAAATGTCTGTGTCCAATAGATCATCAGATGTCCAGAAGCTAGGGACAAACAAAAACAAAAGAAAGAATCATGAGTATCACTCTCATTTAGCACTCATCAATGTATGATTTTAATAATATAAACATCACTCCCCAGGTTTTCTCTCTCAGGTCCTCAGGCCCTCAGGTCCTCAGGTCCTCAGGTCCTCAGGTCCTCAGGTCCTCAGGTCCTCAGGTCCTCAGGGTCCTCTGAGGGTGAGTCTCAGTCGTCATCAGGTCTGGTCATTTTTCGAGAGATATCATCTTGGACATCAGTAGGGTCCAAGCCATGGTTTTGGTCTCTCCAGATGCACATCAGGATCTCCAGATACAGTCTTTTCACTTGAAGCACATCAGGTCATTTGCGATGCACTTCTGGTCAATGGTGCAGTGTCTCAGTTCCTGTACACAGCTTGTTATGCAGTAGTTACTCTCTATGGTTAGTCACTTTGATTCTAATCCTAATCAATTTCTATTCATGCTGTTGCTAATGTCCCTTAGACAAAAGCAAGCGCAGTGATTCAGTTTACTTCTCTAATTTGTGTTTTTATCAGATCTAATTCTAATCAATGTAATTACTTCACACAGTACAAAATCAACAAATCAAAAGTGTCAGGACAGAGGTCAATTAGTCCATGACAATATAGAATTCAAATGAACATTTCTGGTCTCAAAAAATACTGATTCAAGTGATAGACAATTAAAAATATTTGTTTACATTGGAGTAAACTTTTAAAATGCTTTTTTCTCATGTTATGCTTTTTCATGTATCTATATGTAAATGTGAATGTGTGAGTGTATGTGTGTGTGTGTGTGTGTGTGTGTATGTAGGGTGTGAATTTTGGGGTTGTGTCTCCAGACTCCTCGAACCACCTGTAGGTCTCAAAGGTCACACTGTGGTGATGTAAACAAGCAAAGTGGGCACACTTCCAGATTGCAAAACAACTCACCCACCACTGCCTACAGAAAACCTCACTTTGTGGCCCCGGTCTCACTGCCACCTACGACCATCGGTCTGTAGTGGGGGAGGGGCACACGGAGGTAGCTATGTTGCCTTTACGATCTGCGGCTGGTTGGATGGTGTCTATTCTGGGCCACTGTTCTGATCCCTCTGTGTCCACTCCAGCAGTCCAGTGACCCTGTACAGTGTGTGCCCTTGGTTCTGGAAAACAACCTTATAGTCAAATTAAAAACAACAGAGATTGTGAATGAGATTGTTTTTCTCCCTAAAGTCAAAACAATTTTGGAGCGCTCTGGGTTTTCAAAAGCTCTATGTAAATACAAGATTACTTATTATCTTACTAATGATGACATTTTTAACACCAGAAACTCTCTTAATAAAAAACAAGACTCAAATCTCTTTAAACTTTTTTAAACTTTAAAATATGTGTACTTTTGTACTGTGTTTAATTATCTATGCATTTATCTCAGCATATATTTTACTAATTTAAAATAATTGCAGCATTTTTCAAATGAAGTCAGTATGAATTGGAGCACATTTTAGACCAGGCTCCTCTGCTGTGTGCATCAGCAGGAGGAGCAAGGTCAGGCGTGTAGTCAAAACAAAAACTTCACCGCTTGCAATGGGTGAATTGGGTAGTTTAACTTAATAATATAATACTTTTACAGCTAATGCTAATTCCCTCTTTCTTTTTAGACGAAGTCTATAATCAATAATCACTTTTAACACAGATTCTAATTTAAATGTTTGAAAAACGGCTTTTGTAACTAAAATAAAAAATACATGAAAAAATTCTCACTAACAGCTATGAAATATATCAGAGATACAATAATGGACTCACAAATAAGCAGCAGATTTAAAAAAAAAGCAAAGCTTTAGCACTAATATTTGGGTTTCAAAAACATACTAATTCAAAACTTCTATTCCCTAATGGTGTTTAAAAACGTTAACTGTGTCTAACACAATGTTCAAATGGCAAATTTCGCAAATTTAACGGAATAACAACTATGAAAAGCCAAAAATCCTAAAAGCAGGTTTGTTCTGATTTAGAGCCAGAGCAGCGAAGGAGGGGGCCGTTTCCCTGACAACGGCAGCAAGATAGTGCGGCACACACACAGACAGAAAGTAGTGTTTTAGCAAAAATGCAAAAACAGAAAGAAGAATAACTTTCAAGATTACTTTTTAAAGCGAATATAACTGATGTTGTTCTTTAAACTTTTGTCATCCAAGTCTAGAAATGGCCACTTTCCACACTAGTAATAAAAGGCACTCTTTAGTGTTTAACGTTTCCCTTTTTATTATAACTTTAAATTTTACACCATGGTTTCACTAACTATTTTCTATTCTCTATTCTCTGCCCCGGCTACTCCAAAGGCAGGGACCCCGATACATCAGGGGTTCCTTTTTCTCTCTGTCCTGACTACTTCAAAGGCAGGGACCCCGATACGTCAGGGGTTCCTTTTTCTCTCTGTCCCGACTACTTCAAAGGACAGGGACCCCGATACGTCAAGGGGTTCCTTTTTCCTATAGGGACTGGTTACCCACACAGCTAACCTGTTTTCTACAACATAAGACATGACAAAGACGTGACAAAGACAAAACAAAGGAAATTTGATTTAGAGAGAGTTGGACAGACCTCCGGGACAGCTCAAAATTTAGCTAGTATCCAATTATGCAGACTTTACATATTAAAAAAGGTGTCTGCTTACCTTATTCTCTTTATCCGGACTGTTCGAGAGGTCGACCAACATCTTTTCCGCGTCGAAAAATTCAATTTAAAAAACAAAAGTGACAGAAGCGACAAGAAGCATCCAGGAACAGCTCTTCCAGCCTGCTGGAATCTCCGTTCCCAGACACAGCATGCCGGTCTCTCACGCAGAGGAAAAGAAACAGAGCAAACTCCCTCAAAACAATCCAGAGAATGGCACAAACCGAGCCGCGCATTCTCCACCAAATCTGTCAGGATTTAGCAGACAGAGACGGATCGTGGTGTGCCAAACTCTGGAAGTTTATTTAAGTTTCTCTCAAGTTCCACTGGTTTACTCTGTTTCTTTCTCTCAGACAGAATAAAGGCAGTACACAGTTTATATAGTCATTGTCACGTCACACATCGAAAGACATACGTGTCACAAAGAGACAGTCACATCATAGTCATAACATGGAGTCCTTGTAGAGTCCTTGTACAGTCCTGCACGTAGGCCATATTGCTATCTACTACTAACACCCCTTTAGTAGACAAAATTGGTAAGTTTGAGGAAAAGTATTAGTTTCACCAAATAGGCCCAAAATGGGGAACTCAGAAATATCTCATACACTGCTGTCCTACATGTACTCGAGTAGTATACGTTGAATGTATTTTTATTATTATTAATGTTGAATGATAAAGGTTTTTTCTCATGTTTGCAGTCGATAATGACCTGGGCCAAGACTAACTCGGACTACAACAGTGAGACTCAGCTGTTTTTCTTCAGTTTTGTAGCTTTCGCCTCGGGACAAATGACCAGTTACCCTCTGGCTGTGATCCGGACTCACCAACAAGCAGAAGGCAAGTGCACGGGTCAAATATTCAATCGCAATTAATTGCACTAACGTCATAATTAACACGAGATTAATCACAATTCATCGCAATTTATTTTGATTTTGTGTTTCTTAGCTAGCTGTAAATACTTCAAAATAATCTGTTAAAATATCTATATATACTGTACATATAGGGCAGTAGATAAAGTGACAAATGCCCCTTGATTTGGTTTGAAAAGGGATCGGACAAAGCAAAACACATATTAATCCAATACTCGCCAAAAAAAGTATTTATATTTTCTAATATTGGCGTCTGACTCTCTGCTTTTGTTAGTTAGAGTCAGTTAGATGTTTACAGAATGTGACATCACCGCAGTGTAAATAACTCTAGCTTCAGCGTTTGTGCTGTGACCTGGAGATAGTTGTGATTCTGATGGACGTTCAGCAGTGAGCGCGACTGCTTTTGTTTTCTCCACTGCTGTTCCTTGCGTTCCTGACACAGCGCACACGTCTTTTGACAGAAAGCCTCATCTATCCCCTTTTTACTGATACCAGATACGTGCCCGTGGTAGAAGCCTGGAGCACAAGCACGCTGACGCACCACTTGCCCAGGCGCTCGTCAGCCATAAATAAATATCAGTCATTATACAAACTCATGTACGTTGTTACAATGGGTTTGCGTCCACTTTCTGAACCATTTTTCTCTTGTTTTGCAGCGTTCTGTCCAACATCCCGTCTGTCAACAGGAGTGCTACATGGACTTTTAGGAATTTATGAGAGAAATGGACTTCGAGGTTTTTATAATGGAATGGGAGCCAGCTTTGCCCGAGCTCTACCTTGTGCTTCCATCAACTATTTAATGATTAGACAATTTGAGACCATGTTCTCTTGATAATCATAAAATATATGACAAAGAATAGTTTAAGTTAATTTGTGGAATAGGATGAATTACAAACAGATTTATAATAATTATTTAAAAAAGGCCTTGGTTTTCTACAGTGCTTTTCTGGACACTCAAAGACACTGTCATTATTCTTCCACTCGACACAGGTGCTACGCCTCCACCCCCAGCATCATCAGCAGCTGCCACATCTTCATCAGCGCCATCAGCATATACAGCACCACCAGCAGCAGTGGATACAGCCGCAGCAGTGGCTGCTCCATCATCTTCAGCAGCAGCAGTGGCTGCTCCATCATCTTCAGCAGCAGCAGTGGATACAGCAGCAGCAGTGGCTGCTCCATCATCTTCAGCAGCAGCAGTGGATACAGCCGCAGCAGTGGCTGCTCCATCATCTTCAGCAGCAGCAGTGGCTGCTCCATCATCTTCAGCAGCAGCAGTGGATACAGCAGCAGCAGTGGCTGCTCCATCATCTTCAGCAGCAGCAGTGGCTGCTCCATCATCTTCAGCAGCAGCAGTGGATACAGCAGCAGCAGTGGCTGCTCCATCATCTTCAGCAGCACCTTCCCCACCTACAGCTCCCGTGAAGCTTCCCCCATTACTCCAGGCTACAGTCAGGCCTGTACTGGGGGTTCCTCAACCACCTCTGTCTCCACCAAAGACTCCCTCATCACCTTCCATGGACCCGGCTTGGGTCCCCCCCGCTACATCCACTCCATCTAGGGAAAATGAGGACGACCTTTCCCTTTGTTTTCTATCCCCGCCTTCACTACTGGATTTACCGGAACACTCTGCAGGCATGATAAGATCGGCGATGAAGACTATTCCTCTCACACCCACTGTAGCCAGATCAAGAGTCCTATCTAACATTCAAAACTACTCCCCATACGTACCTCCAAAGCCACCTAGGGCGTCCAACTCAAATTCTCCCACAAAATCCACCCGTCCCTCCTCTAACCCCATAAGTATTCCACCCCCCCCTCCTGCTCATTTAGCCCCCCTCCCCCCCCCCCTAACTCAGCACCAAGAAACCCTCCACCTCCACTCCCCCCTCGTCCACCACCCAACTCAGCCTGCCCCTCCCCTAACCCATCACCAAAAACCCATCCACCTTCAACCCCTCCCCGTCCAACTCCCAAGAACCACCCGCCTCTCCATCCTCCTCCCCCGCCTTCCCCTACCCCTCTTTTCTCTAAACACTAGGATGCACAGGGTCTCTGCTTCGCAGCCACTGGCAGTCTAGTTAGAGGAGAGACCCGGCTGGGGCCCTGTCGTGAAGCCACCTGTGCCATTCCCTTAGTGATAACACAAAGAATACATAACAGAAAAACATCTGGAGTTAATCAGTCTAATCAGGAAAATCTAATTCTTGTTCCGTGTAAGAATCAGCCGACCACAACCGCTGATCCTGAAACTTTGAAACTTGCTATGCTAAATGTCAGATCTCTTTGTAACAAGTCTTTTTTAATCAATAATTTTATTTGTTCTTATAATCTAGATCTTATGTTCATGGCTGAAACATGGCTTGACCAAAATACAGAAAATGCAGTTTTAATAGAAGCATCACCACCAAATTTCAAATTTGAATCTGAAATACGGGAAAACAAAAAAGGAGGAGGCTTAGCTGCCATTTTCAGAGACCACTTTGTCTCCCATAGAATGTCTCTTGGGAAGTTTCCGTCTTTTGAATATGTGTCTTTTAAAATACAACAAAAACAATCTCCTCCAATACTTTTCGTTGTCCTATACAAGCCACCGCAGTCATGTCACAGTTTTATTGATAATTTTACAGAGTTGCTTTCAGTTGTATGCACAGATTTTGATAGTTTAGTTATTACAGGGGATTTTAATATTCATGTGGATAATGTTGATGACAGAGATGCTAAAGAGCTGAGTTTTGTACTTGAATCCTTTGGTCTCAGCATGTGAGTGGCCCCACCCACAGCAGAGGGCACACTCTAGACCTGTTAGTTACTAAGGGGGTGAACATTTCTAATGTAAACGTGGTCGACGTTGCGCTTTTGGATCATTTTTGTATATTTTTTGACATGTGTTTCACTAACAAACCACCAGTGGACTCTGCAACTGTTCGAAGAAGACACATAAATGAAAATACGGGTGAACTATTTATGGGAATGATAAACTTTGAGAATGCATCGTATTCTACTGTAGATGAACTGTTTAACTCTGTCACCTCTAGTGTTTTGAATGTTCTGGATACCGTTGCCCCTGTGAAGGTTAAAATAGTGAAAAATAAGCAGAAGGCGCCGTGGGCTAAAGCAGACTCGGTCAGAGCACAAAAGAGAGAGTGCCGGAGGGCCGAGCGGAAGTGGCGCAAGTCCAACCTCCAGGTTGATTACAAGATCTTCAAAGATAAGTTGTGCGAGTTTAACCAGGTGCTACGTAGTACAAGAGAAAGGTATTTTTCTGAAATGATTGAAGGCTGCAGCAACAATCTGCGTGTTCTGTTTTCAACAGTTAATAGATTAACAAACCCCCCTGTTCAAATGCCATTAGAGCTAACTTCCAAACGTAAATGTAATGAGTTTGCACATTTTTTCAATGACAAGGTTCAAGGCATCAAAAACGCCATTGTCTCCAATCCACAGATAACAATCCAACAGCCAGAAAGGCTCTTTGAGCTAACTTACTTTGCACCTGTAAATGATCAAACTGTCCAAGAGATAATCTCCAGTTTGAGCTCCTCCACATGCAGCCTGGATGTACTACCCACTAGATTTCTAAAGTCTGTTCTGAGCAGTCTGTTACCTTCACTCACACAGATAGTAAACATGTCCCTTGATTCTGGAATATTCCCAAAGGCCCTGAAAACTGCAGTCATCAGGCCCCTGCTAAAAAAGAGCAGTCTCGATGCTACGGTACTTAACAACTATCGTCCCATCTCAAATCTGCCATTTATGGGGAAAGTCCTTGAGAAAGTTGTCTACCTACAGCTTACTAGATTTCTTATAATCAACAACTCATTTGATATGTTTCAGTCCGGCTTTAGACCCCACCACAGCACTGAGACTGCTCTCGTTAAGGTTACAAACGATATCCGGCTGAACACTGACGCAGGCAAAGTCTCAATCCTAATCCTGTTAGATCTAAGTGCTGCCTTTGATACTGTCGACCATGAGATCCTCTTACAGAGACTAGAGGACTGGGTTGGCGTCGCTGGCACCGCCCTAAGTTGGTTTAGGTCTTACCTTGAAGACAGGAAGTACTTTGTGGAGATTGGAAACTGTGTCTCAGATCATATGGCCCTGACCTGTGGAGTACCACAGGGGTCGATCCTGGGACCTCTTCTGTTCAATCTCTACATGCTGCCGTTAGGTCAGTTAATACGCAGAAACAAAGTTTCCTATCATAACTATGCAGACGACACTCAGATCTATGTCTCACTGACTGCAGGAGAACATGGACCAGTGGACTCACTCCTTCACTGTATCCAACAGATCAGTGAGTGGATGCAAAACAACTTCCTTCAGCTAAACGCAGACAAAACTGAAATGATTGTCTTTGGTCCCCAGAAAACAAAGAGAGAGCGTCATCTGTCACCTACAGTCTCTCTCCCTAAAACCTTCAAACAAGGTCAGAAATCTAGGGGTAATACTGGACTCAGACTTAAATTTTAATAGCCACATCAAATCAGTAACATCAGCAGCTTTTTACCATCTAAAAAACATTGCCAGGATCAAAAACATAGTGTCTAAAGCAGACTTGGAGATTCTTATCCATGCATTTGTCTCCAGTAGGTTAGACTACTGCAATGGCCTGCTCACAGGTCTGTCCAAACAGGCTGTAAAACAGCTGCAGTACATTCAAAATGCAGCAGCTCGAGTCCTGACTAGAACCAGGAAGTACGACCATATTAGTCCGGTCCTCAGGTCTCTGCACTGGCTCCCTGTGGCTCAGAGAATAGACTTTAAAACAGCTCTGCTTGTGTACAAATCTCTCCATGGCCTCGCACCAAAATATATTAGTGACATGTTAGTCCCATATGAACCAGCCCGGACTCTGAGGAGCACAGGGACTGGACTCCTGCTGGGACTCTGAGGAGCACAGGGACTGGACTCCTGCTGGGACTCTGAGGAGCACAGGGACTGGACTCCTGTTAGTGCCCAGAGTCAGAACTAAACATGGGGAGGCTGCTTTTCAGATTCATGCTGCTAAAATCTGGAACAATCTTCCTGAAGATGTGAGACAGGCCTCCTCTCTGACAATGTTTAAAACCAGGTTAAAAACGGTGCTGTTTAGCTGTGCATACAACTGAGGGATTTTATATTTTTATCTTTCGTTTTAATGTTCTGTAATTATTTATGATTTTAATGCTATCTTGTTCAGCACTTTGAGTTGCCTTGTGTATGAATTGTGCTATACAAATAAACTTGCCTTGCCTTGCCTTGCCTTGCCTTGCCTTACTGTGGCCACAGCTGCCCTGGAGCAGAGGCCCAGAAGGATGGGTCAAATGCAGAGGACAATAAAGTACAACAGAATGTATACAGAGGCGTGTTACTCTTTCACTGTTTACACGGAGGGACAAACCTGCAATAATGGAATGGGTGTTATTATAGGTTTAAAGTGAAACGTGATGGATATAATACAGTTTCTCATTAAACTTTCCTTTTCCATTCAACACAAGTGAGAAACTTCTCAGCTATGTTACATGTTATATCTGTGGAGTGGCAAATCTTCTCACTGTAAAAAAACTGTACATTAAACATGTTTTAGCTACACTGGGCGACATGGTAAGCAAAGCAATAACATACTTAATAGAAGCAAGAAGCAGAAATTGGACCTTTAACATTAGAATGTGTATTCATCCCATAGTGGGAAAATGTCAATGTTTCCATGGGCATACAGGGCAGTAGTAACAGCACAAATATAGAGAGTTAAGTAAATACTTCACAAGAGCAGCAAGTAAATATCAATATTTTTTATATAGTGTTAATATATAGTAATTACTCAGCCTATGTACTTTTTAATCTTCAACACTTTCTGCATATAATTCTTTTCATGACATTTTCATAAATTGTTTAAATGTGAGGAGTTATACTTTCAACTTTTCATTTTCAGTTGCTAGGTAACCAACTGTCTATGGCAGTTAAAGTCACGTTTTCAAGATGCTATCTCTGGTCTGTTCCTGGACTGGTTCTAGACTGGTCCTGAACTGGTTATCAGCTTGTCCTGGATTGGCCCTGGACTGGTCTTGGACTGGTCCTGGACTGGTTCAAGACTGGTCCTGGATTAGTCCTGGACTGGCCCTGGACTGGTCTTGGACTGGTCCTGGACTGGTTCAAGACTGGTCCTGGATTAGTCCTGGACTGGCCCTGGACTGGTCTTGGACTGGTCCTGACTGGTTCAAGACTGGTCCTGGATTGGTTCTGGTCCTAAACTGGTTCAAGACTGGTCCTGGATTGGTCCTGGCCCTGGACTGGTTCAAGACTGGTCCTGGACTGGATATAGATATGCAGTCTATGATATAGACTGGTCTTGGACTGGTTCTCCACCTGAGAAGAGAGAGTGTTAGTTACCATAGCAATAGCCTTTCATTAAGCAGTTTTGCTGTAATTCAAGTTATACTAACAAGTTTTAGGCGTAAAAAATCGCGAATCTTTGTCTGTAAATCAATCATAACAATTATGGAGGGATTTCTCAGACCTGCATTAGTTTGAAAGGGAGCAGTCAAAATGACGGCTCCGGGAGTCCTAGCGTTTCATAATTATGGGAGTCCTAGCGTTAACCCTTACAGTCAAATGCTAACCCACAAAGTTCAATAAAAACGAGAAGGAATGGTGAAAGAAGTTTAGTGTAGTTGGTTTCGGACGCAGGACTCTCGCGACACTTGGGTGAATATGTAGATCCGCCATCTTGTCCCTCCTCCTCGCGCTGTCTCTGTCCGCAGCCTGGTCCCAGAGCAGATATGGCCGACTATAGCAGCGTGGCTCCACCGTCTTCTAACGCCCCAGCAGGAATGAACGACGCTTTTCAGGACGCATTGCAGCGAGCACGACAGGTAAACCTCCACATTTAAACCAGCAGGTCGCATACAACACAGGTAAACACATTAAGGTGAGTATTTTGGAGTTTAGAATTGAAATAAGCTAATTTTCGCTCTCTCTCTCTGTCCACGCGCGGCCGCTTCACATCTGGGATCACTAGCTAGCTGAAGCACATGCTAAGGCTAAAGCTAACAATGATGACTAGCACTTTTATAACACAGGAAATCACAGCAATCGCGATTGCAAAATGTACTTTATACTATTGGGAATTACATACAGTCTCCTCGTCGTTAGCCCTCCATGTTAAATATGGATACGTGTCTGTAACGTGATGCTAACCGGGCTCAAGAGGTCCTTTGTTGGCCTCAGACTTCCGTGAAGAAAGGTAGGCCGCGTACCTAATGAGCTTTAGCCTCAAAATCTAATGAATCAAAACTTTTCAAATGCAGTTTTCTGGTCTTGGATTATAAAGCAGGACCATTAAACACCTGATGAGGAATTTTCTGCATAATTTCGAAGTTTTGATGGAAAAATAAAGACACGCAATGACGTAGTTAACACATAGGTAAGTGTAATTGTGGCAATGTAGTATTTTGAAATCAGATGTGACATTTTTAAGTGTCCATAAGCATTGTGCACGCTTTGATGCTTGAGGCCAGGAGATTCAGCATGGTCGTCTACGGGAAATGGCGTATTTGGTTTTACGTTTTTTAAAGCAACGCCAGATCAGTGAGTTTACTTTTGGAAACACTTCTGCGTTTGTTTTTTGCTCTGTTAAGACCGTTTCTAGTTCTTATTTGCACACAGCTTACCACGTGGTAGTGTAATCGGCAAGCAAAGTATGAGTAGTCTCTGGGCTTACAACAAGGACCATAAAAGGCCTGATGCCAATGCCTCCCTGTTCTCACAAGGACTATCCAGATTGATATTTAGATTGACTTTAAGTTCATGATTAAACGAGTTAAAGCTTTGTTGGGTAACTGTTTCATTGATACTTTGATTTTGTTCAGTGGGAAGGCTCTTGTAAAAGTTGTGTGGAAAAATCGGACCACGCCCTGCTGTCTTAATCTTATTTAAAAAACTATATAATTTTACATTCCTCTTACACCCCCTTTGAGACTCTATTCAACTTTATGCGCTCAGAGCTGATTGGCTGACTGAGGGTGGTCCTCCTTTATGAAAGTGAAAAGTAGTCACAAAACCAAAGTGTATTAACATGTTTCCACTGTGGGATGAATAAAGGTTTCTTATTGCAAGTGAGGAACTAGTTGTATCTCAGTAGTTACATTAATTATGGCTTGAAAGTTTGCTCAGCTTTAAATACATTTCCAAATGCATTATCACACATAATGTGTCCTATTAGCTTTTAACTCTTTTCTCATTATATCCAGATGGGGTCTTTATTTAATATGGACACTATCCATTAGAAAGACCAGGTGCACTGCCTTTTAGTGTTGTAGCAAGACCGTGCTAATTTCCAACACTTGTCCATTCCTTCAGGGACATAAATGCACACATTCAAAATTCACAATTGTTGTTCACATCTGGCTCCATTAGAGGAAAAGGTGGACTGTCTGAAAGATATTCTGAACTTACGAACCACACATTTTGTCCCAAATTTAGTATTAAAAAACTAATTTGGAATGTAAATATATATTCCAAATCAGCTGGGAGATGCTGCCTCATTGAGCAAGTTCAATACATTTTAATATCACTTTCCTTTGTGTTTTTCTCAGATTGCAGCCAAGATTGGTGGTGATGGAGTAACAGGAGGCCCCACGAGTGACTTTGGTTTCGGAGGGCAGAAAAGGCCCCTGGAGGACGCTGGTGGGTATTTTCCAATGCCTATCCTCAATGCCGGTCAGTGGCTCAAATCGCTTCAATCCTGCTGCTAGTTTAACCTGCCTGCATAGTTTTAACCCATCTTTTCATCAGCCGTTATTCCAGACCATTGCACTGCATACTGGATCTAATGCATGTCTACTGATGCATGCATTTCAACCAATAAAATCAAGCATTACGAAAGGTCTTGCAAGATTTACTAACAGCTGTGTGTTGCCGTTTCAGAAGTCGTGGTTACTAGTATTGATTAGTTCGAGATCTGGTTCTTTTAGCAAGTCCCAGATCAGCTGTAACCAATGTTTAATCGTAAAATAAATTCAGTCTGTGGCCGCACTCACTAAAACCGCATGCATTCCCGTGCGCCGTTCAAATAGAATGACCTGAGTGCTAACAGTGTGGTTTTGTTTCCACAGATCAACCAGAGACAAAGAAAGTGGCAACGAATGACGGTAAGCTAATACAGTCTCAGAATGTTACTTTTACTTGTGGAGGTGAAGCGTTGGAGCTAAATGTGTCCTACTTTTTCAGCTTTTGCGGCGATGGCAGCAATGGGTGTCCCAGGCAGGTTGGTATTACTTAGTTTACTTTTTTTCCCTTTCTACAATAAAACGCATTATGCTAAATACTTCACAAGGCGGTTCTGCTCAGATTTTAACAATACGACAGTTCCCTCATCACATTGACCTGAATATCACAAATATCCATGAATATCAATATTCTGGTTAAAACATGTTCCCTTTTCTCGAGCTAATTACACTATGACCCCTTAAAACAACCCCCCTTAAGACAAACTGTCAAACATGAGGCCTACAATTTAACTTAAAGAGTTATGCTAATATTGAATACCTAATTGTAATGCCAATTTTCTAAATAAATTACATTTCAAAATAAAACTAAAGTAGTTTTAACTGCTATCTCATGGCACAGACTGGTCACCTTGCTTCTGTCACTGTGCCCCAGGGCAGCTGTGGCTGTAGTATTTTATCACCACTGTTTGGAGTGAAAGAATGCTGCAAAGTGTCCAGAAAAGCACTCTATAAAAACTGAATCATTGTTTAATGGACCTGCTTTGTATCTTTTCCTTCAGGGCAACAAACGAAGAGGTCAAGGTTCCCGATGGCATGGTTGGCTTCAGTAAGTTCGCGCCTGATAGAATGGACCTTTTATAAATTGCTGTAGTCTTATTCCTTTTTAACTGTTTTGTCTTAGTCATCGGAAGAGGAGGAGAACAGATTTCGCGGATACAGCAAGATTCCGGTTGTAAAATACAGATCGCTCCTGGTTAGTCTCGACTTTGTCCTTTTGTAAAATACTGTTGGAAATGTCTTTTTACTAATGTGTTTGTGTGTGTACATCAGACAGTGGTGGAATGCCAGAGAGATCGGTGACTTTAACCGGATCCCCCGACTCTATCCTGTAAGTGATATATATTTAACCTCTTCAGCCCGATTGAAGCAAAAAAAACACAACAAAAAAACACAAAATACCAAACAAAAAATCACAATACAAACACCAAACCAAACCTACACAAGCAAACCAAAAAAATATCAAACAACCAAAACAAACCACATCAAACAAACCACCACCACTAAAACCAGCAACATAACATACCAAACCAACCTACCCCACAACATAGCAACATCCAAAACAAAACCAAGAAACCAAATTCACCACAAACCCAAGGACACCTCAAACCAACCACAACCCCCCCCAAACAATCCCCATAATCCCATACACAAGCCACAACACAACAAAACAAACCACACATGCAACGATTCCCAACCAATAATTCAAAAAAAGCACAAACTACCAATCACACCAACAACTAATAACCCCCATCAAATAAAAACAGCCAACGCAAAACACACAAACAAACAACACCACACCCATAAACAAAAACCCCCAACACCACCAATAAATCCCAAATCCCATCAACACAAACCCCCACCAATGCAACCAAAAAACAAACGATAATTAAAAAAACCTCAACAACCCAAACCATACACACCCAATACCAAACCTTATAAAGAAACCCAAACCCCATACAGCCCCAAACCCCCAACCATCACACACCCCAAACCCCATAAAACACCCAATCAAAACCACAAACCACAATAAAAAAACCACACCATTTAAATCATTCTTACCCCAATGATCACACAGACCCCAATCAAACCAAGCCATGAGCATAAAAAAACCAAAAAAACCCACAACAAAAAAGCAAAAAAAAATAACCCCCCCAAAATAGACAATCCAAAAGCCATAAAAACAATAAATCATAAGCATCCGAAACTGACAAAAATATTCCCACCAAATTACATATACACCACAAAACATAAGTAAGTTCTCTTCAGTCCGATTGCCGCCCCATTTGGGGTCCGCCCCCCCTTGCTGCAAATGCTTGTCCGTGACCGCCAGAGGAGATCAGCTGACAGATACAACAACTGACACATCACATGTTTCACATCCTAGTGTTCGGACAACTCTCAGCTACAACATTTATCCACTTCATTTCAGTTCAACAGACCCAGGTTCAAACAACAAACCACAATCTGACAAATCCCCGAGCTGAACACAACGCTATAAGGCTGGTATCGCTACCTCTAAAACTCGCTGACCAAGCCGCAGACGAATGCCAGAAAACAAAGCAGTAAAACATCAGCGTTGAAGTAAAAGTTGACTTACTTTTGCTGTTTTTTCATCACAAGTCATTTCCGTAGGAATAAAAGTCCGTTTTTTCTTGTATTCAACCTCATAGCGAGGCTTCGACACCGATCTGGCAGATACCTGTTACTTCCTCCTTCTGTAAGAGGCCCTTTGTGATAGGCTGCACCCGTGCGTCATGTCACGTACCTCTGTGTATCTCTTCCCTGTGATTGGCCACAGGTGCTGTCCATCAATACGTTTTCAATGGTTTTTGATAGCCGAAGGTGTCTTCTTTCCAAAATGGTATGACATGCCCTGATTGGCCAAAGTACCGCGGAGGCGTGGACATGCGTATAGTTGGGGCAGAAGGAGGCCCATCTGTGCGCAAACCCTTTACGCACGGCAGGTAGAGCAGTACTCGGAATTTTGACGAAAGTAAAAGATGGCAAAACAGCGTTATACACGCGAGGAGGTTGTAGAGCTTCTTGCTAGGGAACCGGGTCCAAAGTTTATCTCGATGACTCTACAGACATGATGGCGATTCTCTTCACTAGAGGTAAATATAAAATACATTATACATATATATATATATATTATTTTTTTCTTTTTTATTATTACATAGTAATAAAAAGTAATAACATATTATTATAGATAGACAGACAGATAATGTAATTCTAAAAAATATCTAATTTACATATTTTGATTACATCATTATTATTGCATTATAAGGTTCGAAGAAGGGGCTCCTGTTATTGTATTTACTGTAGTGCTTAGCATCAGCCATGATATATTTATTGTCATACATGTATAAATGTTGTATTGTCTACACATCTGAACTGCATGTTTTTGTTCAACAGTGTTAGGGAGTTGCATGAAGAGCCACTATCTCCACAACCCGGTCCATCTGGCCTGCCCCCGTCAACTGGGAAGCGAAGGTAGGTTACTATTTTGCATTGTTGTCTAACAAAAACAATGATTCTATTTTTCTATTGAGACATACTATGAGTTTTTTATGCATATATTTTTGTTGCAGGGAGCAGGAGGACAGCAGTGAGGAAGACACTGAACATGTTCACTTACCTCCCATGAGGTAGGAGTCTAAACTGAATTTCTGTTCCAACCAAAACATTATTTGCATATTTGACATGGCTTTTTTTATTCATTTATCTCTTTATTTTGTCATAGCCTTATGGAGAAGGAAGGAAGCCCTTCCCCCAGAGGTTTAGAGAGGCCAAGGCGTGAAGTAGCCAAGAAGCCCAGATACTTCACAAGTGGAGAGGAAGACGAGGAGGGTGAAGGAGAGGATTATCACCCACCTTTACAAGAGTCTTCAGGAAAGGTGTCAAGAAGGCCAAAGCTTTCAACCTCCAGAAAGCAGAGGTGAGAACAGTAGTTACAGCATCAAGGTGAATTGGAAATGCATTGATATGCAAATTGGTGACCGTCTGTGTACCTTTTGTTCTACAGCCGTCAAGCTCCAGACTCATCAACAGAACATGGTGATTCGGCTGTGGATTCGGCTGCTCCCCGACAAGGTCATCCTCCTGCCAGGCCACAGAAGGCCACTGCTAAACGGGGAGGCAGGAAAAGCATTACTTCTGACGAAGATCGTTGGAGGGACAAAGATGAAGAGGATTCACAACCAAGATGCCCACACTTTGTCCCAGCCAGAAATACTGGACCTGTGCTGGACATCAGCAAATCATGGACAATTTTGCAGTTGTTCCAGCTATTTTTCAGCAGCACAATGGTGAACACCATCATCAAAAACACAAACTGCAATGCAGTGAGACGAAAAGAGGCAGGGAAAAAAGACCACTGGAAACCTCTTACTGTGAAGGACTTTTATATTTTTCTTGCCATTATAATCTATACAGGCCTCGTTCCACTGCATGACCGGTCGGACTACTGGAGGAAAATCTTTCCCTATGGGCACCCTTTTCCAGCAAACTCGATGACCCGGGACAGATTTGAGAACATTGTTTGGACACTACACCTGAGCGATCCAGAAGAGGATGAAGAAAACAACCGCAAAAGAGACACAGCAGAGTATGATAGACTATTCAAAATCAAACCTATGTACACAGAACTTGTAACATCCTGCCAGGCATTTTTCCACCCAAAACAAAACATATGCATAGATGAACGCATGGTGGCATCTAAGGCCTGCATTTCCATGAAGCAGTATCACCGGACAAGCCCACAAAGTGGGGGTACAAGTTGTATGTGCTGGCAGACTCTGAGAGCGGTTACACATGGAACTTTTTTGTGTATTCAGGAAAGCGCGCAACCACAGCGGAACATGGACTAACTTATAGTTCAGTAATGGACCTAATGCCCTTTGGTCTCCTTGGAAGAGGGTATAAGCTGTACGTGGACAATTTTTACACGAGTCCAGTGTTATTTACAGACTTGTTAGAAAAAAATACAGGGGCATGTGGAACAATTAGGAAAAACCACACTGGGTTTCCAACTACGACACAGAATGACCTCCCCAAAACCGCTCCAAGAGGAGACATGCGGTGGCTGCGCAAGGACAGCCTCTTGTTCTTGAAGTGGATGGACAAGCGAGAGGTGACGATGTGCTCCTCTGTTCACAAAGCATTCAGTGGCAACACCGTGAAACGCAAGGTAAAGGACCATGGTGAATGGAGAACCATGCAAGTGCCATGTCCTGATGCTATATTGGAATATAACAAATACATGGGTGGAGGTGGACTTATCGGATGCACTAATAGGGTACTACAGTGTTCTCCATAAGACCATGAAATGGTACAAGACATTTTTTTATCATTTTGTAGACATTGCGGTGGTGAACAGCCATATCCTCCACAAAGAACTGGTAAAACTAAAAAAGGACGGGACCAAACCACTTTCACAAAAGGATTTTAGAGAAATACTGATGAAAGAAATGCTATCATTTGCAAAAACCTCTGAATCACAGGGCCCACAGCCTCCACCCAGCCCACAGCCACGAAACACTTGCATGCCCATGTATTATGGGGAGACGGCCCATGGCATGCGGAAGTACTGCCAGAAGTGCCATGATGCGGGACTGAAAAGAGTCAAAACACCAGTTTATTGCAGAAAATGTCAAGTGGCGCTGTGTTGCTCGGCTAAAAAGAACTGTTTTGTGGCATGGCATGATGGCAAGTAGATTTTATTTTTTTCAAAGAATGTTCTTGCTGTTATTTAGAGGAAGTTTTATTTTTATTTTATTTATTTTTTTGTTTGCTTCTTTATGCAACAATGTAAAATTTGACCCTTTTTGTACATGGTACTGTAAACAAATTTGGGGGAAAAGTTTTTATTTGAAATGTTCCATATTTTACTATTGTTTTCTAAAAGTGTGTGATATAATGAATGCAAATTTGTTGTGTATTTTCAGTAAGAGAATTCAGTTTTATGACCCAATATGTCCATACAACTCAATTTTTCATTTGCAGTACAATATTCCACAGTTACAAAAATTGGAAAAGTTGGATTCCGCCTGGACTTTTTTTCCAATTCCATGTACAACTCTGCAGTGGTTTGTTTATTTGGCACATTTTTTGCTGGACTGGTCCAAAATATCGGGAACTGTCAATTTTTGTTCTTATTTGCTACACCACAGACAGGGAAAAAGCTTTTTTGAGGGAAAATATGTGGGTGTTTTTTTAGGCGGAAGTTAGAATTGTCTGTTTCAACCTCATTTTATTGTCAACAATACAATTTATCTTTATTTCACTTCCACAGCAATCCCCAAGGTCCACCAGGTAATTTGGTACCAAGTTTGGCCACATACTTTGGCTAAATACTATATGAAACCTTAGTAAATGTAGATTATAGCTTTTTCGGGAAAAAGGGCCTCTGGGCTTAAGAGGTTAAGTTATCTGATAGTTCAAATGGGATCATTACAAATTAAACCTAATTTCATGGTGGATTTACAGCTGCGGTTATGGGTGAGGCATTAAACCCAGTCATTACATTCATGCTTGGGGCCATTTCCGAGGCAATAAACAAGTTGAGCATTGTCAGTAACTGGTTCAATAAAAGTTCAATACTAAAAGATAGATCTGGCCACTTTTCTCCTCAGAAAGATACTTATTACTCAATTGGTAATAATGCACTCTGCATCTTTACCTTTTTTCTTAAGTAATGGGATGTCGGCAAGGAGATGCAAGCATGCGATTTTATTTGGGACATTCCAAAATGAATGTTAAACTTGTGTGTTCATTGGATTTCATGATTTCCTAGTGTCTGCTGGTCAAATAAACGGCTGAAAGAGGGGTCAAAGTTCCCTCAGATGCTTTACCACATTATAAATGCGTACATTGGCTGTTGCTTTTTAGACTGTAGTCTGACAATCAGAGTAAATACACAAACTGAGCTACAAACTGTAAATCCTCTTCCCTTCAATATCCATTAAAACTATCCTAGCTGCTAACTCATGGCTTAGAATTAGCCCCTGCCGTGTCAATTTGTAGCCTTTCAAAAACCGCACTACTCTAAATTTCCAAATGACTTGTTCTTTCAGGGCAGCGAAACGGTTGCTGCAGGAGATTGTGGAGAAGGGTCGCCCCGCTCCGTCCTTCCACCACAACAACAACAACAATGACGGCGGTCCAGGCATGTCGGTCCAGGAGATTATGGTCCCTGCGTCTAAAGCTGGACTCGTGATCGGCAAAGGAGGGGAGACCATCAAGAGCTTACAGGTCCGATGCATAATGGCATCACTGCTTGAACTGACTGATGGTTCAATGGTGACTTGACCAACTCAAGTTCTAACATATATTATATTTAGTGAATAATCACACTGGACTAAGTTTACTCAGTTATGAAGTTAAATGCCTCCTGCTAATACCTTTAACACAAACATTCCTTGAACTGCACCAGTCCGGTCTCATGTGGCTTAAGGCTAACCTAAAGTAGTCTTTGAGATCATAAACGCTATTCTGTGTGATCCAGCCAACTTCACCAACATAGACCAGTCGTACCTTCTTTTAAAGCTCTAGAAGCAAAACAATTGAGTTTTGTTCATATTTGCTTTGGTTTTGTGACATTTGAGCAGGTACATAAGTGCCATTAACTCATTGACTGCCAGCCTATTTCAGAACAGGTACACCCATAGTGCCAGCCGTTTCTGATGATGATTTTTACTGATTTTTCAAGACCCACAGAATATTGTGTACTACGACTATCTGAAATCCAAAACCAGATTCTGAAAGAATGGACTGTCTACTTTCCTCAGAAAAAATAATTGTGTTTCTAGCTTGTTTCGTTCCCCTGTAATCCCCAGTTGAGTAGAGGGAAGTTTTACTGAAATCACCAGAAAGCTGAGAAAAAATAGGCAACATGTGCATCTGTCCGTTTTCAAACCATTCAGAGAAATGCTGCCACCTGCTGGCTAGATAAAATATGGTCTCAAGCCATCCCCAGATGTCTATTACAGCCATTCCCAAACTCAGTAACACCGAGGCCCCCTTAAAAATCTGTCGGGTCTGTGTGGCCCCCCCAAAATAATAACCAAGAAGACAACATTAAGAATAGGCTCTTCTGGTTATTTTATTTTGGGGAAATAGCCTCTGCTACAAACATTGTAATACAAAAAGTGGATTATTCAAGTCAAATAATGAACACAAATATTTTAATATTACAAACAAAACATTATAAATTGAACATTAAATAATTATATTATTTTTTTATTTTTTTTATGACCTCCCGCGGCCCCCCTGCAGTACCCTCGCGGCCCACCAGGGGTCCGCGGACCCCACTTTGGGAGACACTGGTCTATTAGATACAATAGACATCTGGGGACGTAAAAATAGCGGGACACGCAATTGACGCAATGGCAGACAACGTTACTATTTGGTTTGACGTGTTAACGCGTCAATGACTGTCAATGAGTTAATGGAAGTGGTGACATCACAGCTGATTATAAATATGTATTACAAGTTCTGGTAATATAGTCTGATCACAGTAACTTGCAGAATTGATGGTAAGGGCTACTATGGCACATTATCTTCATTTTATAACCCATTGTCTCAGGAAAAGTGTATCTTCTAATCGTATTTTAGAAGATGGAATTATATGAAAGTTAGTTTAGCTATCAGTCTTCCAATGCATCCATTTATATTAGTTTTCCCAGTTGGATCCAAACCTACTCAAAATAACATCCAAACTCATGGTTCGTCAAACTTTACCACTTTTATACTTCTATCTTTGTTTAGTTTGGTCATGGGCCAAATTGAACAATCTTGGTCTGGACCAAATAGTTTCTATAGAACTATGAAACCATGAAGACAAATGATTAGTTGATTTAGTGGAGTTTAAATGCTGTTTGTTGTGGTTGCAGGAGAGAGCTGGAGTTAAAATGGTCATGATTCAAGATGGTCCTCAGAACACAGGAGCAGACAAACCACTGCGGATCTCTGGGGATCCTTTTAAAGTTCAGGTAAGTGAGAAATAATGTGTATGAAAGGGCAAAAGTGGGTTCTTCCCCTGGATCAACAGGTGGCAGGTTGTGGGAATACAAGTTAAATTGGTGTCAAATGGATGAGAGGTCAATGATGAGAACTCATGCACCACGCTGACCCCTGATGGATTACCCCAACCACATCTAATCTGAGACCTCTATCCTACACCATCAGAGGTCCTGGTGTTTCTCTTGGGATTGGTTATAATTTAAGGGACTACAGGAATGTGTCAAGATCATGTGACATCACATTTTACGAGAGTCTGAAGTTTAATGACTCTGGACGGCTAAAAAAATCTCATCACTGTAATCACTATCTTGGTTCAGAGCGGATATCAATTTGTGAAGTCCTTGCATGACTGCCGTTGTGATTTAGGACTGCACAAAGTTGATTTGCCAACAACAGATCGAATAATCAAAGGAAATTATATAAGTTCATAGGAGCCATTGGGTCATAGGGAGCAGGAGGACCACAGTCTAGTTATGGTAATTTCCTCCTGCTATGGGACGGAACCACTGGAAAAGAAATGGTCAGGAAGGACCCATATTGAGGAACCTGCTTCCAGAGCGACAATTGTCTGTCTTTTGGGCCAATTCGTAATAGTTTCATAACATTTCACATCTTTGTCAGCACATGGCAACTATGGTCTAATTATTCTCCCATCAAAGTGTCTAGAACTAGTTACATGTTCCAAACGATGATCCATGACGGCCCATAGAAAGGACTGAAAGACATAGGAATATGGCCTATTTTTATAAATCACTATCAAATATTAAGTTGTATTGTCATTTTCACTTCCACTTGCTTTGATATTGTAGAATTCTAGTTTCGGAAGGTTGTTTTCAGTTCTTCTGTACGCCATCTTACAATTGTCTGGTATAGAAGAACCAAAAGAAACTTGTGGAATTCTATAGATCGCGAAACTGTTTTTTTTCTGACTGAATCCTATGTTGGTTTTGCAGCAAGCCAAAGAGATGGTGCTGGAGCTGATCCGGGAGCAGGGCTTCCGGGAGCAGAGGGGCGAGTATGGATCTCGCGTCGGAGGTGGCGGCGGCGGCGGCGGTGGTGGCGGAGGAGACAGTCTAGACGTGAGGATCTCGCAGACTTTATCTTCTGCTCGAGGAAGCGAACTTCTTGTTAAAACTGGTCTGTTCCGTAGGTCCCTGTCCCACGCTTCGCAGTCGGAATCGTCATCGGCAGAAACGGAGAAATGATCAAGAAGATTCAGAGCGACACAGGCGTCCGGATCCAGTTCAAACCAGGTTGGTGTCATCTCCACTTTCACTTCACATCTTTCTTAAAGCTGCGGTACCTGACTTTTTAAACCTCAAACCGGACTGTGGTGCTATCCCTTGTTTGCATGTCATTTTGTCCAGTCACCTTTTCTTTCTCAAATCTGTTTTTTTTTTTCTTTTATCTGGTCAATGACGAGAAATCATGCACCACGCTGAACGCTGATGGATAATCCCAAACCACAATAATCTGAGACCAGCTCGTCCTGCTCTGTCCTCGCCACTCCTGCTGCTTTCATGGGATCTGGGAATCTTTTTAAAGTTCAGGCGTCGCACTTGTTAAAATGGGAATGAACGCTGCTGATTCATTTTATTTCTTTGGTGCCTTTCTAGATACTCCAGGCCTTGCATCGCAGTTAAGTGTTTCGTTAAAATGCAGTTAAAAGAATTACCAGAAATACACCAGGATCTAGTAAACTCTGAAACGACGGAAAAGTCCCCGGAGTTTTGAGTTATTGTGACCCGTGTCAGATTAGTCTCAGAATAGTTTTAGTGACGGGGAAAGTTCCCAATAAACTTTAAATATGTTCTGTTCTAATGTACTCTCTCCTCCTCAGACGACGGCAACACTCCAGACCGGATAGCTCAGATCATGGGCCCTCCAGACGCCTCTCAGCACGCAGCAGAGATCATCACAGACCTGCTGAGGAGCGTCCAGGCGGGAGGACCTCCGGGACACGGGGGAGGAGGCGGCAGAGGGAGGGGCCGGGGGCAGGGCAACTGGAACATGGGGCCCCCAGGGGGACTCCAGGAGTTCAGCTTCACTGTGCCCACCATGAAGACGGGTCTCATCATCGGCAAAGGCGAGTGTGGGAGAGATGAGGACTGAAGATGCACAAATAATTAAATCTCAAAGACGACCGAAATTTCCCCAGTGTGGGATAAAGGATCTCTTAATCTTTTTTTTTTATTTTTTATATGGACACAAGTTTTATTGGACAGATTCATTTATTGGACAGATTCACCTGTTTTTAGTCTTATGGTTGGACCTTTTTTAAATTCTTAATGGAGACCAAAGTAAAAGTCTCCTCCGTCCTGCATTTGATTAAAATAATTTTCTTTTGCAGTTTATATTTGGTGCACTATAGATGTATGAGAGAATTGATACACAGCTCAACTAGTGCAGGTCTGACTTTGTTTTCGGGTCAAAATAGTGATTTAAAAGTACGTATGGCCCCGAGTCATTTAAGAAAAAAAGGGGTCTACGTTTTAAGATACCTTTTAATCGTCATTTCAGTGTTTCTTCACAAATTACAGTGAGAATAAGGAGCACATGATAAGTTGATTTTATTTTAGTATAGCATGATAAAGCAAGACTGAAGTACAAAAACTCCTGACTTTAGCATAATGAGAAAGTAACTAGCTTGTTATCGACCCGACCCAAAAGGGTGGTGTGAGGGGGTTAAACATGTCGCAGCTCTGTATTTTACCAAATTGTGCCTTTGGCTCAACCAGACTCTAGTAGGTTCAGAAAAGGTCTATGATGATAACTCATGCACCACGCTGAAGACTGATGGATAATCCCAACCACAATAATCTGAGACCTCCATGTTTGATCCACACAGACTGTTGATAATTAACCTGTAAAACCATGTAAGACAGAAGCCCACCGAGGTCTGAAGGGACTGAGCGATTATCTGACCTCGCCGATCCTTCTGTTTCAGGCGGCGAGACGATCAAAGGCATCAGCCAACAGTCCGGTGCGAGACTCGAGCTGCAGAGAAACCCGCCGCCGAACTCGGACCCCAACGTCAAGATGTTCACGGTGCGCGGGTCGCCTCAGCAGATCGACTACGCACGGCAGCTTGTCGAGGAGAAGATCGGGGTAAAACTGACTTCTGTGGTTTCATCATGAAGAGAAGAGGCACTAGTGTTTGGAGAGTGTACTAGGAATATCCACAATGCATTTCTGTGGAGTGGAATGGCAGAGTGTGACATCACAGTAGTGTTAGTGTTCATGTAGAAGAGGCAGATTGGAAATAAGCTGGAGCAGATTTATTCTATGGGCATTTCTACTGTGGCCTTAGCTACAGGTCTGCCTCTGTTAAGGCACAAATCTAAGACTGTTAAGGCAAAATGGAGTTTCCCCTCCAAATTAAAGCAACTGATTAGACAATCCAGACAAGAGCCATTTAAGGATTGTCTAAAGACTATCATGATGTAAATGCCAGAATAACTGAGTATTTTGGGCTTTAAAATCTGGTTTAATGCGGAGTGACCAACATTTCCTGATAGTTTGTGTTCAAATGGAGCCAGAGCAAGTTTTGATCCAACTTGCTCTGGCTAGTTCCTATTGGTGAAGCAACACTAACCCGCTAGCTCAATGAAGCCCATTAGTAAAGGATTTTATCATTAATTTTTGACCTGCAGTGAGAATTGACAAACTGAAAATGTGACGTTTAGCAGAAAGATAAGGACTTATTTTTTTCTAGAGGAAAAGCTTTGATTTTTGTAACTGAAGGGGATACAAAAATTAAGTGGAAACATATGAATTTACACCTAGAGCCCTTTGACGTTTGCTTTGGTCAATGATGAGAACTCATGCACCACGCTGACGACTGATGCATCTCTTTAACCACATCTTAATCTGAGACCAAAGCGTCGCTCGTCCATGATCCCTGTTTCCAGATGATCAGGTTTAACAGTCACGTGTTCACAGGGACCAGTGAATCCCATCGGAGGAGGACCAGGACCACACGGCCCCCCAGGACCCCCTGGACCTCCTGGAGCACCCATGGGACCCTACAACCCCGGCCCCTACAACCAGGGCCCCCCCGGACCTCAGTGAGTGCTGCTCTCACTGTTTACGTTTGAATAAATATCAGTTTTTATACATATTTGTAGACGTTTTAGGGATATTGTGACGATGGTCTGAAATATCGTTCATGTTTTGCTCAAATAGTTTTGCCTAAAGATCAACTGGAAGTGAAAAAGGTCTATGATGATAACTCATGCACCACGCTGAAGACTGATGGATAATCCCAACCACAATAATCTGAGACCTCAACTTCAATCTTAGTTCTAAAGTTTCAAGTCCAACCAAGCAGGAGCATAACACTCCGCCCATTTTCTCAAGTCTCTGTTGGCAGTAAAAAAAAACAGTGCTTCTTAATCTGTCCTTACCTCAGTCCATTAATGTCTGTTTGTGTCTGTCCTCCAGTGGTCCTCCCGGTGCCCAGTACCAGCCTCAGGGATGGGGGAATGGCTACCCGCACTGGCAGCAGGGGCAGCCTGATCCAAGTGAGTCTCCTGGTATGCTTTCACTTTTATAGGGGCATTGCACAACAAAACATTATCCTAGGAAGTCTATAGGAAAGATGCAAATATACACATGTAGTCCCCATTCTCTTTAAAGTATCCGAGCTGGTCTGTGGTGAGTTTCTTTAATCGTCTGCTCCTGTGTTCAGATAAAGCGGCAGCAGACGCCAACGCGGCGGCATGGGCGGCTTATTACGCTCAGTACGGACAACAGCCACAGGCGCCACCCGCCTCCGGAGCTCCAGGGACCTCCCAAACAAACGGACAAGGTACCCCCTCACCCCACACCACACTACACCACAGGCCAGTGAGGCAGAGCAGAAGGGTCTCAGAGGGTCTCAGGGAGGCTGTAGACTAGAATAGACCAGTTATGGACTGCTTTGGACCTGGACTCGGACTGAGCTTTCCCACCGCAGCCTCAGAGGAACCTTGGAGCAGAGGAAGTGGTCACTAATGACAAGTGTTTTTTAACAGGTGACCCTCAGGGCGCAGCTCAGGGCGGACAGGCAGATTACACCAAGGCCTGGGAGGAATATTACAAGAAAACGGGTATATCCTGTAGTTTTAATGTCTTTGTATTAACCGCAGTCTCCTTTTCATGTCTGCTACAAAGAGAGGGGTTTAACACGGCCGAGATCAGATTAGGAACAGATTACACAATTGACTTCATCCCAAAATGCTCAGCTGTTGAGTGTATTGGTAGAGAATTCAGATTGACGTCACATGTTTGTGTGGAGGAGGTGGTGTGAGAGTAACAGCCGTTTGTTCTTAGGTCAGCAGAATCAGCCGCCTCAGGACTACACCAAGGCCTGGGAGGAGTATTATAAGAAACAAGGTGAGACTTCTGTCATTTCTGGACTGAGCCACAGGGTTTTAAGCACTAGAAAATTCCAGTATATTGTGTAATGCGGCTGCTTGAGTTATGTAAATCTGAGGTTTTGCTGTGATGCAACAAAACGCGGGGCATTAGCTTTGATGCTAAAAGGGTTAAGCTAGCCGCATTTTTGTGAAGTTCTTCTCCACAAATGCGGCTTGGCAGCATCTGTCCCGAAGACTTCATATAACGGCAGTATGTGGTCATGGTGCTGGTTTTGCTCCTGGTTTGGCTGTTTTCGAGTGTTTTGGCTTCTTGCTCTGACCCAGTGACTACTTTAAGGCTGATTGGTTGCCACATGTGTGGCCAACCGGATGTCACCATTGACTTAGCATTGAATCTGGATGATCCGGTCTGAACACTAGAGCAAATTTTATGGGCTAATAATAATAATAATAATTATTATTATTATTATTATTAACAATAATCTACAGGACATGTGTCTATTGTTAAAATGGACAACGGTGAATGAATCATAAAAGCTAAGTGTAGAGATGGTCTGGAACTGTATGGAAAGGCGTGTTATTGCTTCCGGGCGGCTTCTCTGTTTGCGCCCTCTACTGTAGAGGAGTCGCACGCTCAGCCGCCCCACAGAAAGTGAAGGTTTCTGTCCCGCCATCGAGAGCGTCCTGTGGCGGGGTCGTTCCCCTTCTCACACCTCATAGACTTTAGGTTTGAGTTCTTTGTCTGTCTCTGAAACACTGACCTGTGTGAACGCAGATTATCTACTCTGGGACTTGTGACCCCTGTCTCTCCTCTCCGCCCTCTAACCCCTCTCTTCTCCGCCCTCAGGTCAGGCCGCCCCTCAGGCCGCCGCTGCAGCCGCACCAGCCACTGCCCCCGGTGGCCAGCCCGACTACAGCGCGGCGTGGGCAGAGTACTACAGACAGCAGGCCGCCTACTACGGCTCCGGGAACCCCCAGGCCCCACAGGCTCCTCAGGTACATCCTCCACACTCTCCCCCCAGTACCCGGCATGCACCTGCACCCCTCCCCCCACAGTACTCTCCCCTAATACCCCCCTCCCCCCCACAGGCTCCCACAGGCCGCCGGTGACTCCAGCTGCAGCTCTAACCGCCTCTTGTCCCATCACAGGTGTATTTTGGCGGTGTATTTCTGGTGTTAACGTGCCGTGTATTCTCTCTCTATGTATTTCCTCTGCGCAGGGCCAGTAATGTGAAGTGGATAAAGTGCATAAATGCTTCTGTGTGGAAAAACAAATCCTATGTGATTGTTTGTTGTGGATGCTGACGTCTTGAAGATCTTAACTTGGTCCTTGGTTTGTTTAACAGAGGTCACTAATCAGCCAACGTCCTATAAATACATTTTTTGTTTTTCTTTTTGCATATTTTTTTTGTTTTTCTCCTGTTTGTAAATTCTTTGTTTTTAGTGGGGTATAAACCATATTATACAGTGACGGTCATTCCAGCTTGTATCAAATGTTTTGTAGACTATTCTTACCATGTAAAAAAGTCATCTCAGTTTTAAACCTGTTGTGTTTTTGCAATAAAACAAACTTAAACCTGTGTCGGTAAGTCCGGGGGGGTCGAAGCATTCAAGGGGACAACTTTTGTATGTTTTATTTGAAACTGGGGGGAAGTAAATGATTGTTCCTGTCTCTCCAACTGTCTATAAAAACGTTCACTTTTACAACTATTGCCCTGTCTTCTTGTTAGCATTAGCAGTCGTCGAGATGCCGTTATACTAGCTCTGCAACGTGTGGCTGTTTTAATACATATATATATATATATAATTGTTGGTTGAATTTGAGGCCTGTCTTTTTTTGCATTGCCAGAGAAAAGTGGTAAGAAAGCCATGTTTATAAAGTTGTGGATCAAATATGAAATGCAAAGCCGTTTCTTTCTCTCTATACATATATTTTTGCTGTTTCCTTCTTGCAGGACAGTGAAGTAACCTACCACTGAATCCAATGCATATTATTTTTTGCCTTGATTCATTTGCCCTGTCAAATGTCTACATACACATGCATCTGCAAAAGTTTCTCCCCCTCGATTTTGTAGTTCTGTCCCGCTGCTTGTGTAGGCTGGTAGACTTTAGGGAGCTTGGGACGGCCCTCATCCCGAGTTGGGCCCCTCCTAATTCTGTAAGTACCACTGTGATGTCATATTGAAAAGCCTTTTTTTGTCAATGCTTTTTACAATTTGCAAAAGTATATATAAGTTTTCCCCCTTGTCCTGGGTAAGTATATAATGTCCAGGATCAGCGCTGTAGTGTTAAATCTCTGAACTGTTTTAGCCTTATTTCTCCACATGCCCAAATGTTGCCTAGTATGTCGTTGTCGAGGATTGTTGCCAGATCTGATTGATTCTTTTGAAATGTCTGCAAAAGTTGCTCTGCCTAGGCCTGTGTTTTTACTGCCGTTAGCATGTTGTCATTTACTGGTGGATCTTTGCCTCTCTCTAAATTGAATTGTTTTTGACTTGAGACCTGCAATATTTGAATGTCATGATGCTTTTCCGGCACAAAAGTTGACGTTTTGCAGATTCTGTCACAGATCCTTGCATCTTAGCTCTGAGCTGCAAAAGCACAGGTAAGCGACTCAAATGACAAACTGTCAACGTATTTTTTTGATAAATGCCACCAAAAGCTTACCTGTGTCTATAAGGAAACGCTTAATTGCATTCTTAAAATTGACTACATGATCCCCAATGCTTTGAACGATGCATGTCGAGCTGTTTTTCTCACCAAACCATGAATATTTGACTATATTGTCCTAAGTTTGAGGTAATCTTGACATTGACTGTGATTGATTGCTTGCGAAGGCCGTCCTCGCCTTTGCATATGTACATTTTTGTCGGTGATCTGTCTGCTCCCTTGACTAGAATTGCCAAAAAAACCGTGCAACTTTATATTGAAATGGCTTCACTTTCCGCTCGCAGTGATGGAGGAGGATGGAGAGAATTAGGCGGTAGGACAGTCGTAGTTTGCCCCCTCCCTAAAAGAAGTCTCTCAAGAACACAAGGTAAAACTTGAGCAAATCTGAAATGACTGGGTTTCAATGTGTTTGTTTTTCTCTGAACTGATTCTGTAGAAAGTTGGGTGAGAACAGGTTTTTCCAATTCAAAATAAAAGGGTTTATTTGGGGTTTAAAGGGTAGAACAAAAGTGTGGAGCATGTAGAGGTCCAGTGGTCTGTACACAATCACATGTTTTTGAATCGTTCTGTAATAAAAAACTGTAGTAAGCGTATCTTTTGTATGTGTTTGTTCTTAATGGGTCGCTTAACACATTTACACTTATTTAAAGAGCCGGTAGTTTATTTAAAGCTAATTCTCTAAATCCTGGGCCAAACTTTAAGCGCCCTTTCCCTTCAGTCTGGTCTCAGGTCTGCTCTTGCCACACATCGTACTAACTTAATGTGAGGAAATGACAATGGTCTGTGTTTAAGGCCAGGCTTTATTTCTGCTCTAAGGAAGTTCACTGTGGTCTCATTCTTTTCTAATGAAGTGGTGAAAATCGGACATTTCTTTGAACTGTGTGCATAGTTTATTGGCCCCAACTTCAAGATTATTATACAACATGTTTAAAGTAGTAAATCATGTTTGACCATTAATGCCCCATGAACTAGAAGTCTGTGGCTCATGAACGAGATGTGGCCCCTTTTGATTCTATTGACTTTTGTTTTTTTTAAATAAACTTGACCACAAACTATATGGTTCCCAAAGAACTGACTGTTGCCTCTCAAAGGTTCTGGATACTGTTCTAGAAAGTGGAAAATATTTGACCAATATAAATCGCCATATACCGCTGCTGCCACTAGAGGGAGGTAATTTTATTTAATATTCAAACACGGCCATTTTGGTACAATGTCAGACTGCTACAGGACTGTGCCAGAAGTGGATGGATCTAAAAACAGCTACAGGTCTATGAGGAACAATACTGTGCCGTGTCAACTCCAATAAAAAATAAAACTGCAAAATATACAAAAATGTAATCTTTATTGGCTTAGCAAAATACAATACAAATTAAATACAACTTGACAGTTATAGACTTAAGTTGTGATATGCAGGATTCTGTTGAATAAAGTAAAGCTCTGGCCTTTAAATTTGAATTTAAAGAACATTAACTTCCTGCACGTTACATCTTTAATATTTCAGCTCGAATATTGAACTGAACATAAGTTACACTAAACTATTAAAGCGTGAGCAGCACTGGACACTTTACACATGGTACATACAATATTTATACAAGGCAAACGTACGGCCACATGAGCCCCATTTCCACCAACTCTACTTGGCTCGGCACGGCTCTACTCTGGGTGGGAGTGTTTCCATTGGTCCTGTTTAACCAATACTAGGTTTTCTGGTACTAGTATTCTGATTGGCCAGAGTGGTGGTTGCTGGGAGACGGTACCAGATGCTAATCAAGTCTGGGTCAAGGGGGCGCTGGTGGAAACGGGGCTACTGTAAGGCATTTAAATATCAAACTTTGGAACAGAACAAGACAAATAAATGCATGTTTTAAATCTCACGGTCAAGACTTAACTCAATCTTAATTTACTCAAACTAAACGACAAACATGGCTTTAGTCTTGTACTTTCCTCAGTTCCTCTGCAGCCGCCTGAACAGACGCATCACAGAAAAATAGTTTAGTTTATGCTTTTACTGCAGTTTCACACATCGTGGCTCATTTGCACAGTTCCCGTCACAATCCTACTTCTAAAAATATATTTGCAGATTTCATACTAAAATATTACTGCTTCGACACATGCAGTATTGCTGATTTAGAATGTGGGAGACTTGAACTAAGTATCAACACATTTCATATTTACTCCCGGTACGAGCTTCAGCCACACTTTAGTTTAGACCTCACTAAATAACAGATGAATAAATGCTAATTAGTGTATTTTGGGTTAATTATGTTAAGCACTCATTAGTCCTTATTTTACGTCAAACTAACCACGGACACACAAAGTAGACCGTGGCTGAGTGGTTAGCTCTCTCGTCTCAATAAGAAGGTTCGAATCCCGGTCGGAACCGAGCCTCTGAGTGGAGCTTGCATGTTCTCCCTGTGCCAAGCCGAGCATCGACATCTGGAGATGGGTTTCCGGACACTGTTACTACGGCGACCACAGCTCCTGACAGACACCTTAGTGCAGGGGTGTCCAAACCGTTTTTAGCAAGAGGGCCACTTCTGTTCATCAACAACCTGGATTCAATCAGGTTATGATGCGTCCAATTTGATCCACACCACAGCTGCATTTGATTTGGAAAGTTGTTACAAAGTCAACGGCCGTATTCCAGAGGGTCACAGTTACAATAAGGTAAAGCATGACTGTATTGGTGGAGCTGAAGTTGGTTGGATGACACTGTCTCAATACTCACTTCCACCCTCTTGCCCCGGACATTCTATGGTAACAATTTAACTTTTTTTTTTAAAGAAAGCATTCATATAACATTCCATTTAAACTCTGTACAATAAACTTAGGATGTATAGAAACTGACCAGATAAGTTAGTTACCCACATTTAACTTAATTATACAGCTTTCTCAAATTACAAATAACCAATATGCATTTATTTTAACCTGTGTGGAGCAGCTCATTTTGTTTAGGTCTGATAATGACGTGCACTGTCCCAATACCGTCTTTTTGGCTGTAACCTGCCACTCAAACAAATGCACACTTCGTAGAGGACTGTAGGGGGCAGTGTGGGTCTGAGACAGGGCCAATGTTGACTTTGTGCCATTTAATGTGGCCCTCTGCTGCTAACACAGAGGGCCGCAATTGGCCCACAGGCCTGAGTTTGGACAATTCTGCATTTGTGTTGTCAGGATCAAGTGCAGAGGACACATACATGGATAAATAAAGTGCACATTTACACTGATTAGCACTTAACAGTTAATTAGTGAGGTTCAGTTAATCTCATGTGTCTCCGCTCACCGCTGCAGAGTCCTGGCAAAAAATATCAGATACTGGAAAAAGAACTAGTGCCTCCTTCAGTCTGAGAACCTGAAGCAGAACAGCGATGACACGTGCATGTTTCTGATAAGTTTAAACCTTTGGGTCAACAGAATTTCATCCTGAACCAGAGCTGTGTTTGTGAAAGGCAAGTTTAACGATCGGTGCTGAATGCGTGTGTTCCTCGACTGAACCTCGTCTGGGTTAATCATTCCTACTTTCTTCCCTTTAACTTTAGCTCCAGCTTATATTTAAAGGGACAGTGTGTAATATTTACTCTGTCTCTCCTGTAATACATGATGCTCAGCTCTGATTACTGATGCAATCCACCTGCTGGAGTTTAGACAGAAACCGCCGGTGGAAACAGGGCTATAGTCTCCCTTAAAATAATAAGTAATAAAAAAGCATATTGCATCTTCCCCTGTGGTCGTGGCCTCGTCCTCCACTGAGCCCTGACCTCCCAGAGTCTCCCCCCCCCCCTCCCTCAGTCTCCCTCCCTCCCTCAGTCTCACTCAGTCTCCCTCCCTCCCTCAGTCTCCCTCCCTCCCTAAGTCTCCCTCCCTCCCTCAGTCTCCCTCCCTCCCTCAGTCTCCCTCCCTCCCTCAGTCTCCCTCCCTCAGTCTCCCTCACTCCCTCAGTCTCCCTCCCTCAGTCTCCCCTCCCTCCTCAGTCTCCCTCACTCCCTCAGTCTCCCTCACTCCCTCAGTCTCCCTCACTCCCTCAGTCTCCCTCACTCCCTCAGTCTCCCTCCCTCCCTCAGTCTCCCTCCCTCCCTCAGTCTCCCTCCCTCCCTCAGTCTCCCTCACTCCCTCAGTCTCCCTCCCTCCCTCAGTCTCCCTCCCTCCCTCAGTCTCCCTCCCTCCCTCCCTAGGTAGAGCTACACCCGGAGCTCTCCCTCAGAGCTCCGGGTGTAGCTCGTTGTTGTTGTTGCAGATGTTGAGGTTGTCGAGTGACTCTTCTCCCACAAACGCCAGCAGCAGCTCTGAGCGTCTGTGCAGCAACCGGAGGATATCCTCCGCCAGCGTTTCCACGGAGACGAACCGCACCTTCTCCAGGTCAAAGATGTCCCTCAGGAAGCAGCGCACCTGGTCCTGCACACGCACACAAGGACACGTCATCACCATCAAGGACACGTCATCACCATCAAGGACACGTCATCACCATCAAGGACACGTCATCACCATAAAGGACACGTCATCACCATAAAGGACACGTCATCACCATAAAGGACACGTCATCGCCATCAAGGACACGTCATCGCCATCAAGGACACGTCATCGCCATCAAGGACACGTCATCACCATCAAGGACACGTCATCACCATCAAGGACACGTCATCACCATCAGGGACACGTCATCACCATCAGGGACACGTCATCACCATCAAGGACACGTCATCACCATCAAGGACACGTCATCACCATCAGGGACACGTCATCACCATCAGGGACACGTCATCACCATCAGGGACACGTCATCACCATCAAGGACACGTCATCACCATCAGGGACACGTCATCACCATCAAGGACACGTCATCACCATCAGGGACACGTCATCACCATCAAGGACACGTCATCGCCATCAAGGACACGTCATCGCCATCAAGGACACGTCATCACCATCAAGGACACGTCATCACCATAAAGGACACGTCATCACCATCAAGGACACGTCATCACCATAAAGGACACGTCATCACCATAAAGGACACGTCATCACCATAAAGGACACGTCATCGCCATAAAGGACACGTCATCGCCATCAAGGACACGTCATCGCCATCAAGGACACGTCATCACCATCAAGGACACGTCATCACCATCAAGGACACGTCATCACCATCAGGGACACGTCATCACCATCAGGGACACGTCATCACCATCAAGGACACGTCATCACCATCAGGGACACGTCATCACCATCAAGGACACGTCATTTTGGTGGTGAGCAGTAGAAGTGTGTGAGAAAGAGAGAGACAGTGATGGTGCTTTCAGACCGGATCATGCTGCGTCGGGTTTCAATGGTGGCGCGCGTTCGACCGTCACAACGCACGGACCTCTCGGCACAAACGGACTGTTCAATAATGACGCACGGACTTGGCGGGAAAGTGAAAAGGGAGGAGCAGGAGCGAAAAATCAACGCCCACAGGAGATGGATTCTGCTCATCCTTTCCTTGGGACGTTCGTGCGACAACCAATCAGAGAGCAGCAAAGTGGTTAAGGGGACATTAGCGGACTGAGCGAGCAGACTGAACATACTGTAAACAGCCAAAACAGGAGCCACACCAGGCTTCACCAGAACTCAAACCAGGGCTGACAATGGGGGACTCTGTGCTGGTGAAAATATGCGTTGTCATGCTCCCGTGACCTTATGCAACTGCTTCGAGTGTTCGCCGATGCGGAAATACTGTTTAATAATATGAAAACACGTATGGCGCACCTCCGTGAACACATACTACTGTTGTGTAAAGCCCGTGGAATGTCTGTGAGAAAAGACACGCTGCAAAGCTGCATATTGGAGAAGATCTGTACACAAGAAGCCGCTAGCATAGCTCTGTTAGCATTAGAGCCGACCGGCTACTTCCGGTACTTCCGGCTCGCGTCAGGACGTTCTGGTGTGAAGTCCTTTGCGTCTGAAAACCAGAGACTGTGCGTCTGTTGAGCGGGGCTTCAGCGATTGCGGTCTGAAAGCACCATGAGAGGTGTGTGTGTGTTTAGTAGAAGTGTGTGTGTGTGTGTGTGTGTTTGTGTGTGTGCAGTAGAAGTGTGTGTGTGTGTGTGTGCAGTAGAAGTGTGTGTGTGTGTGTTTAGTAGAAGTGTGTGTGTGTGTGTGTGTGTGCAGTAGAAGTGTGTGTGTGTGTGCAGTAGAAGTGTGTGTGTGTGTGTGCAGTAGAAGTGTGTGTGTGTGTGTGTGTGCAGTAGAAGTGTGTGTATAGTGACCTTGAAGAAGCAGCAGAGATGGTGCAGAGAAGTCTTTGGGCCCAGAAAGCCCCAGGCCAGAACTGGACTGATCTGTTCACACACACTGTAGAAGTGAGCAATGAAGCCGTCCTGGACCTGACACACAACAGGAAGCAGTCAGCAACACAACACACACAATACAATACAATACACAACAGGAAGCAGTCAGCAACACAACACCCCCATCTGCTGGTGGAGGCTGGGAACAACAGCTTTAAACAAAAAAATCTGTCTCTCTAGCTCGCTCTCTCTGTGTGTCTCTCTCTCTCTCTGTGTCTCTCTCTCTCTCTGTGTCTCTCTCACTGTCTCTCTCTCTCTCACTGTCTCTCTCTCTCTCTGTGTCTCTCTCTGTGTCTCTCTCTCTCTCTGTGTCTCTCTCTCTCTCTCTGTGTCTCTCTCACTGTGTCTCTCTCTCTCTCTCTCTGTGTCTCTCTCTCTCTTTGTGTCTCTCTCACTGTCTCTCTCTCTCTCACTGTCTCTCTCTGTGTCTCTCTCTCTCACTGTCTCTCTCTGTGTCTCTGTCTCTCACTCTCTCTCTCTGCGTCTCTCTCTCTCTCACTGTCTCTCTCTGTCTCTCTCACTGTCTCTCTCTCTCTGTGCCTCTGTCTCTCACTCTCTGCGTCTCTCGCTCTCTTTCTCCGTGTCTCTCTCTCTCTCAGTGTCTCTCTCACTGTCTCTCTGTGTCTCTGTCTCTCCTACTCTCTCTCTCTGCGTCTCTCTCTCTCTCTGTGTCTCTGTCTCTCACTCTCTCTCTCTGCGTCTCTCTCTCTGAGTCTCTCTCTCTCTCTCTCTGCGTCTCTCTCTCTCTCTGCGTCTCTCTCTCTCTCTCTGCGTCTCTCTCTCTCTCTCTCTCTCTGCGTCTCTCTCTCTCTCTGTGTCTCTCTCACTCTCTCTCTCTCTCTGCGTCTCTCTCTCTCTGCGTCTCTCTCTCTCTCTCTCTCTGCGTCTCTCTCTCTCTGTCTATCTCTGTCTGTGCTTTTCTCTCTAGTTTCCACATCATGTTTGTTTGGCCTCTGACACAGCTTCAGATCAGCTTGACTAATCCAACGGGCCAGTTCAAACACTCACTCACACAGACACACACGTACACATGTTCAGTCACACACACACGCACGCACACATACACACACACGTCAGTTACCTTCATATGTTGTCTCTTCTGTTTCAGCACAGACCAACAGCTCGATGCCACCGCCTGAAAAACACAGGAACATTTTAAACCAACACCAAAAGGTATTCTGTGTGTGTGTGTCTATGTATATTTGTGTGTGTGTGTGTGTCTATGTATATTTGTGTGTGTGTGTGCTTTTATGTATAAGAGTGTGTGTGTGTGTGTCTATGTATATTTGTGTGTGTGTATATATATATATATATATATTGTGTATCGATGTGTGTGTGTGTGTGTGTATTTGTGTGCATCTATGTGTGTGTGTGTGTTTATGTGTATGTATAAGAGTGTGTGTGTGCCCATTTACGTGGCTGGATGGAAAGATGTTGAAGGGACGGTTACAGAAGATATACCCATTATGGCCCTTTTACCTGACAAAAAACTACAAATGAATATCAATATAACTGAAGACTTTATGTATGAGTCTCTTCTGAACTCCTGGAGTAGAATAATGCAAACATGCAACTTGGAAAAAATGTCTAGAATTTTAAGGTGGTGTGCGTACGATTCTGACTTCAGACCAAATGCCCTTGATGGAAGATTCAAGGGATGGGTCTCAAAAGGAATTACAACCTATTATTCTTTTATCCACAAGGGAGCATTTATGAGTTTTGAACAAATGCAGAACAAATATGGTTTAGGTAAAGACGATTTCTTTAGATACTTACAGGTTAGGCACTATTTTGACCAAAATATAAAAATAACATTGGAAAATTGCAACTTGGGGTTCCTACAGACTTTCTTAACACTAATTAAATCATTTTCCCCAAATAAATTAATTTCTAAGTCATACAAATCCATTCAGCAAGGCAAAGAGCCTAACACAGAGTACATTAAGAGGAGATGGGAAATGGAAGGTAATATGCAAATTTCAAATGAAAGTTGGGTGAATATATGTAAATTACAATGGAGCACTACTAGTTCAAATACCTGGCGTGAGTTTTGTTGGAAAAATATAATCAGGTTTTTTATCACACCTATTCAAAAGAGACACCAGGGTGTTGGAGACTTATGCTGGAGGCTCTGTGGATCCTCAGGAGCAAATCATTTCCACATTTTCTGGGAATGCCCATTGTTAAGCCATTATTGGTCACAAATATGTGAACATATTAATCATATATTTGGTAGTAAAGTACCTTGCAATTTCGAAAATGTATATTTGGGAAATGCAGATGTTACCAACTGGAGAAATAAGGACAAGAGGTTGCTTTGGACATTACTGGCAGCGAGTAAGAAAGCCATAACCAGGAAGTGGCTAAAACCGGACCCTTCAACCATCGAAGAATGGGTCAACATAATTCAAGAAGAGTACATTATGGAGAAACTTTCATTTACTCTCAAGATTCAAAGGGACATGTTTTACCAAATCTGGTCAAAATGGACTGAGTATGTCAAACCCATACGGTCAGACTTTGTATGAGAGGTAACTGTTCTAAGTGAATGAAAAACATTTTTGCACAGGTACTCTTCCCACAATTGTATGTTCATGTTTAAAAATTGAAAAAAATAAAAATTATTTAAAAAATAAGAGTGTGTGTGTGTATTTGTGTGCATCTATGTGTGTGTCCTTTTGAGGATTCCCCCAGATGAGCAGGAGCAGTGTGTGATGAGGGAGGTCTCTGCTCAGACTGCTGCCTGTGTGACTCAGCTACGGATAAAGTGGAAGAGTCCTTGTGTCCTGTGTGCTCTCTCACCGTTTCCTTGAAGGAGCTGTTGAGCCATCTGTTCCCGATCACGTTCTGGATCGAGATCGGAGGATTCTCCAGATCCTCAAAAGAATCCATCAGAATAAAGTCTAGAACGATGTCGAAGAAGTTCAGATGTTTCACCTGAAAAGAAAATAAGATTTACCACAGGAGAGAGACCAGAGAGAGAGAGAGACCAGAGAGAGAGAGACCAGAGAGAGAGAGACCAGAGAGAGAGAGACCAGAGAGAGAGAGACCAGAGAGAGAGACCAGAGAGAGAGAGACCAGAGAGAGAGAGACCAGAGAGAGAGAGACCAGAGAGAGAGAGACCAGAGAGAGAGACCAGAGAGAGAGACCAGAGAGAGAGAGAGACCAGAGAGAGAGAGACCAGAGAGAGAGAGACCAGAGAGAGAGAGACCAGAGAGAGAGAGAGACCAGAGAGAGAGAGACCAGAGAGAGAGACCAGAGAGAGAGACCAGAGAGAGAGAGAGACCAGAGAGAGAGAGAGACCAGAGAGAGAGAGACCAGAGAGAGAGAGAGACCAGAGAGAGAGACCAGAGAGAGAGAGAGAGACCAGAGAGAGAGAGACCAGAGAGAGAGAGACCAGAGAGAGAGAGACCAGAGAGAGAGAGACCAGAGAGAGAGAGACCAGAGAGAGAGAGACCAGAGAGAGAGAGAGACCAGAGAGAGAGAGACCAGAGAGAGAGAGACCAGAGAGAGAGAGACCAGAGAGAGAGAGACCAGAGAGAGAGACCAGAGAGAGAGAGAGACCAGAGAGAGAGAGAGAGACCAGAGAGAGAGAGACCAGAGAGAGACCAGAGAGAGAGACCAGAGAGAGAGAGAGACCAGAGAGAGAGAGACCAGAGAGAGAGAGACCAGAGAGAGAGAGAGAGAGAGACCAGAGAGAGAGAGACCAGATAGAGAGAGACCAGAGAGAGAGAGAGACCAGAGAGAGAGACCAGAGAGAGAGAGACCAGAGAGAGAGAGAGACCAGAGAGAGAGAGAGAGACCAGAGAGAGAGAGACCAGAGAGAGAGAGACCAGAGAGAGAGACCAGAGAGAGAGAGAGACCAGAGAGAGAGAGACCAGAGAGAGAGAGACCAGAGAGAGAGAGAGAGAGACCAGAGAGAGAGAGACCAGATAGAGAGAGACCAGATAGAGAGAGACCAGAGAGAGAGACCAGAGAGAGAGACCAGAGAGAGAGACCAGAGAGAGAGAGACCAGAGAGAGAGAGAGACCAGAGAGAGAGAGAGAGACCAGAGAGAGAGAGACCAGAGAGAGACCAGAGAGAGAGACCAGAGAGAGAGAGAGACCAGAGAGAGAGAGACCAGAGAGAGAGAGACCAGAGAGAGAGAGAGAGAGACCAGAGAGAGAGAGACCAGATAGAGAGAGACCAGAGAGAGAGAGAGACCAGAGAGAGAGACCAGAGAGAGAGAGACCAGAGAGAGAGAGAGACCAGAGAGAGAGAGAGAGACCAGAGAGAGAGAGACCAGAGAGAGAGAGACCAGAGAGAGAGACCAGAGAGAGAGAGAGACCAGAGAGAGAGAGACCAGAGAGAGAGAGACCAGAGAGAGAGAGAGAGAGAGACCAGAGAGAGAGAGACCAGATAGAGAGAGACCAGATAGAGAGAGACCAGAGAGAGAGACCAGAGAGAGAGACCAGAGAGAGAGACCAGAGAGAGAGAGACCAGAGAGAGAGAGAGACCAGAGAAAACCAGAGAGAGAGACCGGAGAGAGATAGACCAGAGAGAGAGAGAGACCAGAGAAAACCAGAGAAAACCAGAGAGAGACCAGAGAGGGAGAGACCAGAGAAAACCAGAGAGAGACCAGAGAGAGAGAGACCAGAGAGAGAGAGACCAGAGAGAGAGACCAGAGAGAGAGAGATCAGAGGGCGAGAGACTGGAGAGAGAGAGACCAGAAAGAGACACAAACACAGAGAGACAGAGATGTAATGTAATCATCTGTGGTCTCTCTCTTGAACGTACTTAGATGTGGTCTCTCTCTTGAACGTACTTAGATGTGGTCTCTCTCTTGAATGTAACCGGCTGAGGTTTCTCTCTTGAATGTACTCACCCCTCGTGTTGCCAGTTCCACTTCCGTGTTTTCCCAGTGATCGGAGTTTTCCAGGAATGAAATGAGTTCCTCAAAAACTTCTTCAAAGCGTTTTGGATTCTGTAAAAGTGGAGTTCAGAGTCAGAAGCTTCAGAGACAACACAGAGACACAGACACAGAGACACAGACACAGAGAGACACAGACACAGACACAGAGAGACACAGACACAGAGACACAGACACAGAGAGACACACACAGAGAGACACAGACACAGAGACACAGACACAGAGACTCACAGACACAGACACAGAGACACACACACAGAGAGACACAGACACAGAGAGACACAGACACAGAGAGACACAGAGACACACACAGACACAGAGACACACACAGACACAGAGACACACACAGACACAGACACAGAGACACACACACAGAGAGACACAGACACAGAGACACAGACACAGAGAGACACAGAGACACACAGACACAGACACAGAGACACAGACACAGAGAGACACAGACACAGAGACACAGACACACAGAGAGACACAGACACAGAGAGACACAGACACAGAGACACACACACAGAGAGACACAGACACAGAGACACACAGACACAGAGACACACACAGACACAGAGACACACACACAGAGAGACACAGACACAGATACACAGACACAGAGACACACAGACACAGACACAGAGACACACAGACAGAGAGACACAGACACAGAGACACAGACACAGAGACACAGACACAGAGAGACACAGAGAGACACAGACACAGACTCACAGACACAAGACTCACAGACACAGACTCACAGACACAGACTCACAGACACAAGACTCACAGACACAGACTCACAGACACAGACTCACAGACACAGACTCACAGACACAGACTCACAGAGAGACACAGACACACAGAGAGACACAGACACAGACTCACAGACACAAGACTCACAGACACAAGACTCACAGACACAGACTCACAGACACAGACTCACAGACACACAGACACAGAGACTCACAGACACAGACACAGAGACTCACAGACACAGAGACACAGACACACAGAGAGACACAGACACAGAGACTCACAGACACAAGACTCACAGACACAGACTCACAGACACAGAGACTCACAGACACAGACTCACAGACACAGACTCACAGACACAGACTCACAGACACACAGACACAGAGACTCACAGACACAGAGACACAGAGACTCACAGACACAGACTCACAGACACAGACTCACAGAGACAGAGATACACAGACACACAGACACAGAGACTCACAGACACAGAGACTCACAGACACAGAGACACAGACACAGACTCACAGACACAGAGACTCACAGACACAGACTCACAGACACAGAGACTCACAGACACAGACTCACAGACACAGAGACTCACAGACACAGACTCACAGACACACAGACACAGACTCACAGACACAGACTCACAGAGACTCACAGACACAGAGACACAGACACAGACTCACAGACACAGAGACTCACAGACACAGACTCACAGACACAGAGACTCACAGACACAGACTCACAGACACACAGACACAGACTCACAGACACAGACTCACAGAGACTCACAGACACAGAGACACAGAGACTCACAGACACAGACTCACAGACACAGACTCACAGACACAGACTCACAGACACAGAGATACACAGACACAGAGACTGACCTTCTGAGCCGTCACGATGATCGAGGACAACGTTTTCTTTCCTGTTTCAGCCAAAAACATTCGAGTGGTTCTTTCACACAAAATGAGCTGAAAATAAATAAATATGTGAATTAGACCAGAGAGAGAGACCAGAGAGAGACCAGAGAGAGAGACCAGAGAGAGAGACCAGAGAGAGAGACCAGAGAGAGAGACCAGAGAGAGACCAGAGAGAGAGACCAGAGAGAGAGACCAGAGAGAGAGAGACCAGAGAGAGAGAGACCAGAGAGAGAGACCAGAGAGAGAGACCAGAGAGAGAGACCAGAGAGAGACCAGAGAGAGACCAGAGAGAGACCAGAGAGAGAGACCAGAGAGAGAGACCAGAGAGAGAGACCAGAGAGAGACCAGAGAGAGAGACCAGAGAGAGAGACCAGAGAGAGACCAGAGAGAGACCAGAGAGAGACCAGAGAGAGACCAGAGAGAGAGCTGAGAGAGAGACCAGAGAGAGACCAGATAGAGAGAGACCTGAGAGAGAGCAGAGAGAGAGCAGAGAGAGAACAAAGAGAGACCAGAGATAGATACAGTACAGTGCCTTGCAAAAGTATTCGGCCCCCTTGAACCTTTTGCCACATTTCAGGCTTCAAACATAAAGATATAAAATTTTAATTTTTTGTCATGAATCAACAACAAGTGGGACACAATCGTGAAGTGGAACAAAATTTATTGGATAATTTAAACGTTTTTAACAAATAAAAAACTGAAAAGTGGGGCGTGCAATATTATTCGGCCCCTTTACTTTCAGTGCAGCAAACTCAGTCCAGAAGTTCAGAGAGGATCTTTGAATGATCCAATGTTGTCTAAATGACACAGAGAGACCAGAGAGAGAGACCAGAGAGAGAGACCAGAGAGAGAGACCAGAGAGAGAGACCAGAGAGAGACCAGAGAGAGAGACCAGAGAGAGAGACCAGAGAGAGAGACCAGAGAGAGAGACCAGAGAGAGAGACCAGAGAGAGAGACCAGAGAGAGACCAGAGAGAGAGACCAGAGAGAGAGACCAGAGAGAGAGACCAGAGAGAGAGACCAGAGAGAGAGACCAGAGAGAGAGACCAGAGAGAGACCAGAGAGAGACCAGAGAGAGACCAGAGAGAGAGACCAGAGAGAGAGACCAGAGAGAGAGACCAGAGAGAGAGACCAGAGAGAGAGACCAGAGAGAGAGACCAGAGAGAGACCAGAGAGAGAGACCAGAGAGAGACCAGAGAGAGACCAGAGAGAGACCAGAGAGAGAGACCTGAGAGAGAGCAGAGAGAGAGCAGAGAGAGAACAAAGAGAGACCAGAGATAGATACAGTACAGTGCCTTGCAAAAGTATTCGGCCCCCTTGAACCTTTCGCCACATTTCAGGCTTCAAACATAAAGATATAAAATTTTAATTTTTTGTCATGAATCAACAACAAGTGGGACACAATCGTGAAGTGGAACAAAATTTATTGGATAATTTAAACGTTTTTAACAAATAAAAAACTGAAAAGTGGGGCGTGCAATATTATTCGGCCCCTTTACTTTCAGTGCAGCAAACTCACTCCAGAAGTTCAGTGAGGATCTTTGAATGATCCAATGTTGTCCTAAATGACTGATGATGATAAATAGAATGCACCTGTGTGTAATCAAGTCTCCGTATAAATGCACCTGCTCTTTGATAGTCTCAGGGTTCTGTTTAAAGCACAGAGAGAACCATGAAGACAAAGGAACACACCAGGCAGGTCCGAGATACTGTTGTGGAGAAGTTTAAAGCCGGATTTGGATACAAAAAGATTTCCCAAGCTTTAAACATCTCAAGGAGCACTGTGCAAGCAATTATATTGAAATGGAAGGAGTATCAGACCACTGCAAATCTACCAAGACCCGGCCGTCCCTCCAAACTTTCATCTCAAACAAGGAGAAGACTGATCAGAGATGCAGCCAAGAGGCCCATGATCACTCTGGATGAACTGCAGATAACTACAGCTGAGGTGGGAAAGTCTGTCCATAGGACAACAATCAGTCGTGCACTGCACAAATCTGGCCTTTATGGAAGAGTGGCAAGAAGAAAGCCATTTCTCAAAGATATCCATAAAAAGTCTCGTTTAAAGTTTGCCACAAGCCACCTGGGAGACACACCAAACATGTGGAAGAAGGTGCTCTGGTCAGATGAAACCAAAATCAAACTTTTTGGCCACAAAGCAAAACGATATGTTTGGCGTAAAAGCAACACAGCTCATCACCCTGAACACACCATCCCCACTGTCAAACATGGTGGTGGCAGCATCATGCTTTGGGCCTGCTTTTCTTCAGCAGGGACAGGGAAGATGGCTAAAATTGGTGGGAAGATGGATGGAGCCAAATACAGGACAATTCTGGAAGAAAACCTGTTGGAGTCTGCAAAAGACCTGAGACTGGGACGGAGATTTATCTTCCAACAGGACAATGATCCAAAACATAAAGCCAAATCTACAATGGAATGGTTCACAAATAGACGTATCCAGGTGTTAGAATGGCCAAGTCAAAGTCCAGACCTGAATCCAATCGAGAATCTGTGGAAAGAGCTGAAGACTGCTGTTCACAAACGCTCTCCATCCAACCTCACTGAGCTCCAGCTGTTTTGCAAGGAAGAATGGGAAAGAATTCCAGTCTCTCGATGTGTAAAACTGATAGAGACATACCCCAAGCGACTTGCAGCTGTAATTGCAGCAAAAGGTGGCGTTACAAAGTATTAGCGCAAGGGGCCGAATAATATTGCACGCCCCACTTTTCAGTTTTTTATTTGTTAAAAAAGTTTAAATTATCCAATAAATTTTGTTCCACTTCACGATTGTGTCCCACTTGTTGTTGATTCTTGACAAAAAAATTAATTTTTATATCTTTATGTTTGAAGCCTGAAATGTGGCGAAATGTTGAAAGGTACAAGGGGGCCGAATACTTTCTGTATATGAGAGATTAGAAAGAGACAACAGAGTGATTTATTTCAAACATAGAATAAAATGAGGTGTTTTGATCTCTCTGTTCAGGGCCTGTACCTCGCAGGCTTCTCGAACGCAGTGCAACTTTGCGAGAAAGTCCAGGTCTCCGAGACAATCCAACATCTCTGTCCTGAAACCAGAGCTCACTTTACAAACACAGACAAAGCAACAACAATATGACATTTGCAAGCTTTCATTGACCATGTACTGAAGCAGCAGCTACAGACTGTTTACAGATGGACAATGCTAACGTACTAGCTTAATGTTCTCTCGCTCAGTAACTGTTTGTGTCACAGTCCTGCGGTTTTTAAGTTTAATATTGTCTTTTAAAATCAGGACGTGAGCTCTAACCAGAGAAAGACCAGAGAGAGACCAGAGAGAGGCCAGAGAGAGGCCAGAGAAAGACCAGAGAGAGACCAGAGAGAGACCAGAGAGAGACCAGAGAGAGGCCAGAGAGAGACCAGAGAGAGACCAGAGAGAGGCCAGAGAGAGACCAGAGAGAGACTAGAGACCAGAGAGAGGCCAGAGAGAGACCAGAGAGAGACTAGAGACCAGAGAGAGACCAGAGAGAGACTAGAGACCAGAGAGAGGCCAGAGAGAGGCCAGAGAGAGACCAGAGAGAGACCAGAGAGAAAGACCAGAGAGAGGCCAGAGAGAGTCCAGAGAGAGACCAGAGAGAGACCAGAGAGAGAGACCAGAGACCAGAGAGAGGCCAGAGAGAGAGACCAGAGAGAGGCCAGAAAGAGGCCAGAGAGAGGCCAGAGAGAGACCAGAGAGAGACCAGAGAGAGGCCAGAGAGAAAGACCAGAGAGAGGCCAGAGAGAGGCCAGAGAGAGGCCAGAGAGAGAGACCAGAGAGAGGCCAGAGAGAAAGACCAGAGAGAGGCCAGAGGGAGGCCAGAGAGAGACCAGAGAGAGAGCAGAGAGAGAGCAGAGAGAGAGCAGCAGAGAGACCAGAGAGAGACCAGAGAGAGACCAGAGAGAGACCAGAGAGAGAGACCAGAGAGAGAGACCAGAGAGAGAGACCAGAGAGAGAGACCAGAGAGAGAGACCAGAGAGAGGCCAGAGAGAGAGGAGAGAGAGCAGAGAGAGAGCAGAGAGAGACCAGAGAGAGACCAGAGAGAGAGACCAGAGAGAGGCCAGAGAGACCAGAGAGAGACCAGAGAGAGACCAGAGAGAGACCAGAGAGAGACCAGTGAGAGACCAGTGAGAGAAATGAGAGAGACCAGAGAGAGAGACCTGAGAGAGAGCAGAGAGAGAGCAGAGAGAGACCAGTGAGAGACCAGCGAGAGAAATGAGAGAGACCAGAGAGAGACCAGAGAGAGACCAGAGAGAGACCAGAGAGAGACCAGAGAGAGACCAGCGAGAGAAATGAGAGAGACCAGAGAGAGACTGGACACCTGAATTTCTCCTACAGGGATCAATAAAGTATCTATCCGTCTAACAACCGACCAATCAGGAGCCTTTTGTTCCCAAATCTGGCGTCATTATTTTTTTTTCAGCCTCTGATGAAGGCGAAAGTACTGGGGCTTCTAACCCACTACTAGCTTCTTAACACTCTTTGTCTTATAACAACTTTAGAACTTTTATTTTACATCAATAATTTAAATCATCGTGGTGGGAATTGGCAAAAATGTGACGGTTCGACATTTTTGCAATATTTGGGCCACAATTCAATATTAGTGCGATTCGATTCTGTGATATATGGCGATTCACACTGAGGGAAGAGCGGACACATGATCCTTGAAAATTCAGGAAACGGGACGTGTTTAGAATCAGGCGCCGCTGGAGGAGATGTGAGTTAGATGTGAGACTGACCTGAGGACTCTGCAGGTGATGTTTCCTTCTTCTGCCGAGCGAAAAGCCTCGTCGTAAAACGGATGATGGCCCAGAACGTTCCGCAGCTCTCTCTGTTCAGTCTGAGACACACACAGCAGACATGAGCGGGAGACCTTTACATGAGTCACGTTTCCACTGCAGCACTTCCAGGTTAAAGAAAATAAAAAAGTGGTCAATCTCTTCTTGACTGTTAGTTGTGTTTTCGTCGTTATTTGCTGTTATTACTTCCTCTGGCTCTTGGAAGAGACCAGAGAGAGACCAGAGGGAGACCAGAGGGAGACCAGAGAGAGACCAGAGAGAGACCAGAGGGAGACCAGAGGGAGACCAGAGAGAGACCAGAGAGAGACCAGAGAGAGACCAGAGAGAGACCAGAGAGAGACCAGAGGGAGACCAGAGAGAGACCAGAGAGAGACCAGAGGGAGACCAGAGGGAGACCAGAAAAAAAGAGACCAGAGGGAGACCAGAGAGGGACCAGAGGGAGACCAGAGGGAGACCAGAGGGAGACCAGAGGGAGACCAGAGGGAGACCAGAGGGAGACCAGAGAGAGACCAGAGAGAGACCAGAGAGAGACCAGAGGGAGACCAGAGGGAGACCAGAAAGAGACCAGAAAAAGAGACCAGAGGGAGACCAGAGAGAGACCAGAGGGAGACCAGAGGGAGACCAGAGGGAGACCAGAGAGAGACCAGAGAGAGACCAGAGGGAGACCAAAGGGAGACCAGAGGGAGACCAGAGAGAGACCAGAGAGAGACCAGAGAGAGACCAGAGAGAGACCAGAGAGAGACCAGAGAGAGACCAGAGAGAGACCAGAGAGAGACCAGAGAGAGACCAGAGAGAGACCAGAGAGCAAGACCGTAGAGAACGACCAGAGAGACCAGAGAGAGACCAGAGATAGAGACCAGAGAGAGAGACCAGAGATAGAGACCAGAGAGAGACCAGAGAAATACCAGAAAGAGACCAGAGGGAGACCAGAGAGAGTCCAGAGATATCAAACCTGTTGATTGTAGGTCTGAGCAATCTATTAGTATTTATTTTCTTGTAATAACAGACCTGATTGTGTGTGAATATGAGCGGCAGGATTAGTGAGTTATTAGAGATGGAGCCGTGTGTTTGTGGGTCAAGTGCGTCTGTGGTAATAGGATTAAGAGCCCAGGCCCCTGAGCACTGACCACATACACACAGACTCCAGGGACCTCGGAGCTATTTCCGTGAGAAACCTCCCCGGGACACAGGGGGACTAACACAAAAGACTAGATAAACCTATAACACTATTAGCACAAATGAGTGAAAGTGAGAGCTGAGAGGGAGTTGAGAACAAGAGAGCAGAGAGAGAGAAGAGTAGAGAAAGAGAGATCACAGAGAAAGCATAGAGAAAGAGAGAGCAGAGAAAGACCAGAGTGAGAGCTGAGAGGGAGTTGAGAACAAGAGAGCAGAGAGAGAGAAGAGTAGAGAAAGAGAGATCACAGAGAAAGCGTAGAGAAAGAGAGAGCAGAGAAAGACCAGAGTGAGAGCTGAGAGGGAGTTGAGAACAAGAGAGCAGAGAGAGAGAAGAGTAGAGAAAGAGAGATTACAGAGAGAAAGAGTAGAGAAAGAGAGAGCAGAGAAAGACCAGAGTGAGAGCTGAGAGGGAGTTGAGAACAAGAGAGCAGAGAGAGAGAAGAGTAGAGAAAGAGAGATTACAGAGAGAAAGAGTAGAGAAAGAGAGAGCAGAGAAAGACCAGAGTGAGAGCTGAGAGGGAGTTGAGAACAAGAGAGCAGAGAGAGAGAAGAGTAGAGAAAGAGAAATCACAGAGAAAGCGTAGAGAAAGAGAGAGCCGAGAAAGACCAGAGTGAGAGCTGAGAGACAGTAGAGAAAGAGAGATCAGAGGGAGAGAGAGTAGAAAAAAAGAGAACAGAGAGATGAGAGAGAGAAGAGAAATAGAGATCAGAGATAGAGAAGAGTAGAGAAAGAGAGACCAGAGAGACCAGTTAGAGCAGAGAGACAGAAGAGAGAGAGCTGAGAGAGCAGAGAAAGCGAAAGTAGGTAAAGAGAGACTAGCGAGAGACCAGAGAGAGCTGAGAGAGAGTAGAGAAAGAGAAAGAGAGAGTAGGGCGACAGAAGAGAGAGAACAGAGAAAGTAGATAAAGAGTAGAGAGCGAGAGAACCTAGAGACAAGAGAGAGAAAGAGCTGAGAGGGAGCAGAGAAAGAGACCAGAGAGAGAGAGAAGAGAGGGAACAGAGAGAGAGAGAGAGAGAGAGAAGAGAGGGACCAGAGAGGCAGACTTGAGACGGTGCACTGCCATTGAGTCCTTGAGCAAGACGCCTGCTGTTGTGAATGAGTGCGAGACAGAAACCACTGAACCTCCATCTTGTGCATTGACTCAGACTCACCTCCGCGGCCGACACGAAGGAGTCTGTGGAGTCTGCGATGCTGACGCTGTCTCTGAGATACGCCTCGTCCACATCCTCACTGGACAACAGCTCCGCCATTTTCTCTGCTAAACACAAACAATCTCATCAAAACAAATACATACTCTACTCTACTCTACCCTACTCTACCCTACTCTACCCTACCCTACTCTACTCTACCCTACTCTACCCTACTCTACTCTACCCTACTCTACCCTACTCTACCCTACCCTACCCTACTCTACTCTACTCTACTCTACTCTACTCTACCCTACTCTACCCTACTCTACTCTATCCTACCCTACTCTACTCTACCCTACTCTACTCTACTCTACTCTACCCTACTCTACCCTACCCTACTCTACCCTACCCTACTCTACTCCTCTACTCTACCCTACTCTACCCTACTCTACCCTACTCTACTCTATCCTACCCTACTCTACCCTACCCTACCCTACCCTACTCTACCCTACTCTACCCTACTCTCATTGGGAGTGTTTCCTCTGGTCCTGTGTAACCAGTTCTTTCTTTAGTCCCTCTTGGTCCTGGTTCTATCCAGGCCGAGCTGGTACTAAAGTGTTCTAACTGACAGTGATTGGTCAGAATGCTCGAGTGGAAGCCATGGTTACAAAGGAATTTACTCAGACACTGGTTTGTTGTAGGTAGGTTGCTAGGAAACGGTACCAGATACTAACGCATAATGGCAAAGAAACCAGGTGGAGTAGGATGGAGTAGGGTCAAGTCGAGTAGAGTAGGGTCATGTAGAGTAGAGTAGAGCTAAATGGAGTAGAGAAGGCCCCAGTAGATGGGAGAAACCCTGTTACCTTGGCTGCTGCATGCGGACATGCCCAGGACTCCTTCAAACTCCTCCTGTAGATGATACGCTCTCTGCAGGAGAGACTTTAGTCTGTGGACAAACTCTGCACTGATCACATCCTGAAGAAAACACAGCAGAGAGAGAGGCCATGTTAGAGAGACAGACCAGAGAGAGAGAGAGACCAGAGAGAGAGAGACCAGAGAGAGTGAGAGACCAGAGAGAGACCAGAGAGAGAGAGAGACCAGAGAGAGAGCGAGACCAGAGAGACCAGAGAGAGAGAGAGAGAGACCAGAGAGAGAGAGAAAGAGACCAGAGAGAGACCAGAGAGAGACCAGAGAGAGAGAGAGAGACCAGAGAGACCAGAGAGAGAGAGTGAGAGACCAGAGAGAGAGAGAGAGACCAGAGAGAGAGAGAAAGAGACCAGAGAGAGACCAGAGAGACCAGAGAGAGAACAGAGAGAGAGACCAGAGAGAGCAGAGAGAGAGAGCGCAGAGAGAGAGACCAGAGAGAGAGCAGAGAGAGAGCAGAGAGAGACCAGAGAGAGACCAGAGATAGACAAGAGATAGACAAGAGATAGACCAGAGAGAGACCAGAGTGAGACCAGAGAGAGACCAGAGTGAGATTAGAGAGAAAGACCAGAGAGAGACCAGAGAGAGACCAGAGTGAGATTAGAGAGAAAGACCATAGAGAGAGACCGAGAGAGCAGAGAGAGAGACCAGAGAGAGACCAGAGATCAGAGAGAAAGGCCAGAGAGACCAGAGGGAGAGAGCAGAGAAAGACCAGAGAGAGACCAGAGAGGCCAGAGTGAGATTAGAGAGAAAGACCAGAGAGAGAGACCAGAGAGAGCAGAGAGAGAGACCAGAGATCAGAGAGAGAGGCCAGAGAGAGACCAGAGAGAGACCAGAGAGAGACCATTAGTTTTTGTTTTGTGTGGATTGGCCTCAGAATTATCTCTAGACTAAAACTGAAATAATAATAAAGAAAGATGTTTTCAGTTCCCCTCCATCACAATGTTAAACTGCAGGCTCTTGTGGCTGTTGTGATGTCACATGAACGCAATCTATTAGCGTTAGCGGCTACATGAAAACAAGGTGGGGTGGATTCCTGGTCAGACTGTGACCTGTGTCCTTCTGTGGCTTAGCTCCCAGACACAAAGTGCAAAGGACTAAAGTCTTTATCCTGCGCTAATGACAATCCTCCTCTGTCTCCTCGCTCGTGGGGTGGGGCCCCCCCCCCCCACACACCCACACACCCCCCCCCCCAAAATTTGGGGGGGGTGGGGGGGACCCCCCCACAACACCCCACCACACCCCAAACCCCAACAACATGGCAAACCACAAAACAACCCCCCCCACCCCCCCCCCCCACACCACACAACCACAACGGTGGGTGGGGGGGGGGCAAAACCCCCCACCCCGTGGCACCCCCAAACCACCACACCCAAAAAAAAAAAAATGGGGAAAAAAAAAACAAAAAAAAAAAAAAAAAAAATATAGTAAAAAAAAAAATGGGGGGGGGGGGGGGGGGGGGGGGGGTATATAATATAAAATAAAAAATAAAATTTTTGGGGGGGGGGGGGGGGGGGGGGGGGTTTTTGGGGGGGGGGTTTTTTATGTGTGGAGAAATATGAGTGATATGGAGGGGTAAGAAGTGGGGAGAGAGAAGAGATAGAATAGGGGGGAGAGAGAGGAGGTAGAGAAGGGAGAGAAGAGGAGGAGAGAGAGGGGAGAGAGAGGAAGAGAGAGAAAGAGGGGGAGAGAGAGGGAGAGAGAGAGGAAGAGAGAGAAGAGGAGGGAGAGAGAGGGGGAGAGAGAGAGGGAGAGAGAGAGGGAGAGAGAGAGAGGGGGAGAGAGAGAGAGAGAGAGGGAGAGAGAGGTGGAGAGTAGAGGGGGGAGGGAGAGAGGAGAAGAGAGAGTGGGAGGGGGAAGAGGAGAGAGAGGGGAGAGAGAGAGGGAGAAGGGGGGTGGGGGGTGTAGCAGCGCGACGGGTGGGGCGCAGAGAAGAGCAGTAGGGGGGGGGGGGGGGGGCTTAGATCTGTGTGGTCTAAGCTCTGGTTATCGGGGTGGTTGGGGGGGGGATATATGCGATAGGGGTGGGGATCGAGAAGAGGGAGGGGGGGGGGGGGGGGGGGGGGGAAGAGGAGATGGATAGCGGGGGGGGGAGAGTACGACGACGAGAGTGGGGGGAGGGGAGCAGACGAGGGAGCGCGAGGGTGTGTGTGGGGGGTGTCTCTATTAGAGGTGACCGCTGGGAAGAGAGCGCAGGGTGAGATAGGGAAGATAGAGATGGAGAGCGAAAGAGGGTCGGGAGAGAAGGGAGAGTTACGAATGGTTATCGAGAAAGAGGGGAACGAGAAGAATGGGTAGAGGTACGGGCTGACGGGAATGGGGCTGGTGTGATAAATGGGTTACAATGGGGGGTTGGAGGGGGGGGTGGTGAATGTAGAATGTGGGTTTATTTTATTTATTGATGTCGGGTTCGGGAGGTATGCAAAGTTAGCAGGTGGGTGTTGGTTGTGTGTAGTGGTTGATTTGGGTCTTGTGTAATTTACAGTGAGTGTGATGTGTGTAAAATGTGTTTGTAACTGTTTGTGTAATTTTTAGTGGTAATTGCTAGTGTCCAGTGTTTGTAATGATGAGTGTACCAGTGTGTGTTAAAGTGGGGTATTGTTGGAGATATGTGTGGGTAATGTGTGGGTACCTTGTGTGACATGATGTGTTTGTAATTTTTGTGTGTGTATTGTGTAGTAATGTGTGTGTAAAGTGTGTGTAATGTGTGTGTAACTGAGTGTGTATTAAGGTGTGTGAATATTGTAAAATGAGAGTAAAGGTGAGTGTACTGTGTAAATGAGAGAATGGAAGGGTTATGATTGAGAAGTAGTTATGGGCAGATGGATGGGAGTGATGAGGGGTGGTGGAAATTTGAGAGGGGTTTAGGATATGTAGGTTGGATCGGGTGGGGTATTATAAGACATTGCTGTATGGGTGGAGATACATAATAAGTTTGGGAGAACTGCTGGTGTTAAAGTACATGTGTGGATTGTAGTTGGGGGGGAGGCGGAGTGTGCGTGGGGGGGGGGGGGGGGGGGTGGTGTGCGTGGTGCTTAACAATGGAAAATTAAAATTGAACTGAAAATGACTCCTGAGACATTCCTGTTCCCCTACAATAAAGAAATATGAAATATATAAAGTAGAAGTGCAGCAGTAGAATGTGATTGATGGCGGTAAAGTTAAAGGTCCACACCTCCATGCTCTGTTCTGCGATGGCGTCTCCAGCTTTGATGGATCCACAGTCATCATCATCATCATCATCGTCACTTTGTTTGCTCCGGAAAGTCAAAGCCTCCTCCCAGCGTCTCAGAGCCTCCTCGAACAGGTCCATACCTGAAAGGGAGGGTTTTTACTCAAGTGTGAACAGAGAGAGCCCAGAGAGAGAGCCCAGAGAGAGAGCAGAGAGAGCCCAGAGAGAGAGCCCAGAGAGAGAGCAGAGAGAGCCCAGAGAGAGCCCAGAGAGAGAGAGAGCCCAGAGAGAGAGCAGAGAGAGCCCAGAGAGAGAGCCCAGAGAGAGAGAGAGCCCAGAGACAGAGAGAGCCCAGAGAGAGAGCAGAGAGAGCCCAGAGAGAGCCCAGAGAGAGAGCCCAGAGAGAGAGCCCAGAGAGAGAGCAGAGAGAGAGCCCAGAGACAGAGAGAGCCCAGAGAGAGAGCAGAGAGAGCCCAGAGAGAGAGCCCAGAGAGAGAGCCCAGAGAGAGAGCCCAGAGAGAGCCCAGAGAGAGAGCAGAGAGAGCCCAGAGAGAGAGAGAGAGAGCCCAGAGAGAGAGAGCAGAGAGAGCCCAGAGAGAGAGCCCAGAGTGTGATTTCATCCGTAGTACAGTTGCAGCAATAGGTACAGGTTTCCACATTTTTCCCCATAGGGCAATTCAATTCTATAGGCAGCTTTTACCAAATATGCAGCTATACCTCACCTCAGCTTTCATATCGTGCAGCAACCCTCCTCTTCCCTATCACCACCTCATCAGCCAGACCAGCTCAACCCTTCTCCTTAGCTCTCACCACCAGGGTAATATAGCCTTAAATAAAAACGGTAGTTCTTTCCAGATGTTTGCAGTGCAGTAGACACACATCATTAAAATGATCCCAAAAATAAAGCGATCTCAAAGTGAGATGTAGGTGAAAAAGAGATTCATCTAGTTTACTGTCAGAACTTCATAAAAGAACTACAGTACCCAGAATGCTTGTCCTTGGTTGAGCAGAGCTTAACGTTCCCCCATGTAGAACTCAGATATTTTAGTGGAAAATGGAATAATTATGTGCAACCATGATATAAATAATGTTGAAACTTTTGTCTTCCCTTTTTCAAGACCAACGGTTCATGGGCTACGGAGTTTTTCATAAACAGCTTTGTATAACAGCCTTTTCTTCTACATTATGTCTTCTTTTTGGATACAAATAAAACCTTGCATGGCCACACGCAAAAAATAAATAAATAAAAATGCCCCCACATCCCACACATATGTCTTATTTTTGGGTACAAATAAAACCTTTCATAGCCACAAAACTAAATAAAAATAGCAAAAAGAGATCCCATGGCCCACACATTGAGAAGCACTGCTGTAATGCTAGCATAGCCTACCCATGAGATAGAGGTTCTCCGGCGTGGTCACAGGCAGATTCAACACGCTGCCCAGGTCCTCTGGTCGGTCCCAACACGAGGACTCGTTGGCACAGGTGCTGCTACTGGAGGAGGTCACGCTTTTAACCTAAAACATCAGAAAGTCAAAGATCGCGTCCAGACGTTGAAGGGAATAACAAACAGAGAGAGGTCTCACCGAGGCCAGACTCTGCAGGGAGCCGGACAGAGCTCTGTAGCTTCTGGTGGTGATGACCAAACCCGTGGAGCTCCCATTGTGCAGCGGCAAAGACGGCTCTGCTTCAGGAGGAGGCCCTGGAAGACCACAGCAGAGGGTTTAATGAAGACCATAGACAGACATTAGATACAAAACTCTATTCTATTCCAGATCTCAAAACTCTTATTTGATATTATAGTATTAGTTCAAAATATAACAACTAATACACAGCTTGTCGCATTTTTTCCATCACCTCTACTCTATCCTACTGTACTCTACTCTACTGGGTCATAATCTACCCTACCCTACCCTACTGTACTGTACTCTACTGGGTCGTACTCTACTGGGTCCTGTCCTACTCTACTCTACTCTACTCTACTCTACTCTACTCTACTGGGTCCTGTCCTACTCTACTCTACTCTACTCTACTCTACTCTACTCTACTCTACTCTACTCTACTCTACTCTACTCTACTCTACTCTACTCTACTCTACTCTACTCTACTCTACTCTACTCTACTCTACTCTACTCTACTCTACTCTACTCTACTCTACTCTACTCTACCTCCCCATAACAAACAAGTATTTGTGGAAAGAGCAGAGCAGAGAACAGAGAGCAGAGCAGAGCAGGGTAGGGTAATGTAGGGTAGGGTAGGGTAGGGTAGGGTAGGGTAATGTAGGGTAGGGTAGGGTAGGGTAGGGTAGGGTAGGGTAGAGTTTGTGTGGAGGTTGAAAAGAGTTGAATATTGAATTCTTTTGGATCTGCTAAAAGCTCTCGTTACATCTGACCGGTCTCTGGTCTCTGGTCTCTGGTCTCTGGTTTACCAGATGTACCGCTGCGCCGCTGTGCTGAGGCTTTGGCTAACGCCTCAAAGTCCACCTGGTCCCAGTCCTGTGTTGGGGCCGGTCTCCTCTTTCGGCTCTTCCTCCTCTGCAAGCGCCGCGCCAGGTACAGCAGAGAGACCGCCCCGAAGGCTGTGGCTGCTATCAGGCGCTTGGTACCGGGACTCACACTCACCTGTGGGAGAGAGGGGGGGTGGAGGGGGGAGAGAGAGAGAGAGATGTCAGAGAGATCAAAAGGAGCCTGGGATGAAGTTAAATGCCATCAGCCCCTCCCATCACAGCACTAACCAGCCCCTGTCCTACTTAGCTTCAGAGGTCTGACAGGATCATGCTTTTACCTGCAGGTGGCGTGGGCAGATAAATAATGAGATACTTTATTGATCCCTATTGGAGACCTTCAGGTGTCCAGCAGCAGAAACACATGCTTTAACAGCCGAAGGAACAAAGGATTTCTTAAAAGGTTATATTTAGCAAACTGATAAAAAAGCGCTCCGTGAGTCACTATTTAACGCTTTGGGCTGAGAGCTGATTGGCTGAGTCCTCTCTTTAGCACTTTTTTGGACACTCAGACACTTCACATCATTATTCTTTCTCTCCGAACACGGTGGTGATAAACTACTACTGTAGCCACAGCTGCCCTGGGGCACACTGACAGAAGCGAGGCAACCAGTCTGTGCCATCGGCCCCTCCCACCACCACCAACCATTCACACACACCAGACTCATTCTAATGTGGGGGAAGTGTCTTGCCTAAGGGATTTACAGCCGCCCCACTTTGGCACCTGGTGTTCCCAGAGGTTAAGTGTCTTGCCCAAGGACACAACGACAGCAGACATGAGTGCGAGTCGGTGGAGGAAGTCCACTGTCCCACGACCTTCAGGCTCAAAGGCCAATGCTCTACATGATCCGGGACATTTATGGATTTTTATGAACATTTCTGGACAGCTGTCGTCCCGCTCTCTAAGGCCCAATGTGTTTGTTATTATTGCATTTCCTGTGTTTGACTTTGATTCTTTGATAAATCCTCTGAGCCTCTGAGACGACTGCTGTTGTAATTTAAGGCTGTACACAAATCAAATTGAAAAACACAATTTGAAAACCTGTCGAATGAAGCAGAACAGTCTCAGTCAGACTAGTGTTGCATTGTGTCTCATGTCTGTGGCTCTCACTCTGTAGAAAACACTGCTTGTTGTTGTTAGCTTAGCATTAGCAGTGCATCTAAATATAAATCCAGCGAGAGGTGCCTGCAGCTTGTCACGTAGACTTAGCGCGCTGCTTAGTCTATTAATAGTTCACGATGACAGCGGATTCACTCTTGCTGCGCTGCCTCCAAACACCACACATCACATAAACAGAGGAGCCTTCACCAACACTGGGGTTATTACAGATTACCACTGGGGTTATTACAGATTACCACTGTTTAAGAGGGATTCTAGCTGTTATTTTTGCTGTTAGTTTTTTATTTAACCAGGAAAGTCCCAGTGAGATTAAGGACAAGAGGCAGCAACAGATACACACAACATTTCATATTATAAAAACAGTTCCAGGTAGAAGGAACAGAGAGTACCATGTAGAAGTTAGAGGAATCCTTTACTGCTAACCTTTGATGGTATATTTCCTCACATTCTGTCCTCTGCACAGAACAGAATCTCTTGTCTCCACTGTCTCTTGTGGATAATAATTAAATAGTGTGAGCGGTCTATTTCCAATGTTATTCTCATCCTTAACTCATTCACTGCCAGCCACATATAAAGAAGCATCCCTCATACTGCCAGAGATTTTGAATATTTTTTTAGTGTTTTTCAAAACCTCATATAAATGTGAGCCCTTAGTTGACACAAGTATGAAACCTACCAAATGAAAGCTCTGTCTCTTGCCTTTCAGTGAAAAAAACAAAACAAATGTCTACTCCTTTTTGTTTTTTAGCAATTAAGAGTATAACATGGGTAACTTAATGCAAAAAACATCGACGTCAATAGCGGTGAAAGAGTTAACAACAGCTGAACTCACTGACGTTCACATAACACAAATAAAAATTATACAAGTCTGTTCTTTGACAAATCCTTCCTGCCTTCAGGTTAGAGCTTGTGCTGGTTTGATTCCACCTCCAGACCTTTCTGTGTGGTTTGCATGTTCTCCCCGTGTCTGCTCCGGTTTCCCCTACCACTAAAATCATGTGTTCTGGCATGTGCCTCCTGTACGGTGAGCCTGCTCCATCTCCCATTATTATATATTATATATTATTATACCTGAGCATTTAAAGCTAAGAGACCAGGAGAAAAGCCAGAGAGACCAGAGAGACCAGAGAGAGACCAGAGAGAGACCAGAGAGAGACCAGAGAGAGAGACCAGAGAGAGGCCAGAGAGAGACCAGAGAGAGGCCAGAGAGAGACCAGAGAGAGGCCAGATAGAGACCAGTGAGAGAGACCAGAGAGAGGCCAGAGAGAGACCAGAGAGAGACCAGAGAGACAGAGAGAGAGACCAGAGAGAGACCAGAGAGAGACCAGAGAGAGACCAGAGAGCCAGAAGAGAGGCCAGAGAGAGACCAGAGAGAGAGACCAGAGAGAGCCAGAGAGAGAGAGAGAGACCAGAGAGAGGACCAGAGAGAGGCCAGAGAGAGAGGACCAGAGAGAGAGAGACCAGAGAGAGACCAAGAGAGACCAGAGAGAGACCAGAGAGACCAGAGAGAGCCAGAGAGAGACCAGAGAGAGACCAGAGAGAGAGACCAGAGAGAGACCAGAGAGAGAGAGAGCCAGAGAGAGACCAGAGAGACCAGAGAGACCAGAGAGAGACCAGAGAGAGACCAGAGACCAGAGAGACCAGAGAGAGACCAGAGAGAGACCAGAGAGAGAGACCAGAGAGAGGCCAGAGAGAGACCAGAGAGAGAGAGAGAGACCAGAGAGAGACCAGAGAGAGACCAGAGAGAGGCCAGAGAGACCAGAGAGAGACCAGAGAGAGACCAGAGAGAGAGCCAGAGAGAGACCAGAGAGAGACCAGAGAGACAGAGAGGACCAGAGAGACCAGAGAGAGACCAGAGAGAGAGACCAGAGAGAGACCAGAGAGAGAGACCAGAGAGAGACCAGAGAGAGACCAGAGAGACCAGAGAGAGACCAGAGAGAGCCAGAGAGAAGAGACCAGAGAGAGAGCCAGAGAGAGCCAGAGAGAGAGCCAGAGAGAGGCCAGAGAGAGACCAGAGAGAGAGAGACCAGAGAGAGAGACCAGAGAGAGGCCAGAGAGAGGCCAGAGAGACCAGAGAGAGACCAGAGAGAGACCAGAGAGAGACCAGAGAGAGAGACCAGAGAGAGACCAGAGAGAGGCCAGAGAGAGGCCAGAGAGAGGCCAGAGAGAGACACCAGAGAGAGACCAGAGAGAGACCAGAGAGAGAGAGACCAGAGAGAGACCAGAGAGAGAGACCAGAGAGAGGCCAGAGAGAGAGAGACCAGAGAGAGACCAGAGAGAGACCAGAGAGAGGCCAGAGAGAGGCCAGAGAGAGACCAGAGAGAGACCAGAGAGAGACCAGAGAGACCAGAGAGAGACCAGTGAGAGAGACCAGAGAGAGGCCAGAGAGAGACCAGAGAGAGACCAGAGAGAGACCAGAGAGAGACCAGAGAGAGACCAGAGAGACCAGAGAGAGGCCAGAGACCAGAGAGAGAGACCAGAGAGAGGCCAGAGAGAGAGACCAGAGAGAGACCAGAGAGAGGCCAGAGACCAGAGAGAGACCAGAGAGAGAGACCAGAGAGAGGCCAGAGAGAGACCAGAGAGAGAGACCAGAGAGAGACCAGAGAGAGACCAGAGAGAGGCCAGAGAGAGACCAGAGAGAGACCAGAGAGAGACCAGAGAGAGACCAGAGAGAGACCAGAGAGAGACCAGAGAGAGACCAGAGAGAGACCAGAGAGAGACCAGAGAGAGACCAGAGAGAGACCAGAGAGAGAGACCAGAGAGAGACCAGAGAGAGAGACCTGAGCATTTAAAGCTATCACAGGATTACAGTCCACAATAGAGCTGCAACTAACGATTATTTTGTAATCGATTAATCTATCGATTATTTTTACGATTAATCGAGTAATCGCTTGGCTGTGAATTGTGTAGAAAAAAAATATTTTTTCATCACAAAAAGCTAAAGTGGCAACACTCGAGGACGTATTGATGGCGTAAACTTAAAAGTAAATGTTTGTAACAGGCTCTTTGTGCTAATTCTGCTATCTGATTGGATGAGACAGACAGATATTCATGAAATTATAAAAACAAAGTCGGTTTTAATCAAAAATACTACATTTTCATGTCATTTTTGCTCTGTTTGAGTCCGTGTGAACCAGAAAACGATTAATCGATTACTAAAATAGTTGTCAACTATTTCAATAATCGATTAGTCGTCGATTAATCGATTAGTTGTTTCAGCCCTAGTCCACAATCACAGAGCTTTGTAAATTACTCTCAGGTCTCAAAACAATAGCTCCAGACCAAATCCAAATGATTCCCTTCCAGGACTTTATCTTAAAACTGTTGAAAAATGTGTTAGATTTTTTTTTTAAGTTACGGTGTGAACTGGTGTGAGCTCCTTTTTCTCTCAGGCCCCGTTTAGATGCTGCAAAGCAATTAGCAAAAACAACCAGGTTCCGTATTCGAAGTGCACAGCGTCTACACAAGGACGCAAAACGCTGTAGTTCTAGCTTGTGGCCAGTAGGGTGCAGTGGAACAACACGACACACGCGACCCCCAGAACCACTTTCTCGACAACATCCTCCTCAGGGAAAGAACCAACATCATTCTTAACAGCAGCAGTGAAAATGGTAAGTTAAACTACAGAGACCAGAGAGAGACCAGAAAGACGAGAGAGACCAGAGAGAGGCCAGAGAGAGGCCGGAGAGAGGCCGGAGAGAGACCAGAGAAAGGCCAGAGAGAGACCAGAGAGAGACCAAAGAGAGGCCAGAGAGAGAGAGAGGCCAGAGAGAGACCAGAGAGAGGCCAGAGAGAGAAACCAGAGAGAGAGACCAGAGAGAGACCAGAGAGAGACCAGAGAGAGAGGCCAGAGAGAGACCAGAGAGAGACCAGAGAGACCAGAGAGAGACCAGAGAGAGACCAGAGAGAGAGACCAGAGAGAGAGACCAGAGAGAGACCAGAGAGACCAGAGAGAGACCAGAGAGACCAGAGAGAGACCAGAGAGAGACCAGAGAGAGAGGCCAGAGAGAGACCAGAGAGAGACCAGAGAGAGACCAGAGAGAGACCAGAGAGAGAGAACGTTTTACTTTTGCAGCGTCTCCATGGAAACAGCACATCAGTACAGACTTGAGTACACATTAGCTCTGCTCTACTGAAGAAGGGACTAAAGAAGGCACTAAAGAAGGTACCAGTTGAACAGAATAAAGTAGAGTAAAGTAGAGTAGAGTTAGTAGGACTGGGAGTAGAATAGGTAGAGCAGAGCAGAGCAGAGCAGAGTAGAGCAGAGCTGGTGGAAACGTAAGTATGCACCGTGGCTCTTATCTGGGCAGTTTGTAGGAATGAACGGTGACTCATGTAAAAACAGACAACACCCAAGAAGCAGCGAAAGCCGTAGACTTCATAGAACGTCCCACGAACTGATTCAACATCGAACACAAAATACCAACAGATAAACTTGCAGTCATATGATCTGGGTGAACCAGGAGAACGATTTTTTGGTAGCAATAAAAAACATACATCTTTAATTACAAACTTGCATGGACGCCGTATTCCAGCTTCATTCATGCAAATTTAAAGCCTAGAAATTGCGCAACAGTTTAGATTACTGAATTAAATTATATTGGGATTATTTTAAATGCAGAAAGCTGCTCTGAGTGTGATGTCACAGTGGTACAATGACATACCATTACAGACAGAGACACAGGGAGAACATGCAAACACCATTCAGAAAGGCCCTGTTCCCTGTATTTGAATTGATATTAGCGTGGGTGGATGTAAAAACAACTCCAGGTCTGTTTTAGATTAGGGTTGAAGTGGTTGCATGCTGTGACCTGTCCTACTCCACCCAGAGGCTACTCCACCTCTGCTGCTGTGACCTGTCCTACTCCACCCAGAGGCTACTCCACCTCTGCTTCTGTGACCTATCCTACTCCACCCAGAGACTACTCCACCTCTGCTGCTGTGACCTGTCCTACTCCACCCAGAGACTACTCCACCTCTGCTGCTGTGACCTGTCCTACTCCACCCAGAGGCTTCTCCACCTCTGCTTCTGTGACCTGTCCTACTCCACCCAGAGACTACTCCACCTCTGCTGCTGTGACCTGTCCTACTCCACCCAGAGGCTTCTCCACCTCTGCTGCTGTGACCTGTCCTACTCCACCCAGAGACTACTCCACCTCTGCTGCTGTGACCTGTCCTACTCCACCCAGCGGCTACTCCACCTCTGCTGCTGTGACCTGTCCTACTCCACCCAGAGGCTTCTCCACCTCTGCTGCTGTGACCTGTCCTACTCCACCCAGAGGCTACTCCACCTCTGCTGCTGTGACCTGTCCTACTCCACCCAGAGGCTACTCCACCTCTGCTGCTGTGACCTGTCCTACTCCACCCAGCGGCTACTCCACCTCTGCTGCTGTGACCTGTCCTACTCCACCCAGAGGCTACTCCACCTCTGCTGCTGTGACCTGTCCTACTCCACCCAGAGGCTTCTCCACCTCTGCTGCTGCTGTGACCAGTCCTACTCCACCCAGAGGCTTCTCCACCTCTGCTGCTGCTGTGACCTGTCCTACTCCACCCAGAGGCTTCTCCACCTCTGCTGCTGCTGTGACCTGTCCTACTCCACCCAGAGGCTACTCCACCTCTGCTGCTGTGACCTGTCCTACTCCACCCAGAGGCTACTCCACCTCTGCTGCTGTGTGACCTGTCCTACTCCACCCAGAGGCTACTCCACCTCTGCTGCTGCTGTGACCTGTCCTACTCCACCCAGAGGCTTCTCCACCTCTGCTGCTGTGACCTGTCCTACTCCACCCAGAGGCTACTCCACCTCTGCTGCTGCTGTGACCTGTCCTACTCCACCCAGAGGCTACTCCACCTCTGCTGCTGCTGTGACCTGTCCTACTCCACCCAGAGGCTACTCCACCTCTGCTGCTGCTGTGACCGTCCTGCTCCACCCAGCGGCTACTCCACCTCTGCTGCTGCTGTGACCTGTCCTACTCCACCCAGAGGCTACTCCACCTCTGCTGCTGTGACCTGTCCTACTCCACCCAGCGGCTACTCCACCTCTGCTGCTGCTGTGACCTGTCCTACTCCACCCAGCGGCTGCTCCACCTCTGCTGCTGCTGTGACCTGTCCTACTCCACCCAGCGGCTACTCCACCTCTGCTGCTGCTGTGACCTGTCCTACTCCACCCAGAGGCTTCTCTACCTCTGCTGCTGTGACCTGTCCTACTCCACCCAGAGGCTTCTCCACCTCTGCTGCTGTGACCTGTCCTACTCCACCCAGAGGCTACTCCACCTCTGCTGCTGTGACCTGTCCTACTCCACCCAGAGGCTACTCCACCTCTGCTGCTGTGACCTGTCCTACTCCACCCAGAGGCTACTCCACCTCTGCTGCTGTGACCTGTCCTACTCCACCCAGAGGCTACTCCACCTCTGCTGCTGTGACCTGTCCTACTCCACCCAGAGGCTACTCCACCTCTGCTGCTGTGACCTGTCCTACTCCACCCAGAGGCTACTCCACCTCTGCTGCTGTGACCTGTCCTACTCCACCCAGAGGCTACTCCACCTCTGCTGCTGTGACCTGTCCTACTCCACCCAGAGGCTACTCCACCTCTGCTGCTGTGACCTGTCCTACTCCACCCAGCGGCTACTCCACCTCTGCTGCTGTGACCTATCCTACTCCACCCAGAGGCTACTCCACCTCTGCTGCTGTGACCTGTCCTACACCCAGAGACTACTCCACCTCTGCTGCTGTGACCTGTCCTACTCCACCCAGAGGCTTCTCCACCTCTGCTGCTGTGACCTGTCCTACTCCACCCAGCGGCTACTCCACCTCTGCTGCTGCTGTGACCTGTCCTACTCCACCCAGAGGCTACTCCACCTCTGCTGCTGTGACCTATCCTGCTCCACCCAGAGGCTACTCCACCTCTGCTGCTGTGACCTGTCCTACTCCACCCAGAGGCTACTCCACCTCTGCTGCTGTGACCTGTCCTACTCCACCCAGAGGCTACTCCACCTCTGCTGCTGTGACCTGTCCTACTCCACCCAGAGGCTACTCCACCTCTGCTGCTGTGACCTGTCCTACTCCACCCAGAGGCTACTCCACTCTGCTGCTGTGACCTGTCCTACTCCACCCAGAGGCTACTCCACCTCTGCTGCTGTGACCTGTCCTACTCCACCCAGAGGCTACTCCACCTCTGCTGCTGTGACCTGTCCTACTCCACCCAGAGGCTACTCCACCTCTGCTGCTGTGACCTGTCCTACTCCACCCAGAGGCTACTCCACCTCTGCTGCTGTGACCTGTCCTACTCCACCCAGCGGCTACTCCACCTCTGCTGCTGCTGTGACCTGTCCTACTCCACCCAGAGGCTACTCCACCTCTGCTGCTGTGACCTATCCTACTCCACCCAGAGACTACTCCACCTCTGGTGCTGTGACCTGTCCTACTCCACCCAGAGGCTACTCCACCTCTGCTGCTGTGACCTATCCTACTCCACCCAGAGGCTACTCCACCTCTGCTGCTGTGACCTGTCCTACTCCACCCAGAGGCTACTCCACCTCTGCTGCTGTGACCTGTCCTACTCCACCCAGAGGCTACTCCACCTCTGCTGCTGTGACCTGTCCTACTCCACCCAGAGGCTACTCCACCTCTGCTGCTGTGACCTATCCTACTCCACCCAGAGGCTACTCCTCCTCTGCTGCTGTGACCTGTCCTACTCCACCCAGAGGCTACTCCACCTCTGCTGCTGTGACCTGTCCTATTCCACCCAGAGGCTACTCCACCTCTGCTGCTGTGACCTGTCCTACTCCACCCAGCGGCTACTCCACCTCTGCTGCTGTGACCTGTCCTACTCCATCCAGCGGCTACTCCACCTCTGCTGCTGTGACCTGTCCTACTCCACCCAGCGGCTTCTCCACCTCTGCTGCTGTGACCTGTCCTACTCCACCCAGCGGCTTCTCCACCTCTGCTGCTGTGACCTGTCCTACTCCACCCAGCGGCTACTCCACCTCTGCTGCTGCTGTGACCTGTCCTACTCCACCCAGAGGCTACTCCACCTCTGCTGCTGTGACCTGTCCTACTCCACCCAGCGGCTACTCCACCTCTGCTGCTGCTGTGACCTGTCCTACTCCACCCAGCGGCTGCTCCACCTCTGCTGCTGCTGTGACCTGTCCTACTCCACCCAGCGGCTGCTCCACCTCTGCTGCTGTGACCTATCCTACTCCACCCAGCGGCTACTCCACCTCTGCTGCTGTGACCTGTCCTGCTCCACCCAGCGGCTACTCCACCTCTGCTGCTGTGACCCGTCCTGCGCCACCCAGAGGCTACTCCACCTCTGCTGCTGTGACCTATCCTACTCCACCCAGCGGCTACTCCACCTCTGCTGCTGTGACCTATCCTGCTCCACCCAGCGGCTACTCCACCTCTGCTGCTGTGACCCGTCCTACTCCACCCAGAGGCTACTCCACCTCTGCTGCTGTGACCTGTCCTACTCCACCCAGCGGCTTCTCCACCTCTGCTGCTGTGACCTATCCTACTCCACCCAGCGGCTACTCCACCTCTGCTGCTGTGACCTGTCCTACTCCACCCAGCGGCTTCTCCACCTCTGCTGCTGTGACCTATCCTACTCCACCCAGCGGCTACTCCACCTCTGCTGATGTGACCTAAAGTGCGGTTGCCTTTTATTACTATTGTTTGCTACTTTTAGAATGATGTATTTACTTGTTTTGTTTTTATGGAAGGATGTGTTTCTGCTGCTACTGAACACCTGCATTTCTCCTACATGGATCAATACAGCATCTATCTCTCTATCTATCTAATAAAACAGCAAAAGGAGCAAAACCAGGCTAAAAGAGATGTTCTGTGCTCACCTGAGTCAGAGAGCCATAGACGGACAGCGGCAGATCCACCATCCGCAGAGCAGCTGATCTCAGGGACAACGGAGAGGAGCTCAGGGACTCAGGCCTCATCGTCTGCAACTTTCACCTCAACATCTGAAACAGCAAGAACAACACACAATAACAACAACACACAATGACAACAACACACAATAACAACAACACACAATAACAACAACACACAATAACAACAACACCCAATGACAACAACACACAATGATGATAATCATAATCATAATAATAATGCAGCAGTTTTGTACAGTGCTTTTTTGCACACTCAAAGCCTTAGTCCTGGATCTACAGTCTCAGTCCTGGGTCTACAGCCTCAGTCCTGGGTCTACAGTCTCAGTCCTGGGTCTACAGTCTCAGTCCTGGGTCTACAGTCTCAGTCCTGGGTCTACAGCCTCAGTCCTGGGTCTACAGCCTCAGTCCTGGATCTACAGCCTCAGTCCTGGATCTACAGTCTCAGTCCTGGGTCTACAGTCTCAGTCCTGGGTCTACAGCCTCAGTCCTGGGTCTACAGCCTCAGTCCTGGGTCTACAGCCTCAGTCCTGGGTCTACAGCCTCAGTCCTGGGTCTACAGCCTCAGTCCTGGGTCTACAGTCTCAGTCCTGGATCTACAGCCTCAGTCCTGGGTCTACAGCCTCAGCCCTGGGTCTACAGCCTCAGTCCTGGGTCTACAGCCTCAGTCCTGGGTCTACCGCTCCTTATGGACCAATGGCTCCTGTGTATTTGCATTTCTTGTTTCTGAACTGTTTTAATCGACAACTTTGTAAAGTCGTCTGTGGCGACTGATGTTGTGATTTAGAGCTACATACAAAAATAAATGTAATTGAATTGAATTACTAACCAGACCCTGTCTTTAGCTTCAGAGGTCTGACGGCACCTCTGAAGTCTTATATTATTAGAATGGGGAGGCAGTGTCCAGATTTATGCAGTTACAATCTTCCTGAAAATGTGAGACAGGTTTCTACTCAATGTTCAAATCCAGACTGAAAACAGTTCTGTTTATCTGTGCATGTACCTGAAGGATTGTCTCTTTATTCTAACTAATTAACTTTTATTATTTAATGTGTTGTGTGATTGTTAATAAAAATCACTGTGAGTTGCCCATGTTAAAAACTTGCCCATGTTAAAAACTTGCCCATGTTAAAAACTTGCCCATGTTAAAAACTTGCCCATTACCTTTTAGGACAAAGTAATAATATCCTATGACTATATTTCATTTGGATGAACCTTAGGGACTGCCACTGGCTGAGCCTTTCAGATGAATGACAATATTATATAATCGTCGAAGCAAAATGGTCGTTTTATTCTTGGATCGTTAAAAAGTACATTCTAGAACATGCAAACAATACATTTGATACACTGTGTATTTAATAACAGAGTATTGGTGAAAATAATGGCAAAATAAACACATGATATATTGTCTGCTGAAATCTATGGCACCAAATGATACGTTTTGTCATTGGCATAATGTGTTCTCACAGTTACTACAGATGCATAGAGGCTTTGTGTCTATCTCACTCTTGTCTTGAAGTCCTATTTGCCACTTTCTTATCATATGAATAACTTTAATAACTGTTTATTACACATACATTAACCACACGTTTTCTTGTATCTGAGAGCACATAGATTATACAATGCAACACAATATAAGAAGTCAAAAACACATGGTTGCATTGGCTTCACTCTGGTTCTGAGAGCTACAGGCTACAGGCTAACACACATGTAACAAACTAGCTAACAACACACAGGACACAGCCACGCGACAAGACATTCACAAAAACCCAACAAGCTAACCCATACAGATGGATTTACAGGAGACAGCTGAATAAAATATGTCACATTATCGTTATTAGGCAGTATTTACCTCAGACTGGGAGTTCTCCGCCGAGTTTGACCTCCGCGGCTCAGAGGGAAGGACCACAGACAGACGCGGGATTTCAAAATAAGAGCACATGTGGTATCTAATCCAACTTCAAAATAAAAGTACTTCCGCTACAGCTGCACAGAGCGGGGCCTCCCTCTACTGGCGAGTAAGTGTCATTGCATGAAAGAAGTGCGTGAGATAATATTATATAGAGGAGTCAAGACTAAAAACTAGGAACTGGTCTGAGGCTGAAAGAATAGAAGGGAGTTTCTTTTCAAACAACTGTTTTTTACTTAAAGGTTTATTGAAGGATTTTCCCAAATTTTAGTAAAGAACCTCCCTCTCCACTTTCTGAACAAAACTCTCTGGTCTTAATTGACAAGAACTATCGCCAGAATGATTGACAATTTACATTTTTCTTAAACAAAATGTGTTTATTGTTCAGATTGAACCAAACCTCAGCTTCCACGCACTACCTAACCTAAGCACAGAGGATGTGTATTACAGTGTGGAGCGATGACGCTGAGGAGCGGCTGAGAGACTGTTTCCAAAGCACAGACTGGGACATGATCTGCAGCTCTCATGGTGAGGACATTGAAGGCCTGACACACTGTATTACAGACCAGGGTTTCCTCCAGAGGGGGGGATGGGGGGGATCAGTCCCCCCCTAGCCATGGCCCAAGGGGGGGATATCCCCCCCTCAATTTTCTTACACATGCATGTATACAATTCTCACATCATAAAGTGCAAAAACATTATTTTCATTGGGATATATCTGATCTGGCTCGCTGTCTAATCTATAATCTAAAACATGATAGTAAAAAAATTACATACAAACACCAAATCAGACACTTCCATACAGGAAAAATGTGTTATTCTTTATTCTGAATCGGAGTCTCCTCAGATGAATAGAGGTTCTCTTTTCGCGGTCTTGCAGATTTATTTGTAGCATGATTTTCACTGTATATGAACTTGCAATGTTCATCCTGATTGGCTAAGGAAGAACCAGCGTAATGTGTTCTGCGTACTGATTGGCTAAGGGGCAATCTCCGTGGCATGTTTCCTGCATCACAGCATTGTAAATCCATGTCTGAGAGCTAGCAGTGTGACTGTAATTGCTGTATGCTAATTTTCTCCTTGACAAAACCATGGACTAAACCCACAACATGGTTAGTGCTAAAAAGTTGAACTTCTGGACATGTTGCAACAACGACAGCAAAGAGGAGCACGGTGCGGAACCCAGGCCTTTGACGAGTGATTTTTACGCAGCACTAAGCCCATTTCTTTCAAAAAAATTTACAATTTCGATTTCAAGATTTCAAAAGGCTATAACTTTAAAGTAGTTTGAGATGAAGGCATATTGAAAATGAGAAATATCTTCAGTATGAACCAAACTTTGGGATGGATGTTGATTCGTCATCTAATTTGCATACTGTGACGTCATCAAGGTGGTGGCCATTTTGGAAAATGTTTATTGTATATAGATTTCAAAAAGCTGTAGTTTGAGAGTGTATTTTGAGATCAGGGAATACTGTCAACAGTCAATGTGAAATATCTTTAGTATGAAAACACAATGTGGGATAGGAATGAATTCACTGATCCAATTTATATAGAATATTTTAACACTGGTCAGCGGCCATATGGAATTGTATCATGTATTAGACCTTCAATGATCAAGATGGCACTGCTTATTGTTAATCTGCAGTTTGGTTTCACTATTACCCTTTCAAAAGACCTGGTGGCATATTGTTTCTCTCAGTGGAAATGAGGCTCCAGAATTCATCGTTTAGAAACAGAGCGATTAAATTAATGGGCTCAGAACTTGTCAGATTGTCTCAACAATAAACAATAGGCTCTTCAACACTTCTGATCCACTTTTATAGATTTTCTTCCTCTCTGCCTTCATCATCATCATCTCCGTCCGTAAAGGCAGATTAGCGGTGTGTTTTTTTCCGTGGCTTCTGCCACGTCTTCCGCGTTCCCCGCGGTTGTTTAACCCTGCTGCATTCACCCACATGCCCGGTGTTATGACCCCCCTGTCCCCTTCACCATGTCCCCTGCCTGGCGTTCGCAGAATGTTTCCATTGCGGCCACACACCGCGGTAAAGAGGCCCGGCTTTTCGGAGTCAGCGGTAAAGAGGTCCGCACATTAAAAGCGGGTGGCCGCTTTATGTTAAAGTGCATTGTAGCGGCTCATCCCCGCGGCTTCTCTTTCCAATGTTACCGTGAGTAACAGCATAAAGCGGCTATCCGCTTTTAATGTGCGGACCGCTTTACCGCTGACTCCGAAAAGCCGGACCTCTTTACCACGGTGGCCACACAGAGGACGTAAACTGTGGCTGACTGTGGACTATTGTGGCGCGGACTTCTGTCACTAATAATGTCTGTGTCTGCTTCACTGGACACCTGCGTGTCTTCCTCCTCTGAATCTGAGTGAGCCAGTACCAAACACTTCTCTGATCTCTGGAGACCTCTGGCTCTGCTCTGGCTCCGCTCTGGCTCTGCTCTGGCTCCGCTCAGAACTACGGCTCCTGTTTCGTGTCGCTGCGCCGCAGGTGTTTTACAAACTCATTTTACTCTAATACTTTGAATATAACCATTCCCACAAAGGCCGCTCATATTAAAGGCACACATGTCCACTAACTCCTCGTGAAAAATATTAACAAAAATTACTGCACTACTTTTTTTTTTTCCTGGGGTACCTTGGTCCTTGCGGTCCCCCCCTCAAACAAATTCCTGGCGGAAACACTGCAGACTATATCCTCTTCTGTGTGGATAACACTGTACCAACTAAGAAGGTACGGTGTTTTTCTAACAACCACCCATGGATGACCTCTGAGCTTAAAGCCCTCCTGAACCTCAAGAAAAGGGCTTTCATCTCAAGGGAAAAAGAGGAGCAGAAGAGGATCCAGCACGAGCTCCAGTGGAGGATCAGGAGGGCCAAGAGGGACTATGGGAAAAAGCTGGAGCAGAAGCTGGCCCAGGGAAACGCCCGCGACGTGTGGAGAGGACTAAAGAACATCTCTGGCTGTGGACAAAGGGCCAGCGGGACAGCGGATGGAGACCAGCACCGGGCGGATGAATTTAACCAATTCTTCAACCGGTTTGATTCTCCCCCCTCTCCATCTGCAGGTCTCTGCCTCTGCTCAGGACTTTTTATGACTCTGTGGTAGCTTCTGCCATTTACTACGCTGCCGTGTGCTGGGCCCCGGGCAGCACAGAGCGGAACAGGAACAGACTGAACAAGCTGGTCAGGAGGGCCAGCTCCACTCTGGGCTGCTCCCTGGACTCTGTGGAGGAGGTGAGGAACAGGAGGCCCCTGGACTCTGTGGAGGAGGTGAGGGACAGGAGGCCCCTGGACTCTGTGGAGGAGGTGAGGGACAGGAGGCCCCTGGACTCTGTGGAGGAGGTGAGGGACAGGAGGCCCCTGGACTCTGTGGAGGAGGTGAGGGACAGGAGGCCCCTGGACTCTGTGGAGGAGGTGAGGGACAGGAGGCCCCTGGACTCTGTGGAGGAGGTGAGGGACAGGAGGGTGCTAGCCAAAGCCACCTCCATCATGAACAACACCTCCCACTGCACAGGACTGTAGAGGAGCTGAGGAGCTCCTTCAGTGGAAGACTGAGGCACCCTCAGTGTAGGAAGGAGCGCTACCACAGGGCCTTTAACCCCACCGCTGTCAGACTGTACAATAAGTCACTTTAAGTCACTGTATAAGACTTAAAAATAAACCTGCACTACTACTATTGACACTATATCTGACTGCCACTTTAAATTGCCACTTTTATTGTACATATATATCCTGCATGTAACATGTTTGCACATTTCCTCCTTTTGCACAATCTGAGTGTTCTATCCATGCTAAACGTGACATGTACATTTCTCCTTGTGAGATAAATAAAGCATCTTATCTTATCTTAACAAAGTTAGGTAAATCAGAGTTACCTAATGTTTGGCTCTACACACTGGCAGATGGTCGTGGGTTCGAGCCCGACTTTCAACATCGACTCCCACTGTCTGCTGTCGCTATGTCCTAAGCAAGACACTTCACCCCCATTGTGTCTGTGGTTCTAAAGTCTTATACTGAACATGTGTCTGTGGTTCTAAAGTCTTATACTGAACATGTGTCTGTGGTTCTAAAGTCTTATACTGAACATGTGTCTGTGGTTCTAAAGTCTTATACTGAACATGTGTCTGTGGTTCTAAAGTCTTATACTGAACATGTGTCTGTGGTTCTAAAGTCTTATACTGAACATGTGTCTGTGGTTCTAAAGTCTTATACTGAACATGTGTCTGTGGTTCTAAAGTCTTCTACACACTTCAGCTTTGTGGAATTTATCAACATTAGTCATGTCGGGACGAAAGAGACGGAGAAGCGTCTGCGGCGGCTGTTGTGCTCTGGAAAATCAGCTCAAATCTCTTCAAACACGGATATCTATTGTGGAAACAGAAATGGGACTTAACCCGACTCTTCCAATGAGTGAAAATGGGATGAATGGACAGACTGGAAATGTAAGTTATGACGTCATTTCTTTTCCCAAAATCAACAATGAGAATTATTGGAACAATTGTGGAGCTAAACCCAAAGTTGACAAAGCTAAGAATGACAATAGGAGTGAAATAAGGCCACAACTAAATGTTCTGAAGACTTCAAACCGCTTTTTACCCCTTTCTGAAACAACAAAGCCGCAAAAAACTGCAGCGCCTCCACCAAGGACAAACTGTGTCCTTATCGGAGATGGTTCGGTGAAAAATGTAAACATGGAGTCCATGCTCACTGTCTCAGTTCACTCTGCAAAAGTTGCTGAGATAAGGACTCTTCTGCCTAGAGTGTTATCTGAGAACAGTGGTGTGCGTACATTATTGATCCACACGGGGGCGGTAGATATCTGAGAAGGCAAGCGAGAAGTTACGAATGGATTTAACGCTGTTACTGGATGACCTCAAGAAAATGGACATAAACATTTTTCTTAGTGGACCACTTCCAAATATAGATGGAAAAATGGAGAAGTTTAGCCGTCTGTATCAGCTAAATACATTCCTACTCAATGAGTGTTCACGCAGAGGACTTGGCTTCATTGAAAACTTTAATC